GATATACAAAAATGTATGTCGTTAAACCTACTGGATTTAAACTTTCTATAATATGTAGACCTATTTTAGTGATTTCATTGAAGTTATTACATTCAAGGAGGATAGAGGAGTGTGTAGGGATGCAAGTCGACGTATTGGTTGTGACTTCAAGACAGGCACGACCAGTGGCGTAACTATAGCATCTGGGGCCCGTGGCAAATCTTCTATTGTGGCCATTCTTTTGATGGGGCCCTAAAAGTAAAAATCGTCCCTACTAAGTTTAATTTTAATAAACTTCGAGATTTTCAGTGTACACAATTACACGTTGTGTACACCACTAATGGCCATAGGCTTCCTCTCTTAGGCGAGAGGGAATGTTCTGTAGTCCCCACGTTAGCCCAATGCGTATTGGAGACTTCACATTCATCCATAGAACATAATATCTCTTGGGCAGGGGCCTTCTTGGGTCGGGGGCCCGTGGCATTTTGCCAACCCTGCCACCCTATTGTTACGCCACTGGGCACGACCTTCAGTAATGAAGACTACAAAAAGAAGAGAATGACTTCTAATTCTATATGTACTTATACAACAGCACCAAAGTTATGTTACTTATAAAACCTCCTCCTTAGCGTAGTTGTTGTAGGGTTGTACTCAGGATTCTGAAGTTTTATTTCCGTCAATAATAAATCTTTCAATTTGATCAGAATCAGTGAAACACATACACAAATGTGTGTCTGTACCGAGCTCCTGAATATTGAACTCTTTCTGTGTTCATACCTTAGATTGCTTTATTATGACTTCTTTGGTGTTATCGTGTCAAGACATAAAACTGGCTTTATAGAAACGAGGTCGGTAAAGAAAACATTGTACTTCAAAATAAACGCTGCACGATTATCAATGGAAGCATGATCTATGGATTATAGGCCGCCCACAGAGTAACATCGATGTTCTATCAAAACACGGTTTTAACTTTCAATCCTTATCATTTCACTGGAAGATTTTTTTAATATATTTGTATAAATAAATTCAGTTATACCAATTCGAAGTAGAATAATGAAGATGTAGTTGCGGAGAAAGAGAATACCATATTTATTGTAGGTGATGAGTACCAAGCTACGAAAAGGTTTGGGTTTCCATTCGTATTGCATAAACAAAGGGACTGGACTGAACCACAGACGCGATATTATGGCAATATACAACCACACAACCAGTTCATTTATGTAAGACAACCAAGGTACGTGTCGAATCGTAATCCTTTAGGTTTTTTTGAATTCGGAAAAAATAAGTATTAGTGAAACTTAAGACTTCCTGAATTTCTTATTTTGTCAGATAAGGTTGCGTTGATTACACTTGTAACTTATTAAGAGACAATCATAGACTAACTTGTATTTCTGAAGTATCTATAGACATCAGTCACATTGCAAATGCAGTCGAAGCCTACGCGTTCCCTTCACTTTTGCCTACTGTGTATATTACATAAATATGAAGCAAATATGTTACGATAGTAAAATCAACTGGAATAATTAATTTTCTCTACTTAATACCTAACAAGAGTATAATGTCACTTGTATTGTGAAATCGCCAACTATATAACTATTATAATATTTTCTATTATATTTCAATTCAAAATAGCCTAATTAAAATGTAATTTTATTAAGGCTATTTAGTGGATGTAAGATGTTCGATTTCCGTAAAATGAAATTCTTTAAAAGGTATTAGATGGCCCAAGCCAATTATTAGGTATTTGTTTCTTACGATAATATATAAAGTAACTACTAACATGAATATTAAATTTAGATAATATGAAACACATGTAATTTAGGCTCTTGAAAATAATTCATCTAATCCTATTTTATTAAAAAAAATTTAAGACTTAATTATTTTAAGTAAATAAAATCAATACATACGCAGAACGTCGAATCCAAAAATACAACAAAAGTCAATTTACTATTTCAAAATGTATCAGAAAGTATGATTCTCGTTAGTGCTTTATATAAAATAGGTGTATATTAATAAGATAACTTAAAAAGATTTCTAAGAAACATGGTTAAACATCAAACACACATTAGATTCGAGAGTTTTCGGTCTCCAATAGTTGCATGTTTGCAGTATTGGTATTTCTATAGTATTATTTGTAGACAACCTTAAATTCTAGGTTTCAAGTGCTGACTAGATTCCAACTTGTTTGTTAATCATGAGTGCGCCATGCCCCGTCGCTAGAGGCACTTTACTCATTATAATAAAGGTTCTAAAACCGCTAGAATTTGCAAAAGGCCTTGTGATCTGTCCACCTGCGCTGGCGCCGTACCAATTTATTAGTACTATAATTAAAATTATTGTAACAAAACATTTATCAAACTTGTGTTATATTTCACTGATAATATTGATTTCGGGCTTATTTTTCGAAGTTTATTATGAAACACCTAATATTTAAATGTTAAGGACATAAATTATTAAGCTACTGCAATGTTGAAGGATAACCGCGCGCGTAAACATGGTACTTTAATAGTTAAGGATGAAGAGGCACAATATCTAATGCATATGTCGTGGCCTGTCGTACAATAGATCACGTGATGATATGTTTAGTCTTTTTATCTTATTCTTCCCTTCTTCAGGTTGGCAACAACTTGAATTGCCGGGTATCTTGCACTAGTCTAAACAGCCTTGCGATTCCGTAACTCAGTTTTCGAACTCTCACAGCGGTTTTCACAGCGGTGGTCGCGCTCAAATCAGTCGTAAAGCAGTAATTTTACCATTTGGCATTCTGATAAATAATAAACTACAAGTCCCTCCTTATCAGTCTTATCAGTCAGTATCTTACCGTCGCATGCTTTGCATGAGCTGGATAACACCAGAATTTACAAAAATAAGCTTACCTACTCGCGAACAACGCTACCCTCTCACCTATGCCTTTCTATAACCTATGTTATAGGACCAACTATTTCTAAAGTAATATATTTTACAATGGGCCTAAGACTATGTGCCTGGATTATATTAATGCTGTCTATTTGGAACACTTCAAAATGGACATAATAAAATAAATCAGTGGCGTTACAACCTGTTTAGGTCTTGGCCTCAGATTTCTTAATCTGTTTCATGATCATTTTTAAATCTAAAAGGCAAGTAAGTGATCAGCCTCCAGTGGACTTTTTGTCTCTAAGACATTTCCTCACGATGTTTTCCTTCACCGTTCGAGCAAATGTTAAATGCGCACATAAAAAGAAAGTCCATTGGTGCACAGCCGGGGATCGAGGTATGAGAGTCGCACGCTGAAGTCATTAGACTAACACTGCTCAAAATGGACATAAATAGCGCAATAATCTGTAGAGAAATAATTTGCCAGTACCAAATATGTAATTAGGCGACATGCGGCACCTTGTGTTCTATTTATAGAACAAATCGTCCTTAAATAAATCATGAATTTTCGCACATTTATTTAATGCACGCCAAATTAGCCCGTAATAACATGTATAGTGATGTCAAATTGCTAAAGATATTGCGATAGACCAGCCGCCTACGTACGTAATGGGCGTTGAAATATTCAAATAATGTTGCTTGGCCCAAACAATTACTATGGAATGTAAATGTATTTTGATTTCAACGCGCAATTATAAGTTATTAGATGTTAAATTGAATAGTCTTACGATATCTAAGATGTATCTACTTATATGTGATGTACGTACCTGTTAGACGCGAATCGAGTTCGTGGAATGAGGAAGTTATTTTTCTCAATTCTATAACATTCTAAAGTATATATCATATATTACTATACATACAGATACCGGCAAATATCTCAAACAAATGTCCTTGCCTGCGCAGAAACGATTTTTAGGTAGGGAGGGGGGGACAGTCGCGTCGGCGGCGGGAAAGTGACATGTCGATCGCGTGATTGGTAAATTAGACGTTTGTGTCCTGCGATGCGCAAACTTACCCCCACTTCCTTGTTTAATGCTCAAGAAGTTTGCCGGTATCTGTACTGAGCATGACAATATGCGTCGAAGGTAAACCTACCTTTTCTCTAACCTATTCAAACTATTTAAACACCATATTGAAGTAAATAGTCCATTAATAATAGCATAATATTCTGAATAGAATTTTGTATATTTCTGGTGAGAATCTCCAAAACATCTTTAACCCTTAGAACTAAGATAATCATAATATATGCCCCATAGAGTGACGCATCAAAACGCCTTACCTTATGGCATGTAACAAAACAATGTATGGAGTTGCTTCTATCATATATTCAAATCAGTCTAATCGTTCAATTGTTTTAGCCCTAATCAAATATAAAGTACCATATTACTGTAGGGTATGTTTCCATATGAACGAAGTCAGGCAAATTCCACTTACAATGTTAGCAAGGAGAAAGCTATAGTTAGTAAAATTTTTAAAAAGTGTTTTGTTTATGAACACTCAATGTCAGAGGGCTCGTGATTGCCGGCCTTATATTAATTGGTACGCTCTTTTCTTGAAGGGCCCTAAGACGAAAGTCTGCTTAAAGTAATTGACTTAAGGACTATATACTGGAATGTATATGTAGTAAGCCTAGTTTCAGGTATCACATCATTCAAGTAAAATTGTTTTTTATATTTACACATTTCAGATAGTGTTACACTTAACCCATTTATATGTCTATCTAATTCTTTTTAGGTATTTGTGTACCCTTTTTTGGCAAAGGCCCCTTCAAATCCCGCCATTGCTTTCTGCACTGTGCCACACTCTGCCATGTACCTACCACCTGCCGTTTACTTAATATTTTGGTCTATCCACCTTCTAAATTGTCTTCCTCTTTTTCGTTTATTGTACCTTGGGCACCAGTTTAGTACTTTATTGCTCACTTTATTAATTATCATCTGTATTTAATTTATGTTTTCAAACTTGTATAATAAATTGAAATTGGGATGATAAAAAATACCATAATGCGAAAATTTTTTTCGCTATCAAGCTTCCTGCGGATAATTAAATCAGCGAAGCATCCGTTGTCCTAAATAATAATATTAATTAGTTAGAATAATTCAGTCATGCTGTTGTTTCTACTACTATCTGTGGTGTGTAGTGTTCAGGGGAATAACTTAATTTGTGAGTACAGAAATAAAGATATAAAATTTATTGATTAGGCGTCGAAGTGACAACATTTATTTATTGAAAATTTTAAATAATAAAACTAATATAATGGCAAAAACAAATCACATTTACGTAAATATGAGATAACCAATTCGACTAGGGTCGTCCAAGAAAAGAGCGCACCAATTATTAAAAGGCCGACAACGCACTCGAGAGCTCTCTGGCATTTAGAGTGTCAAAAGGCGGCGGTATCACTTAACATCATGTGATACTACTTCCCGTTCTATAAATAAATGAGATTTTTTTTGTTTATTGTAACTTCTTTATTTAACCTTACAGTCCATATGGTTATTTTTGTTTTACTTACAATATTGTCCTAAATACATAAGATACAAAATTTCGCTACTTCGAATAGAGAGACAGAATCCAGTAGGTGCAACGTTTTCGTTAACGGGGATCTGTGCAACATACTAGTTCTGGCCCATGGTATCGTACTCTTTCGTTTCCGTAAAATTGTGATTAAATGATTTATTTTATATCAATAACTGAGCTATAATATAGGGTATATATTTTAAAATTTCGTCTTTCTTAGCTGATGCGTTGGATCCATCATGGAACGACCTGTTGGACGCTGGAGGTATGCACATTGGACACGGTCGTACAAAGAGATTTGTTGAACTAAATCAAAATCAAGTAAGTTTTATATTGAAACCTCTATACAAATGTGTTAATTCATTATAATGCTTAAGATTTGGGAACACTTTAAAGTAAAAAATACCTGCATTAGGTTCCCAGCTCTTCCATAACAAACATAACAATTTTATGGAATGAACTTTGATTTTTTTCAATTACAAATTTTATACTGTATGCATTTTTTTTAACTAAGAGCATTACTCGACGCGTAACACATATGAGTGTGTGGGTGCATGTGAGTGTAGTGAGTGTAATGTGTTAGGTCTCAGGAGCATGTCTGCGGAAGGTGTGTTCGGAAGCCAGTCCTTTATCCCTTTTTGTACATTGTGTTCGGTAAGCGGGTAGGTATTTAATTGAAATGTCTCTATATACTGTTAAAACGACTACTTTCTTTGAGTCTATTGCCAGTTCTTCTCTTCCGTTCTATGCCCTTGATTTGAGAACGGGCAGTAAATGTAAAATTAGGCATTCGATGTATATTGTATATTTCTTTTTTGACGTTCATAAGTGTACATTGTGTTACCTATATAATAAATGATTTTTGACTTTGACTTATTCCCTTGACTTCACAATTTAATTAGGCTAGGCTAAGACTTCCTTCAATCAGTGGTGTATTGGGAGGGGAACGCGGTGGAACGACGCGACGTTCCCTTACCTTTTTTCAGAACCGGAACGCGTTCCAGTACTTTTTTAGTAGACTTTTTTTTAATTTCAAATGAAATTTTATTTTAAATTGGCGAATTTAAAAACATTAAAAAAAGTATTTATCTTGCTTTTTGTGTTTTGTTTATTTCCCTTTCAATACAATAAACATAATGTGGTCTATGTTCGCTGTTCTACATACTATCCTATAAAGGATAGTTTGCCGAAAACGGGACTTTTTTGCTCCCACTATACGTTCCCTTACTTCTTATTTTACCAATACATCACTGCCTTCAATTGCTCAAAAAAATTAGACAGTATAATGCATATATTTATTTATTTATTTGCTCATAAGTATTCCTACAGCTACTCACTAAACAATATCCAAACAATTACATTATACACAAAACCCAAAAACGGAAAATGTACACATTCAAACATAAACAACATAAAGCACAGTTAACAATTTTTTACCTATTTATACAAAAAAAAATATTTTTATAAAAAATACTTATTTATGTTGTGTTAGCGATTTTAACAACATATTTAAGAAAGTCGACAGAAATTCACGATTCTTAAATTATCACTTAATTAGAATAAATTAAACATTTGCCAGCTTCGGCGCCAACTGGCATAAACATGTTAACATCATCTTTATTACGTTACAAACGTCATTTTAAAACAGCGATATTCTGTAAAATCAGTAGATCTACTGAAATTTCCACGTGCCACAATGCTAAATAAAAAAATATGTTTTACTGTATGTAGTAGATAAACTTCGATCTCTCTCTTCAGGCAGTAGCTCATCTCATGCGTCATGGTCAGCAATGAAACATCTGGAGCGGACAATCTGTTTCCACTGGTTTCTGTCCAGCGCCTCTCTTGTTATAGTGCACAGTTTTGCATATGGTAGACGAGCGAGTTCGTATGCGGAGTTGGGTCAGGATTGATGAATTGGTGCGCTTCGCAGTTCACGGTATTCTTAAGATTCACCCCCAGCACCACATCTCAAAGGCATCAAACCTTTGCCTTCTCGAGCCAAGATAGTCACCGTTTCGCCAGGCCATACAAGATATACTGGAGCCTGTATCAATTTTTTTTCGTTTTGATACCAATTCCTCTTTTCCTCCAGATGTTGCTTAAACGTGGCATCTTTCGCCATGCACACGCCTTTTTATTTCGGGGACAGTGCTGCCGTCGTTAGAGAATTGGGATCCGAGATATACAAAAACTAAACTTTGATGCCATAGTTCAATAGTGGATTTTGATAGCTTTACACTTTCGAAGCAATTAATGTAGTCAAGGTTGTCCTCAAAAAGCAGCATTAAAAAAAATCTATACTAACCTACCGTAATTTTAGGTGCAACACTATATTTTACTTTCGCGATTTGGAAGCACTGTATTGAAATCGGAGAGAGTAGGCAATTCAATTTTGTACGATTGGGTTCACGAGTGGCGCCCGCGCGTCGCCGCGGTCGCCCGCCCACACATCCATGTCCTAATTTGCACAACGTCGTGTTGCATTCTAAAATCAGCGCTCGTTCAATTGAAATTCAATTTAAGTTTACAGTTCACTGGCAATTATAGATCTATAGATGTAACTAATGTTTATTTACATTAGCTACTTGGATTTTAATTAGAAAGTGTTTAAATATAAAATAATAATCAATGTTTCTTTGGATACCTATCTCGGCGTGGTGATCAGTTCATAGAACGACTGGTCGTCCAAGGGAAGGAAGACACTAGACCGCGCGGAAGGTCACCTACGCGATGGACTGACCAGATCAAGTCTGCCGTAGGAGGTTTACTCAATGAGTGCAGCAGGATGACCTCTAATAGGCAACGATGGCAATACATCTGCCCCTTCTAAAACTACTATTACATAGCGATCACGACCGCTCTGTCAAGAGTGTACCGGATAAAATGAAGAATCAAAATTTAATTAATACACATAGCTACTTACCGAGTCCATTGTTATAGTTATTCCTGTAAAGTTCCAATACTGTCATTTATCTGTAAATTCCTTTCTATGGATTTGATAAATATATATAATGGAATAAAAAGAAATTTACAGAATTATGAAATATATTCTAATAAGAACCACTGAAAACATCTTATCACTGACGTGCTTATATGTACTCGTATAATCATCTCATCGCACGAAATCTTGTCAAATAGAACACTTTTAAGCTCTTACAATGCCCTCATAGTATAAGCGGCTTACGGTACAAATTATGTTTATGTTCTAGCCAAATGTGCCGTACCAGGCTTGCCTTCTGCCAGATGGGAAGACAGGACATTGCCGCCACTTACACTATTGTGTTCAGGATGAATTCAAAAGGGATTTCATGAAGTTTATGGACTTCCTTTGTATCATACAGCATTCGTAAGTATTATGTTTGAATGTTTGCATGTTGCTGGTTAAAACTACAAAGTAGTTGATGTTCTTGACTATATGACTAATGTTTTATTAAACTCTAGTTCCCGACGATTTGTCTGTTGTAATTTAATAATTACTACCTAATGGTAGGGTAGGTATATATTATTTATTTGCCTACCCGTGCCTGAGGAACTGCAACAGGGGGTCCCTACATATCCCGGCCTTAATATACATTATATTTTTAACAAACTACATAATGAAGCCATTTACTTCCATCTCTAATTACATTTCAAGTATATATATAACCACTTAAATCAGCTCTATAAAAGCGATTAAATATTTTTCCCCAGGGCTATTGGTGTCTGCTGTCCAGACAGTATGGCGGAAGGTTCAGCAGACGCGTTGGCTGGTGATCTTCCTGCTACAGCACCGCGGGATGAAAATGAAATTACCCTGAAGATCACTCGCGCTGAGAACAGAGGTGTGTCTGATTAAATTTTTTCAGTATCAACCTGTGTTTCATTTATATCCTTTTCAAGAATTATCCTAGTTTTAAAGATATTACTTGTGAAAATTGTATTTAGTTGGCAGAAGTCAACTCTTTGAATCTGTTTCACAAGCGAGAAAATAGAAAGTAAAGGCTGATTTTCACTGGCTTTCTTAACAAGGAAAGGTTTCATGTAACGATAATTCTCTTTAATAAAGGTGTGTAACAATTATTATCAGGTTGTGGACTCAGTACGCGTGTCCAAGGCCGTGTCACCGGCGCCAGGCCTGCTAACCCACGAGAATGGCCGTGGATGGCGTCCATTACACCTTACGGCTTCGAGCAGTACTGTGGCGGAGCCTTGATCACAGACAGACATGTGCTTACAGCAGCACATTGCACTAGACGGTATATTGTGAAGGGCATACTAAAATCGTCGTAATAATTTTTGAGTTTGTTTAGACTTTAGGTGAACTTTCCTTAAACATTTATGGTGATGCATGCATGATTTTACTTAGTATATATCTATTAAAGTAATATACAACAAACCAAAATGAATATATAACTTTTAAAGTCTGTATAAATCTCAGGTATGTAAGTTAATTATCCAGAATTTATAATACATATATTAACTTTGTGTCGACAATTCTGTGTTTAAAAAACATTCTTGTCAGTATTATTTTATCTCTGTCACAAACTACAATAATACCTATACCTTCAGATGGAAGGCTGAAGACCTATCCGTGCGTCTTGGTGAATACGACTTCCAAAGAACAAACGACTCCCGCTCATACAACTTCAATGTAATCGACGTTCGCCAGCATGAACTATTTGATTCCTCGAACTATCATCACGATATTGCTATTCTGAAACTGCATAGGCCAACTGTATTCAACACGTATGTCTGGCCTATTTGTCTGCCACCAAGGGGCTTGCAATTGGACGATAAAATTGCTACTGTTATTGGTGCGTATATAATACAATGTTGTTTATTCTTAAATATAAATTAGCAAAAGGTTCATCGCCTTCTAAGAAACTGTCTCCAATAATAATAAGTTAGCTTAGAACCGTTGTTTTTTTTAGTAATCGTTTACTTACTATTCAACATGGTGTTAGCTTTTAATATTTATTTAATTAAATTCTAAACATTTTTGGTAAACATATTCTTAAGAATCTTGCTACAAGTGCGCATGTGCCATAGTTGGTCCATTGACTCTTTCGGTTGTTGACGAATTGTTACGAATTGACGTCGAACATCTGCCCGAAGTGGGATGGTCGAGTCGGAGTAGGGAATAGATTATAAAAGAAGTTGTGTCACATGGGCACGGGCAATTCCTTGGTATAAGTTTGAAGTTATACATTTTATGTAAAGTCAGTGAAGTGAGTTATGTCATTAATGGAGTGTTTGATTTCCTAAGAACTAAATCAACTAGCTCTTACAATGGTGTATTGATTGATTGATTCACCAGGTTGGGGTACCCAGTTCTACGGCGGTCCAAACAGTGATGTCCTGATGGAAGTATCAGTACCGGTGTGGAAGCACGAGGAATGCGTCAGATCTTTCGCGGACTCTGTATTTCAGGAGACGCTGTGCGCGGGTGGAAAGGAAGGCGGCAAAGATGCTTGTCAGGTATTCTTGGCCCAGAATAGACGCATTTGTTTATGATTTTGTTTAATATATGATAGGTCAGTTCTCCTAGGACACTTTTGAAAATGCTAATCCCCTTCTTCGGTAGGGCATAATATATTATATAGCAATAAACCTTAATCAAAGCCTCAAGCTAAAGAATATCTCACACTTTTAAAACCGACTTATAAGAAAACCAGACAGAGGAATACATATATTTTTGACATTTTGTTTCTTACTGTGAACTGATGAGTTTTTTCAATACTATATACCTATAGTTAATGTAATTCTACTTCGTTCATTGAACCTGCTTCTGCTGTATGTTTTTTTAAATATTTTATACGTTAAATTATTGCAGGGCGATAGTGGGGGTCCTCTTATGTACCAAATGTCAAGCGGTCGTTGGTCAGTTATAGGAGTCGTGTCTTGGGGCGTTCGATGTGGTGAACCGAAACACCCCGGTTTGTATACGAAAGTGGATGAGTACTTGGAGTGGATTTTACGTAACACTGTTTTCTAAATTAAGTACTTCATGAGAACTGAATAAAATCGCATTCTATTTTGAAAGCTATTATTTACCTTAAACAATCATTATTTGTGTTTAATATGGAAACTTTTAAATCTCTATGTGTTTTTGGTCCTTCGGGAATGAAGAACGGGTTTTTTAAACACTATATCCATTTATTATATAATCCAATACTTTATTTTATACAATATAGTTTCTCTTACTTTATTTGAAAGCACTGAAAGAAGAACGTGTCAATCAAGTCAGAATCTTAAGTTTTTCAGCAATTTTCAATACAATGCGTTATTGGTGATATATTTACAAATTTTCAATGGTGATCATTTCTCCGCAGTCCTCTATCGCCTGTAACATTTCTATTATATCTTTCTCTTTAAGTTTTGGATGAAAGGTGAAGGCGAGCCGGAAGAAGTTTTTGTGTTCTTTATGAGGGGAGTAAGCAACCATCATACGTGAACTTGTCATCAGGATTTCTTTGATTTTTGGCGTTATCTGTAAAATTATAATTTGTGATATATACACTAATTAAATTGTTAATTTATATACATTTAGTGATGAATATGTGTAAATATAATAGCAAACTTTTTGGATTAGAAGCAGTATTATAGATACAGCTAAATTTAAATTTAAATCTCGACAACAAAGTTTTTAGTATAGAACTAATTCGTATGAGAAGAATCAAAGAATATCAATGTCTACGTCTGATAGAGAAACCCAGTAGCGCTACAACCTTTTAGGTTTGGGCCTCAGATTTCTGTATATGTTTCGTGATCCTTTTTTCTAATAGGCAAGTAGGTGATCAGCCTTCTATGCCTGACGCACGCAATCAACTTTTTGGGTCAAAGGCATGCCGGTTTGCTCACGATCACCGTTCGAGCGAATGTCAAATGCGAACATAAACAGAAAGTTCATTGGTACAGCCGGGGCTAATTCCTACGACATCAGGGATTCTCATCCCTGACTTCAGCTGATGCCTCTAAGCCAACATTGCTCTCTAAATTTTATATATTAAGTAATTATATTTATACAGTATACTACACGTACACAACGATGCAGCTACGAAATTTAATGCCTGATTAGATAAAATCTGATATTAGGTTCCATAGAGCAGCGGAAAACCATTTTTTTCCGATTGAATCTATGGGTCTTACTAACATTGAAAATAATAAATATAATATAAAAATAATATAAAAATGTGAAAATGATTAACTAATCATTTTCACAACTAAGTATTTTAGTACTCGCTTTCAATATATTTACCTTATGCATCAGCCCCCACCACTTCTCATCCTCAGTCTGGTGCCGCATAAAGCTTGGTATATACCAGAAACATACGTTAGGGCATTGTAAAGGAGCAGACACGAGACGAAATCCTGGTCTAAGGGCCACAGTCTCCAAACAAAACTCAGCCAACTCCATGATATAGTCTGTCATTTGGTTCAGGCCTATATCACCACGCGCCTTCCAAATCATCCACAGCTTGAATGCGTCTATCTATATATATATAGAGTTATATTAGTATTAAAGATATAGATATATAGAGTAGTTTTAAGAGTCTCTATCGAAAAAACCAGCGTCGGTGTTTTGTAATACAAGAGGAAGATCGATTTCTACTATAATATTGAGTTTATTGTAACACACTATTCCGAGTGTACAACATTGGCTACAGATATTATTATTATTATAGGGAACTAACTCCCTGGGAGCAAAGCTATGATTTTTCATACATATATTTTACGCGAATGTAAGCGTTATTTTTACTAATATGGATCTACAGCAAGATTAAAGCTTAAAGAAGGTAGTTTACTATACATATTTTGAATTTTATTAGTCTTTTATAAAAGTTATAGCTTTAGTTGTTATTTAAAATTAGGAAAGATATAAGCTCATTGATTATATATTTATTATGAAAGGCAAAGAACAGTCAGAAATATGCATGTCTAACAAGGGCAAAGACAATTCCTTCGCTATATTAAAAGTAAAATTAAATGATATTAGTACGAAAATATCTCTATTATGTTTTTCCTGTTGCTAATTCTAAATCGGTGTATCTACTTGAAAGATATTATGCATTTTGCATATAAAAAATTAGATTTTCATAAATCCGTACCAAACAACAAACATATATTATAGGAGCAGAGTGGTTAAGTAATATTGATTGCGAAAAAAACACTTATGTTAGTTATTTATCTTCGCCAATAATTATAAAAGTGTATAGAGTTTACCTTTCTTCCACACTGTATACTCTTGTCTCCTGTATCGTAACGGACATCATAGAACTTGTCTTGTTGGAAAAGGTACTGCGCTGCAGCTGAGTTTGCTTCATGCAATAGTCCTCTCTCCTTCAAAAGAAATAAGGAGCATTGCAGAGGAGCACCAGCCATCTTATGCGGGTTCCATGAAATGGAGTTTGCTCTGGAATTTAATATCACTGTGTTCGTTTATATGGAAACATCTAGTTTAGAAACAAAATAATAGTAATGTTCTATTCTCAATGGTTGTGAACTATTCCGGAACTAAATAATGCTTACCTCTCAATTCCTTTTAATTTCGTCCGAAACTTTTGTGATAGCATCAGACTGCCTCCCCAACATGCCTGAAACGAACATCAGTACTAGCGTTGCATTAATTTAATTCTTGTCCATCACCTATGAACGTAACTTAATTAAGATAATAAACTTAAGTGAAGATTCAGAGATGAGATTAAGCGCGCCCAAAAAGAGCAGTCACCGCAGCCCGTGGAGAACCACTTTTAGTGATAGAATGCATTCATGGCTTTTGAAGGATGTACTATCAAAATAGACATTAAGAGTAGTCGCTTTACTTCGTTGAGGCATTTTCAACGAACACGTTCACAATAAAAACATTTATTGGAGCAAGACATTACCAAACTTGACTAGCAAGTATCGTTCATAGATTTTCAACTTTATAACGCGTAGGCATTAAAATATATATATATATATAATGCGTTGATTAGACAGAGTACCAGATACATTCGTACTTATATTAATAGCTTTTTTTTATGATTGGACAATTCACACCAATTGAACTAGTCCCAGGCTAAGCTGGTGAAGCTTGTGTTATGGGTACTAGGCAACGGATATACATACATATTATAGATAGATAGACATATAAATACATATTTAAACACCCAAGACCTAAGCACAACACCAAATGCTCATCACATCGATGTTTGTCTCAGCCGGGGATCGAACCCGGGACCCATGGATTCGCAGTCAGGGGTACTAAACACAAGAATGACTATACTTACATCAACATGCATCCAAACACCATATTCAGCGCAGATATCAGCTATTTTATCCAGGTTATCTATGGCCCCCAAAACTGTAGTGCCAGCAGTACCATTCACCATGATTGGTACTTTATTACTATTTATGTCATTTTTCAACGCCGTTTCCAGTTCTTCTATAACCATTTGTCCACATTGATTACTTTTAATTAGCCGCACACTTTCTGTGCCAAGACCGAGCCAATGCGCAGCTTTCATTATGGAATAATGACACTGAAATTCATAACGAAAATACATGTATATCTCATTGTACCTGCTTAATAAAGAAGAGTGGGCAAACAAGCAGGAGACATGCCATTTTAAATTTTGTGGCAGGGGTGCCGCAAATGTAAACTAATGTCATTTTCATACAAATTTAAATTATGTCCACGAGTGACACGAGTGCGTTGTCGGCGGATATCTATAATTCATATGTGAGGACTAAACAGTATTAATGGTACTCTATTGGTGGTCGACTTCAAATGAAAGTTGTACAAAGCATTTTATCAAACTTTTTTGTAAAGAAATTTTTCAGTTATTAAGAACCACTTCAATATATAAACAACTTACGCTTTCCGATGAATACATAACCATTTCTGGCAGATTCCTAATTCCCTTTGATTTTACTTCTGGAAAGGCTTTGAACCTAGCTGCAACTATAGCATACAGCATAGATATACTTCCACCGGGGCTGAAAATGCCGTCACCATCAGGGAAACCAAATAACTTGAGAATGTGGTTCAACATTTTGTTTTCTATCAAAGTGAACACTGGCGCCACTTCGTATGTGTATCTGAAATTATTTAAATTTATAATTTTATATACTCATTACTTATTATTAGGTACACTTGTACTCTCGTACGCACACTGAACTAATATTATTACGTGGTTTTTAAAATTAAAAAAAAATCCGTAATTATTTTTACATATATTGTTAAATTTATGTTACGGTATGATCTCGCTATGTATATATATATGTCTACCAACCATAACATAAGTATTGAATGTAATTTCAAGACCTGACAAATGACAATTTTTTACTGTTTCATCGTGTTCAGACTGATTATTTAAGGTAAGTTTTGGATTGAAGCTGAAGCTTCAATCACAAAACATTGAAGTGTTAGCCTAAAGGTTGGGCGGGCTATTCTCAACTCTGAAGTCATGCGTCAAGTCCGATTCTACATCAATGGTTTTCTCGTATAGTCAGAATGTGTTACACCTAAATAATAATAATCAGTGGCGTTACAACCTCTTTAGGTCTGGGCCTCAGATTTCTGAATTTGTTTCATGATCATTTTTATATCTAATATGCAAGTAGGTGATCAGCCTCCTGTGCCTGACACACCCCGTCGACTTTTTGGGTCTAAGACATGTCGGTTTCCTCACGATGTTTACCTTCACCGTTCGATCGAATGTTAAATGCGCACATATAAATAAATACCATTGGTGCACAGCCGGGGATGGAACCTACGACCTCAGGGATGAGAGTCGCACGCTGAAGTCACTATAGGCTTACACTGCTCTATTTACAAAAGATCTACAATAATAACGACGGAGACGACGAAAGAAACGGACTTTGAAGCGTTAACTTATTAACGATAGCGTCACTGAATCATTATTTCTTTGGAGAAGGCTGTATTGAATGCTACATAAAAGCTAAAACCACTTACTGACTAGTATTAAAGGCCTCAGCGATCCAAGTCCCCGCAAGGCCATACGGATCAGTCCCGCCATACAATTGGTTTTTGAAAGTTGGTTTATTGGTTTTCACACTATAGTGTAACACTTTTCGCACAGACTCCTCCAGTTGTTGGTCAGATACCGGGTCAGATATGCTTATGTCATCTTTGAGTATGTCCTGGAGATAAAAGATTGTTTTTTACGAAAACCTTGATATAGATATGTATTGTAAAAGTCGAGGAAACTGCGAAAAGTTTTCGCAGATACATGTTAAGTTAGGTTTTTAAAACCCGACAGTTGTTCTTAAAGCAAACACAATTATAGAAAATTGTCTTTGGCCTAGTAATACCTAGTAAAATCGAGGACATGACCTTTTTTAATACTTAGCAGCCCAGTAAATATTTCAGAATCAAATTGGACAGCTTTGGCTTTTATAATATCTGCATTTGCTTAACAGGGCCAAGTTATAACTGATTGAGATCAATTGAATGAATTGAAGCAATAAACGCAGTATGCCTTAATAGGGAAATGCACTTATCAATGTGTAAAATTATACGTCGAATTCATAATTTCTCCCTTGCTTTTTAAGGTCGTTCAAAAACAGAGTTTAACGCAAATAAGTAACCACAAAAGGCTACAGTCTAAAGTTAGCATGTGAGCTTTGTAAGGTTGTTATAAACCGAGCTTTTGATAAACTGTACTATGGAGACAGATGGGAACTCAGCAGACACTTTTTTTAATTTTGAAATAGCAAACATCATCTGATCCGATATGATCGGTAATAAATCCAACATATCTTCAATAAAGTACTGACATCTTCATTTCATGAATTTTCATTCAATGCGTGTACTCAAGCCAGACAGATATTTATTTATTTATACTTCATTGCCATAATACACCTAATTATACATATAGAAAAAAAACAAAAAGTAAGTAGGCTACACAAGTTATTTTAGGCAATAAACACCTACAGAGGGTAAAGTACAAGAGATGCATAATTAATTAACAAAAAGATACTAAAAATAACATGCAACTATAACTAAAATTAAATTAAATAAAATCTAAAGAAAAGGTATAAATAATAGTATGTATAAACAGACTTGTAAAAGCTCAGCCTAAGGTTAATTGACTCACAATTAATATATAAAAGTAGTAGCTAATCACGAGGCAGAATAAAGATATATGGAGAGGGCAGACATATTTTATAAAAATATCCAATGTAAGCCCGCAGAAATCCCCGTCACCGCACATATTTTCCACAACAAGTGTTACGCTGAATCCTTTCGTAAAGTCCTTAAATTTAAGTAATGTCCAACATGTTGATAACACCAAGAATGACTAGATTTACGTATAGGTACGTATAAACCTATTAGCAGTTAAATTCTACGAGTGTTACCTGACCTAGATCGTAATGGAATCAATTAAAACTTGTTTGGACATTTTCCATAGGTACTATTAAATTAATATTCGAAATCATAGTTTAGTAAAAAAACTTTTTGGTATATAAAACATTTTTTTGGGGCTTTGAATACACTGTCACCAAATTTGTATGGCACGAAATATATGTCGAAACAGATACAACAAATACACCTAGAACTCACGACTTTGCGTGAAATTATATTTAGTTTTTTAAATAAACCCCTACGTACCAAACATACTCACACATTCTTTGTTATTTGAATTATTTAAATTACAAACGACCTAAAACATATTCAAATCAATCCTACCTCTAACTCCTTCGGGTGTCTGAACTCGATAAGTGGTACATTTGGAGCTGTTTCATCTTTGACAATCTTCAGTACTCTGTGAAGAAAACTTTCCTGCTCCATCATTAAACATAGGTGTTGTTTGGTCAAACTACAAACGCGTACTGAATTTTCGCGCATTATTTACCGTTAGGTATCATATCTCTGTTAATAAATGCACTTAAGGGCCTCATTAGAATTGTTTCCGTAATTGTCTTTTGTTTTGCTCAGCTATGTATCTTAATTGACTACATACATTAATCAAAGAAACAGTTTTGATATAATATACAGAATAATAATTACTATATCAATACTTCCAATATTATAAAGAGAAAATATTTGTCTGTTTGTTACGAATAAACTCGACAATTTTTGGACTGATTCCAAAAATTATTTTGAAAATGTATAGCCGAGCTAAGTTTAGTTTGGTAAGGAATTTTCCAGACCTTAAAAAGGCATAGGCAATGTATGTTTCTTATATGTAGATATAATATGTACTGAACAAAGAAATATAGTTTGTTTATATTATTATGTATTTAAACAAACTAGCAGCTTAATATGCTGATGCGCGCGTATTTGGAGATTTGGAGAAACTAACCTTTTTTTAAAGAGTTCAAAGATGGTGCACTAATTACACTTTCCGGAAGCCTATTCCAGTCGGCCACTACTCGGTTTGGGAGAAAATCCTTATATGATAATAGTAATAATAATCATGGTACAGTACAGACACTTATGGCGGAATTTGCAGCAGGCCTTTGCCAAAACGGGCACACGGATACTTAGGAATGAATAGATGACAGAAATATCTATGTATTATTAAAATGTAAAGTATCTGAAATAAAAGGCTTTTATTGTTATTATTAATAATAATCCAGTGGCGTTATAACCATAAATGGGTCAGATTGCATCAATTTCTTCAATCATTTCTATTTTATAGGAGATCAACCTTCTGTCAGACACTTGTGGTTGAATTTTGGATTAAAGGCATGTTGGTATCCTCACGATGTTTGCCTTCACATTTGCCTGCCATAAGAGCGAGTGTTAGATGTATCTAACACTATTTAACACAATTTAGCGCAGTACATTCGTACACATCCGGGGATCGAACCTACGACCTCAGGGTTACGAGTCGCACGCACACTTTGTTTATATGACATTCATCAAATATTCTGCAAGTATTACTATTTTCTTGCCACATACCGGCCTTGAAAAGCAACGTATTTCCTACAAATGTAGGAAATATATACATAATGTTATATAGTCATGTGAACTAAAGTATTAATTTCCTTGATTAGTTTCTAACACTGTGTATCTATTATTTTATCCTTAGAATATATTAGGTATAATTCTACATCTTATTTTAAGCACAGCTTCCAATATTTAAAAAAACTTCATTTATTAACAATACAGTAAAAGTGTCGGGAGACCGGCTGAAATTGTAGGCGAACGAAATATTTTTCGTTTTAGACATTTAAATTAAATATTAAGGTCACTAAAAGAAGTTATGATAAATTCATTTTTTTGAAGTTGTACTTCTTTAGGCGCGTTATGAAAAATTGATGAGAGTGAAATTTTACGATTGCGCGCGCACCTATGACACAAAATTGGCAGTGTGATATAGCGTGCGCGAGCGAGATGGGAATAAGACAAACTACAAGTAAAAAGAAATAGAATATGCGTGAAGCTAACTTCACGCATATTCTAGCTTAGCAGCTTAACAAGAATTTTGAATGACCATGACAATTGACATCTGACAATGACATTTACCTTTTAAACAAATATAGGAGTTTTAATTATTGTTTAAAATTAATAATTATATACCTAGTTATTTTCATTATACAAAATATTTGTGAAATAATATAAAATATTTGTGAAAAAACTGTGCTAACCTTCCTGAGTGCTTCAATACAATTGAGGTTAACTATCCGTATGTATTATCGAGTATTATTGTTGATTAAAACTGAAACATGAACCATTATTCATTGCTTTTGTTTATTGCGTTTGTTACAGCAACTTTTTAGAAATATTCTACGACCCTATATATCAATAATTGAGAACAAAGATTTAAGCACGAATACTAATAAGGAGAAAATGAAGGCTTGGAGCGATATAATAGAGAAGTAAACATTTTAATAAGTACCTGCATCTCAAAAAAATGACCACATTATTTAATCAAAACATCAGATTTAATCTAGCAAATATAAGGACAAGAGACAAAAAACAATTGATGAATCAGTGGAAGTGCACTAAATTGAATACAAAAAAAGAGTTGTCATCTTATCGCCGTGAAACATCAAAAACTGGAGGTGGAACAAAGCCACCATCACCTTCTCGAGACACAATGGTTTGAAGTAGATTTCAATGAATTTGATTGTGATGGTGTCGAGGTAGGAATGTTAATTATAAATATGATGTATGGTGATGTTCAAGGTTCAACCTTTCAAGCATAGGCATATGCTTACAACATTACTTTATTCCCCTACAGGGTAGTTAGAGATATTGTAATACCTCAAAACATCCATGTTGCACTTGTAGTACCGAAACTCTGTCCTGCCAGAAGTGAGCCCATTCCCACTTATAATGGACAGTGGGTATAATACACCTTAATACCTGAGTGCGAACCACTCACCATGATACTTAAATTAATAGATGTTATTTATATATTTCAGGTTATTACAAATAAAATCATTTTGGAAACAATTGATATCCCAAAAGCAAATAAAGCCAACAATGACAAGGTAATAAATCAGTTTTGACATAACTTGAATACTAAAAAAGCCAAACAAAGGTGTGCACAACAGTGACAACATAACTTAACAATTTCATTATTTTGTAGGATTAAAGAAAGGTTAAAGAAAATCATGTCGAACTGAACAACAAGAATCCCCAAACAACTCCAAAGAAACCTACAAGGAAGACACCGGTATTATATTTAAATTATCTCTATCTCTAAATAGAATAAAAGAAAGTTGCTATCCAGGTCTGTAGCATGTGCTACAAATTATATTATTAACACATTTATATAATTATATTAATATAAATGTGTTAAAAATTTATAATATGAATTATAAAAATTTTTAAGTTTTGCATGGACAGAGCTTAAATTAATATTCTCTTATTTGTTGCAGAAAGCAAGTAGTTTTGGAGAAGCCTCGTAGATGCACAACCAAGTAATGATTAATTTAAAATTACAAACCGAAATTCTGATGAAGACATTAGAGTCACTTAAAAATAAATAGTATAATGAAATAAAAATGTTTTAAAGATAAATAGTGTTTTATTTGTTTAATGTAAGAGAATAATAATAAATATTTATTTAATTAATTTTTCAAATGTAAACTGAACTTTATTGACTTTAATGACTCCTTTTCCAGTCTTTGATTATTTAATTGTAATTAATTATTTGCATGCAATCAAAAACTATTTTTAATAATGCCAAAGAAGTATAACTTCTTACGCGCGTACATAAGTACACGCACCCCTTTTTTAATGGCCCGCACGGTTTGTGCATTGTGGCCCAGGGTCAAAAACAGGGAAACGGGTAAAAACATAAAATTATCGGCTGGAAAGGAATTTAGGAATAGAAAATAATTAATCTATAAAATAAAAGATCAATTCTTATAAATCTACATACAAAAAGAGTGTAAGAAAACATATTTACATATATTTACGTTCATATTGTCTAAATTTTTATATTATTACTTAAGATAAAAGCTGCTAAAAGTTTATATACATATGGGTCCAATGTTGAAAGTAAACATAATATGGATGAAGGGAAAGGAATTTGATGGGAAATGAGACCTTCGAGAAGAGCCGACGGGTCGCGTCGAGGACAAACAAACATGATGTGATTTAAATAACCTACATCATATCCGCATTAAATTTTGACGTAAAAATATTTATATTAGAACGAGAAAAATAAATAGAAACTATACAAATTTTATTTACAATAGCAGCAATGACTGATAAGTCATCTCCGAATGAGGGAAGTGGAAATAAGGAATAGGGGAGATTATTTTTAATGACTATGGCAACACCGCCATTGCCGTCAGGTCTGTCCTGTCGGAGAAAACCATAACCTGGAATTCGAAAAGTCAATTCCGTGTAAAGCCATGTTTCCGACAGATTTGAGACAAATGTTTCAAATTTATTATGCAAATGGATTAAATCATTTTTATTGCAGATAGCGCTTCTGCAATTCCACTGGATTATTTGATCGCGTTCGTGACGCATTAGAGGATTTTGAGTTGAGGAAGCTATCGTTGGGCGACGTTGTTCGGTTACGTTGTTGTCAGAGTTAGAAGTGGATTTAATTTAAGTCACAAGTTGCATTATATCAGAGATTGAGAACATTGTTTCATTATTGTTAAGGTTACTGTTTATAAAAGCGACCCCGTTAGAAGGAGCTGGAGCGTCGTAGTCCTTGATCAAATTGATGTGTTCTGTTTTGTTATACCCCAGTCGTTTTAGTTTGGGGGATGTTGGTTTAGCAAATATTGTTTTCTTATAAGATCTACTATACGACGGAATCGAGGGAGAAGAAGGCGATACATGTGGGACAGGAGAATTAGGAGTATTCTGGATGTTTGAAAACTTAACTATATCAGCAAAAGATTTTGAAACTGGATCATACACTTTATTTGCTTCTGCGTAAGATATACATTTCTGAGCCATATACAATTTAATTTTAGTCTGCCGTTCATATTCTGGACACTTTCTGTTTGTAGCAAAGTGTAGACCAGAACATAGACAGCAAGATGCGGCATCATCTTGTATGTTGCATGTGTCCCCAGTATGGCCTTGGCCACACTTGTAACAGCGGGGCGAGAGTTACAATTAGACTTAGTATGACCAAATCGGCAACAAGAATAGCACTGAATAGTGGGGTATTCGTAAAGTTCCACGGGTAGGGCATTGTAGCAGAGAAATACATGTTTAGGTAGGGTTTGACCATCGAAAGTTATTACAATAGTCTGTGATGGCTTCCACTCAGGAGGGCTGCTGTTACGTACTTTATAATTTAGTCGTCTAATTTTTATAATTCCTCCGCTGCCTGCAGGCAGAGAGATGTTGTCTAATATCTCTTCGGGAGACCATTCCGCGGGAATGCCTCGCAGCAGGCCCATTCGGGTCACATTAAATGAGGGAATAAAAGCTTTGTAACTATTTCTTGCCAGGCAAGGGTTATTAATAAATTCGTTTGCACATTTGTGGTCTGAGAATGATTAGGGATAGGGAAATTCGGTTTCTGCCTAGGATAGGCAGCCTTTCCCTATTGAATTTCCCTATTGATGCTACCATTAATTATGTTTTTAAAAGAATTTTTCTTGAGGAAATACCCAAATTGGATGAGGTGTAGGGAGGAGATGTCCGTATCTGAAGAAACTTTTTGCGCATGAACTACGAATGGCCCTATGTCATAGGCCTCATAAAACGTTCGGCCTATAGGATTTTTTATGGACAAACGTCTCATGGAGGTGATGGGTGCTGTTGGGTATTAACAGTTGTAGTATCTACACGGTCTACTTTGTTCTGAAAACTATCTAGAGCACTAGCGTTCTTAAGCCCAGTATATATTGAGGGAATTTCAATTTCCGGTATTTGGCACGAACAATCAGTGTCCTTTTGTTTGTTCCGACGCGTCGGATCGAATCTTTTTTTCCTTTTGTTGCAGTGTTTGCAAATTTTACCTAGTCGCATTCTTTTTCGGTCATTCCGTTGATCCACATCTGTATCTACACTGGACTCGTCCAGTTTAGAAAATCTATTTTCTATTATAATATTACAAGCTACCTCGGGGGGCGAGCTCCCGATATCCGGGGGCTCGTCCATTTTTTCGTCTGACTCCAGGCCTTGAGGAAAAAGTATACAAACTTACCAGATACTGTAGAATATATACACAAATGAATAAACAAAACTATAAAATTAAACTACTACATACAAATATATACAAACTGATATTTTATACAAGTTAAATTAAATTTAAAAATTTCACAAGAAAAAACACTCGCGCCACGACCAACGTTTCCCGCGCTTTCTCCTTTTTCAAAATTCATTTTTTACAATTGGGAAGTCATTGAATAAAAAAAGAAGAAATAAGTCATGCTCAAATACTTACTTGGCAATTTTCGAACGCAATCATGTTGACAATTGACGTTATACTATTTTTTTTCTGTATGAATCTACAGTATGCAACACATATACGTCATCTGAATACGTCTAATAACAATTTTAGCCATATCATATTTTATTATTTATTAATCCGTATTTATTTAAGGAATAAATGCCTATATAACATTTAATTTTAATTTCTATTGCTAAGTAGATGTCCTGAAAACTAGTTGACGATGTTTCAGCGCGCGACCAATAGGATTCATTACTAAAGTAGATCTCCATGACCTTCTAGACAATCAGGCATATTTACTTCAATGAAAGGTAATAAAATTTAATGTAAACAAATTCAGGATGAACTTCCGAAGGCCGCGCACACGTTCTCGACGGAATTCCCTTAATTTCATAGTCAATAGTGAGAAATGGAGAAATCACGGTAAAAGGATATCGCGAAGAGATGATGATTTCTTGGAAGAAGACTCGGAAGATGATATTGCACAGGTATTTTTACTACATACTCTGAAAGGTATAGCATTGTACTGTTACGCTTATGTTGGTCCTGGAATTAAGTTGCTTAAACAAAGTACATTCTTTGGACGCAGAATTACCTTTCTAAGATTACGAGACTACTCAATATGTTTTTTTTATAAATATATTTTTTTTATTTATACCCGACTGCAAAGATACGCAATTTATAGACGACATTTTCACGGAGGCTACTTCCTTAGGGTTTTGTTTCTAGTAATGTCGCTACTATTTAGGCTTTTCTCCTAACAGCTACCTACTAACCTATCTCCAGCAGCGTGATTGTACCATGAATTTTTTAGGCTGGTGAGCTTAAAGATTGGGTGGAACGATTCTATGTCCGCAAGAGCGTGTGCGTGGACAAGTCGGATCAAGATGTAGAGGTTAAATTGAACAAAAAACAAACACTCATTCTTTCTACATTAGTTCCTGATGAAATTCTTCTCATAGATAAGTAAGTAATGATTTCTTTAAAATTAACTTTACCAGAAACTAAACACTGTACCAAACTACTAAACTAAGTACTGAAATCCTTTTTGAAAGAAATTTATACAGTCTATATTGATCTTCATTTTGTTTAGCTATTTTTATTACCTAAGATTATAGAGTACCTAACTCTTATACTATTATATTTTTGCAGATTCAGTTCCGAGGATTCTACTCGATTTGTAGGAGTTCTCTTAATGGCCGACGTATCCGGGTACACTGCTTTATCTGAGAAATACAATACCTATGGCAAAGGCGGCACATACAGACTTACAGTCACTCTAAATACTTACCTTGGATCTCTCATAGAAATAATTTACAGTCATGGTGGCGATGTTATAAAATTTGCAGGCGATGCATTTCTGGCACTCTGGAAGACAGATAAGAGAACATTCATTAATCATACAATACATACTGCCATTGCTTGTGCTCTAATTATACAGCACTCCTTTGGTTCCTACGAAACTGATGTTAAAGTGAATCTCAAAGTAAAACTGGCTATATCAGCAGGCAACCTAATTTTTTCTCCCATAGGAACCGGTATAGATATGAATTATGTTATATTTGGATTGCCGGTACTAGAAGCAAAAGCTGCTGAGAGCGCATGTGCTTCCGGTGAAGTAAAATTAACACCCTCGGCATGGGGGCATTGTTATTCTCGAAATTATGATCATGTTGTTGATGCTAATGGTTACGTAACTATAAAAGCTATATTATATGACCCTCACGAAAAAGATGTCACCAAACCCTTCCTAGGATTTGGTCCTTTAATACGACAAATAAAAAAACCATTTATTTCTATTGAAAGCCTTCCAGAATTTCTTTACATGTCACCCGATGAATTAAGCGCGGCTGATATATCAAAGCGCAATGAAATACTTAGTCTACGTAAAGCAATCTTGCAAGCGGAAGATAAAGATATTGGGTCAGAGATCAGAAAGTTTATGATTAGACCTATACTTACGCAAATTGACGCACATCAGCCCTTAGAATATTTAACGGAAATGAGACAAGTTTCAATTCTTTTTATAACCTTAAAGCCCAGAGAGTGTCCCTTTTCACAACTTATAACAATAATAAATAATTCTTATCAAATTACGTGTGAAATTGTGTATAAATCAATGGGCTGTGTAAATAAAATAATTTTATTTGATAAGGATGTAATGATTTTAGTGATATTTGGATTAAGAGGCTTTAAACATGAATCAGAAGCACAGGCAGCATTGAAATGTGCTTACAGCATTAAGAAATCTGTATCAGCATTAGACGGTGTCTTGGAAGTGTCTATAGGCGTAACAACAGGTCAAGTGTATTGCGGAGTAGTTGGACACCCACTGCGTAGGGAATTTACAGTAATTGGAGCTGTAGTTAACAAAGCTGCGAGATTCATGTGTGGATTTCGGAATAAGATAACATGTGATGAAGCCACTTATGTAAAAAGTAAACTGTCGAGTAATGGATTCACTTTGCAGCCTTCAATAGAACTAAAAGGGATAAATACTCCTGGTAAAATATATGAGTACACAGAAGAAATAAGAGTTAAAGAATTATTTGAAATTCCAATTATTGCGCCTTTACTAAATCGCGTTGATGAAATGGAATACTTTCAAAATTGGATTAAAGATTATCACCTGCCATTTCGGGATTTTGATGCATTATTACTTATAGGTGAACCTCGTTTAGGAAAGACAAGGTTGTTAGAATGGATGGCTCGTTATGCGAAAAGTAAACAGTTTAAGGTTTGCTATTTGACTTTGACCTCGGTACATTCCGCATCACAATATTTAGCAGTAAGTCAAATCATAGATCTATTGTTAGACATTAAACATCCTGTCAAAGGTTTTGAGAAGGAAGAAAGAATTGTTAAACTGTTAAAGTATTATACAGACGACTTTTGCTACTTAAATAATATCCTTAAATTGCGTTTCGCCTACCATGAAGGCGTAAGTTTACAGAATGATGAAATGCAGAACGAAAAAGCCAAAGAGATATTCAAAAAATTACTATTTTCTATCGCCGAACCATGTGTGGTATTTATAGATGATCTTCAAAATTTAGATCCACTATCTTGGGAGTTTTTATCGATTTTCTTCAGCTGTATGAAAATCTTTGTAGTTTTTACTGTAACACGTGGTAAATTTAGTACTATTCATAGCTGGCTCTATAGTGTTTTTATTAGCACCAACATTAGGAAAATTGTTTTAGGCCCATTAAATTCGACCTGGATAGCACCTCTGGCTTGTCAAATATTAGACGTCGATGCTGTGCCAAATGATCTTTGCAATGCATTACGTATCAAATGTAATGGAATGCCTGGTTTAATTGAAAGTTTCATAATTCATTTATTTTCTAGCGGTTCGTTAGAAATTAAAAGTATTAAAGATTTAGGTGAGTGGAAAGAAGAAGACCTACAGTTTCCAGAAAAGTCTGTATTACATCCAATAGCTTTGAATGATACTGACCAGTCAGTATTAGACCAGTTAATACAAGATAATACCACAGGAGATATAAAGATATGTGTCGTATCAAAAAAAGAAGAATTAAAAACTGATGTCAATGTTCAAAACATGGATGTTTTAATAATGATACAAATAGATTCACTAACACCATATCAGCAATTACTTTTAAAAATTGCATCGGTTATAGGAAATGTCATTTCAAGGGATTTATTAGAAAATATAATGTATGAAAACGACCCAATAACAACAGCAAAAGCTGTAAAACGACTTTTTGCAATGCGAATTTTTACATGTGGAAACGCAAAATACAAATATAATCGAAAAACTACATCGACTTTAACTATAGGATCAGATATTTCTTTAAGAGGCGACTTAACATGCGACTGTTATTTTGAATTTGATTCAGAAAATATTAATAAACTTCCGAAATACGCATTTTGTAAAGTAATGAAATTCAGAAATAAAAATTCCCGAAAAACATGTTATGAACTTTTACCATTAAATCAGAAAAAGGAATTTCACTCCCGTGTAGTAAATTATTTGGAATCCCAAAAACAAAAATGCTCCGACTGTGGAGGTACAATTATTATTGTTCAGTCTATCTCGAGCTTGTATAATGATCGAAATTACGACGATTATCACAAAATCAGAGAGAACGAAATCCAAAATGAAAGTATAACTGATGAAGAAAATGATGAAATTGGGAGTAGTAAACAAAATACAAGTAAGCATTCTACTTCCCTTTCAATTATACCAGAATTGGCTCAAAATTCAAGCCATAATAATGAACCCAAAGGAACAACAAGTGAAATATTATCTAAACGAGAATCTATTCATAGTCAAACCCAACAAACAAATAGTGCGCAATTTACGTCTATATTAAAAACTACTAAAAGTGTTGATGATAGTATAAAACGAAAGTCAATAAAACGTGTTACGATGTCCAATCTCGTTTTCAGAGATATAAGTATAGACACCATAAAAAGTTACGCTGTATTCGATATGTTTCGAGCTGTTATGGAAGCCAATAAAATTAGCGATTGGAAAGATCTAGGAATCATTGACGACGAAGATAGTGACAAAAATAACGACAAGAAATCGTATAAGTTAAATATTGAGAAAGGGGTATCAAAAACCGATTTTAACAAATGCACTTGTTCAGACTTGAACATTATTATTTATGAGCAACTAATACATCACGCTACTGAAGCCGGACTAAAATGCAAAGTATTAGAATTTCTTATTAGATATAGTGAGTTGAGTATTCTAGCAAATAATTTCTCAAATGCCATCCCCCAACTCGAAACAGCTGAACAAATACTATTATCTGACAAGTCTATTGATAATTTAAGCAAGTTTGACAGAAAAAAGTTTTTAGGTAAAATATATGCTTTACAAGCAGCTTCTTATTTGATGAGCAATAAATTGATGGCTTCGAAAATCCACATAGAAAAAGCTGCAAAAATTTATAATATCAACTTAAGAAAATTATCTGACTTGACAGATTTTCGTTACATTTATAATTATATCAAGTCAAAACGACCCAAATATCGGTTACAAGATTCTTGTTTGAAATCAGACTCAATATTTTGTTTAAACGTGGCTACCATGCTTTTTTCTACATTAGAAGATTTAAAAACTGCTAGAGTCGCAGCTCTACGAGCTTTATTTTTGGTTCAAAAAGTTGACTGCAATAACATAGATTTATGTGACGCATTCACCAATGCTATTCAAATTGAACTCGACAATGGAAAACCAGATCTTACAGAAAATATCGAAGGCATAGCTATTACGACTTTAAAGAATCTATCAAGACCTATTCAAGCCGATGAGTTATTTGCTTTAGGCAAAATGTTTATGGCTACGTTTCGCGCAAGAACAGCACGAGGTAAACTTGCAGCCGGAATTCGTTCTGGATTTCGTGCTTTAGTCATCAGCCGATTCCTACACGCTGATAAAATATCTTTAGATATAATACCGGATTTATTTTATATTCTTCTGTGTCGTAGTCGAATAGAAGAAGCTGTTGATGTTATGAAACTTTTACTGGAATTAAGTCAAACTCATAATTCATTAGAATGCGAGACGTGGTACTACGCCCTTGCTATTGATATGATTTTGGATTGTGGCTTCCAGATAGAATCCCCTCAAGAAATTAGTCGTTTTGCTGAATATGCAATAAGCGTTGGAAAATCAGCTGGTATTAGTAGGAGACGACTCGTAGTTGGAATATGGACGTACTGGCTTCGCGTGGATGTAGAACGTAAAGCAAAACGTTTTGAAAACGAAGCATTAAATTGGTGTGGAAATGAAAATGATGATGGCTCATTAAAAACTTTATTAAGTGCCTTACGATTAGCCGAGGGCATGTTGGAAAGCTTGGCAAAAAAAGTTGATGACTTAAAAAAGGTGGTATGATCTAACGTTTACCATTTCTTAATACATATTTTAATAATACAAACATATTCTATTTAGGTTGTTGATTTGATGGAACTGCGATCATTAGCTGACAAAGAATTGATGCGGTTGGAACAAGACACGAAAGTTTTGAAAGCTATAGGACCCAGGTGGCTTTTACTAAAGGCAAATTCATTAAATTTATCTGCACGCTGCAATGCTGCCAAGGCAACTTTTACACAGGTAAATGAATCTGCCTAAAATACAATATTAGTAATATCACGTTACATAAAAGCCGGTACAACTATGTTTGTTTACATTTCACGTAGGTTATTGCATGTAGATATTATTTATAAGGCAAAGGTAGGTAAGTGGCAGTGACTTTCTCCGTCGAAATTCTCATCTATATGGGATCATTTTATGCTTTGGTCCGTAAATGTTAGAGTTACGCACCCAAAGACGAAAATAGTTTTTTAAGTCAGTTAAAATATATAGGTAATAAAAATTTGCTTTTCCTGTCTTTTCAGGCATTAGACGAAGCTCGTAAAATAAACAATCGCTTGGAAGAATCAATGATTCTAGCTGCTCTTGCAAATTCTCAACTTTGGATACAAAGTGGTAAAGCTGGGACATTCCTAGAATGGTGGACCGGCGCCGACAACGCGCGGTCTTCTTGGCATCAGATTATGTATAAGATAAATAATACCACTCGACAATAAATCTTAAATCATACTAAAACATACTTTTACGTCCTAAATTTCTAAAAAAATTAATGAAAAACAAACCGAAAAAGTGCGTCAAGTATGAACTAAAAACTATAACTGTCTTACTGTCAAGTGTCAAATATTCGATGGACTAAACTACGTAACGTAAACAAAGAGTTGTAATTGCTAATTGGTAAACATTATCAAATTAGACGAAAAAAGTTAATATAAATTAGTGTGATTTTACCATACCATTTTAATTTTTATAACAAAGTTTTTAATTATTGCAAATTTTTAGTACAGATGTTAATCTGGCTAGCCATCTAGTTATCTTTATTTAACGCAGTTAACCAAAATTATGTGCGTACCTATTCGACAAGGCACAATGTAATGTTTAACTGGAGATAAGAGATTAACCTGTCATCAATGTATCACAATCTCAGTTAAATAGATACAAGACCTATTTATTCCAATTGTATTGATAACTTATCTAAAATACCTACATGGGCCAAAGAGCTCGTACTAAACAATTTTTATCAATGTACTATCTATTTTATTATGCTGCTATTCATTTTATTCACGACACGACTGTTGTTCAGTTAGTTTAGAAATTATAAAGATGTCCCAACTTGTATTTGTTGGAGTAATAGCATCAGCTAGGTCTTTAAAAGATCTCAATGCTTTTACTGGATATTTAAGTGTTGAAAGTGGTGTGGTAAGTAATTTGACTAAATACATACTTTCTTACTGTCTCTAATTTAACATAAAATATGTTAATGTTAGGTATGAAATGATTAACTATATACAAATGTTATTTTTGTGTTTTAATTTATTTGTAAGTACTGTGTAGATGTGAAGTGTAGTGTGAAGTAGCCCTGTATAAAATTTCAATGGTAAGCTATATTGCAACAAAAGGATTCCATGTCACAAAATTTTAGTCCATTAATATTTATATATATGAATAGAAGGAATAGCATAGAAAATTTATATGATGTACTCTATTTTGATATTTCCCTTGAATATGCCAGTTTAATTTTTTTACATACTTTTTCAGATAACCAGTATAGGCACAAAAGAGGAATTGGATAATCAAAAAAATAAATTTAAGGATTTTAAATTTATACATCTGGAATCAAACCAGTTTTTGATGCCTGGTCTTATAGACTGTCATACACATGCTCCTCAATTCCCAAATATTGGTCTTGGCTTAGATCGACCACTGCTAGAATGGTTGGACAAGTATACATTTCCACTAGAATCTCAATATAGTAATATAGATTTTGCTTCTAGTGTTTACAACACAGTAGTTGTAAGTTAAAAAACTTTATTTAATTTCTTATGTCTTTCAATTACTTTATAAAGTACAATGTTTTTTTATAGCAACGTTTGTTAATAAATGGAACCACAACAGCATGCTATTTTGGGTCTTTACACAAAGAAGGTTGTTTGGAATTAGTCAAAAGTGCCATTAAATATAAACAAAGAGCTTTAGTTGGCAAAGTAAGCATGAATATCAAAAACAATATTGGTTATTATAATGATACACAAACGGAACTGAATCAAACAGAGGAATTTATTCAAAGTGTTTTGGAATTTAAGGTATTTATTTGTACAACCACTCAATGCATCTTAGGGGTACATCTAATTTCTATATCATACAAAAAAAACTTGATGTCTCTTGAAACTTTGCCGTTAGAATGATGTTCTAGAATATGGGCCTTAATCTGTGCTTACTGAGAATGTTAGGGAGCGTTCAAGTATTACGTCACGCAATTTTTGGAGATACTATCCCCCACCCCACCCCCATGTAACGCGCCGTAACGTTTTTCTGCACCCAAGTATAGTGAAACGTTTCGTGACCATCTAGTGACTCTTTATACCTAAAAGTTACCATTATGTGTAAAGTACTGGAAAGTCGAAAATAATATTAACAGTAACGCGTAATTCAATCCCTGCCCCCTATCGTAACGTTTTACAAAAGGACCGCCCCCCAAATTCGTTACGTAATACTTGAACGCTCTCTTAGTGATGAATCCATTTAATAAAAATAGTTGTATGTATATGTAATTATAGGCCTAAATTATATCCAAAATAATATTTTAGAGTGAATTAGTACATCCAATAGTAACACCACGATTTGCTGTGAGCTGTGATCATGAATTAATGTGTGGCTTGTCAAAGATTGCACAAAAATATAATTGCAGAATACAGGTAAAGCTTTAAGACTTTAAAATGCTTATACAAACATCCTAAGAACCAATGTTATAAAATCTATTTAAGTGTTTGCTTATAATCTCACATCTATGCATCATTACAAAATTATTTTTGCAGAGCCATGTATCAGAAAATACAAAAGAAATAGAGCATGTGCTAAAATGTTTCTCGGAATGTACAACATATTCACATGTTTATGATCAATGCGGCATTCTTACGAAAAAGGTAAGTTTGTTTTACAAGAAAAATTTAAGAAGTATAAATAAACTTAAAAAATGTTTTTTAAGACATGAAAACGAAATATAATTATTTTAGTGTATAATGGCACATGCTGTGTACTTAAGTAAGAAAGAGATGGAACTATTTGCTAGTAAGGGTGTCTCTGTCGCACACTGTCCTGCTTCTAACACTAGACTCAGGTCCGGACTCTGTCCAGTTAGAAGGCTTATTGATAACGGTGTCACTGTGGGACTTGGGACTGGTAAGATAATAAATATTTATAGTATTCTTTACACTTTACCAGTTAAAGCAATAATATAAAGGAACATAGGAAATGTATTCCTAGGTTTCATTTTTAATATATTGACTAGCTGATCCGGCAAACGTCATTTTGCCATGTATATCATTTATAATAAAAAATAGGGGTTGATCGTAGAGGGGTGAAAATTAGGGGTTGTATGTATTTTTTAATGCTGTATCAAAAAAAATAAAAAAACCTTTTTATCTAAAAATTAAAAAATAATAATTTAGGGGTAGACTACCCTTAACATTTAGAGGGATGAAAAATAGATGTTGTCCGATTCTCAGACATACCCAATATGCACACAAAATTTCATGAGAATCGGTCAAGCCGTTTCGGAGGAGTTTAACTACAAACACCGCGACACGAGAATTTTATATATTAGATTTTACTACATAGACAAAATATTAATAATATACCAAGATATTAACAAAAATATTGAATGGTTTATTTGTGCAATTTCAATAAGTAAATGAAGAAAAAAAATTAACACTTATAATTACCACAATTTTCTTTTTTTTTCCTTGGGAATCTAACCTAGGAGTTCAGGGTTTTATGCAGTGATCGCTTAAAATCAATTATTAACGCGTGAGAAATAGCATGGCATTTTTAATAGATGTGTCCGGCGGCGACAGCGCAACAATTTTAGATGCAATGCGACGAGCAATGGATGTATCGACACATCTTGAACTACTTGGGAATGAGGAAGCTATCACTTGGAAAGAAGCTTTCTACCTCGCTACTTTGGGAGGCGCTAAAGGTAATAAAAACTTCATCCATCTCTATCGTTTTTTCCTGGGTTTGAATCCCGACATCTCATCTATAATAAGCTATGCAGGTATTTTTCTCCTTTTGTTTCACATTCTCGTGCCCGAAATGACATAGGCATCTTGACAATGACAAGCGGCTGTAAAAAATAATCAATATTTGCGTTTTTCTATGATTAATTAAAATACTTACAAGTGAATAAAAAGGTGTTTGTTTTCAGCATTGAATCTCGACGAAAAAATCGGCAATTTTGCAGTTGGCAAAGAGTTTGACGCGCTTGTCATTGATGCCTATTCGAAAAATGGTCCAACTGACGATTATGTTTACCCATTACCTGCCGATGATGAAGAGCATATTTTAAACATTCTTCAACGGTTTTTGTACGTAGGGGACGATAGAAATATCGTTCAGGTATATGTTAAAGGAGAGATAGTTAAAGATAATCTGTGATTATATTTTATATGAAATAAAATATATTTATTTATTTATTATTAAAATTTTGTTATCATAATCAATATCATATTATTATATTTTTCTTGATAATTAGAGGTTATGAGTATGAGACTATTTAACTGGTGCTTTTAAACCAAAACAGATTTACAACAATTACGTAAAGAATACTATACTGGAATACTATATAATATATAGCTATAAGTGTAATAAAACATCATATTTATTAATTTCGTGTAATTATTTTGTTATATGGAAGTGCAAATACAATATAATAACGGAATTTACAAAGTCTAATACAAGATAACAAATTTAGTACACATTCAAAACAATTTAAACAGACGTGAACTCTCCAACAATTCATTCTCTCCTCAATGTCAAACTTATATCTAAAAAACTGGTAAAGTCGGTGGAATGATAACGCGATATATTCGAATAGATAATAAAAATACTAAACAGTCTTATAAAATCAATTCATCTTATCAAAACCAATAAATGTGTGATGCTATGATTTATCGCCACTACATTGACTATTGCGTATACAATTACATAATTAATTTAAATGGGTCAAACAAACACATAAAAATTAATTCTAACATTTGCCCCTATGCTTGTAGTATGAGAGTAGCATATGCCCACTCAACGTTAGTTTTAAATTCATAACTGTATAAGGAAAAGTCGTAATGAAAATCCATTCATAAAAGGTAATTTAAAAAAGTTTTTCTACTACCATTTACAATATTAACGAAGATCCCAACATAGCTTCATTCAATATACATAGTGTTCGATATTGAAAAGTATGCGGGTATAATTTTATTACTGACGAAAAACCATAGCCTCGCAATTAAAAGTTCTATATAATTTAAAAGCTAAATTTCCAAATAGGACGCATTTGAAAAACCGACAAAAAATATAACGTTAAAAAATAAATTTCGTAATTATAAATTGTAATTTGGAGAAAGCAAAATTGCATTTCCATGTACCATAAGACTATATCTAGCCGATGAACACAAACTTGGACGTAATCCAAGATAATCTATAATATATAACATCGAATTGGCGAGAGCCTCTAATAAACACTAATTACTAGTATATAATACTATAGAAAATGCGTAAAGAATGATCGGTACACCGAAACCACGCTTGACACAACGAAAAAAATACTTCTTACAAACCATACTGCTTGATTTGCGCAACGGAAACAATGAACACAATTTTCCTTGAACGTAGTTTTTAATCAAACATCACTAGGGACCGCCATAGCGTGGCTTTGGTAAACATAGGTAGATGTATCCCACAACCACACTTGAGCTGCCATTAACTTAACAAAATGTACTCACAACGTAACTTCCTTTCAAACACCTCAAGATTTTCATAATATGATAGTTTATATATATAGATAAGTTATGCGCTAGCCGAACTAAAATCAATTGGCTCAAAAGCAGTCTTAAAATTACAATAATGAGATACTATTATGGTAATGTGCGATAGATTATATTTACAGTTTACAATTCTTTTGAAGTTAACACAGTTAAAATTCACTAGAATCGACATCGCATAATGGGCCCGTTCCTACGTTCATCTTCCAATTTGATTTCTACGAACAAAGCTACTCTGGAATCGATTAACTTCTTTTAGCGACTTCCTAGATGTGATTTTTCCTCCCTCGGCTGTTTAATGTAACAAAACAGCCGTTTTTGAGAAAAAGGACTATCAAATTACAGTCTGTAAACTGGCCAAATAAATATAGGAACAGGCAAGTGTTCTTCTACGATACATTTTACATCTAACAATTTAAATAAGTAGTACATAATATTCATAAGAAACTTCACAATCATCTAGCACCTATACAAAACGCTGGAGAAGTCAGCAAACTCGTTTAACATTTTCACTGTGCATGCGTAGGTTTTCAAAAATTTAAGTAAGATTTTTTGCAACTACCCACTTGAAAACGCACAGAACAATGCGTAAACCTTTCTTAGAAAACTTCTAAAGACGTAATTTAAATTCGATACTGTTTGATGGTATTTGTACTATTGCTTAATAGACATTTAATACCTGATTGTGTCTTGCTAATACATAAATGAAAAGGAAATCAGTCTTAACGTGGCTTCATAACTAATTTAATACTATGTGATGTATAGTAAGCCACAATTTATAAGGAAATTATAATACGAGGTAGAGAGAAATGCTGAAATATTAAAACTATTTTATAACATCTCACAAACATCTATCAAAACGTAAGCGACACTGCTCCTCTCGATACTAATATTAGAAAATAAACTAATCATTTATAAATTCATAATACATATAATTCGTAATATTCGTGGTGTCGCTTACGTTTTTATCATACGATCAGTACATAGAACAATAATTTTAAAACTACCAATATTTACAGGAATGTTCTTTTAATATGTCAAATCACGTTTTTTGTTCGATAAGACTCCCTAAAGTAAAGGAACTTAAAAGTTTTTAGTCAAAAATGGCACATCTGTAAAGCTTTCTTCCGTTCATATAAATTTTCAAGTCCAAAAAAGTATGTAATATTAAAATTAAAACTATATCAAATTTTATAGATCTTCAAATAATACTTCTCTAAGGTAATAAATCATTTAGAAAAGTCGTTCGTTAGTATACTCAAAATAATTTATTTACTAATTGATTATTTAATTTTTCCTCGAACCATCACAATGTGCATTGAATAAAAGTTGTACGTTAGATCCTTCGTGCCAGTTTCTTTTCTTTAATCTATGGCTAAGGATAAATATAGCAGCTTTTTGTTTGCTAATTGCATTGACATGACTACAATAGAGATAGTTAATTAATCATTAGAGTACTATAGACGTCTAAGAGTAATATAATAGAGCGACTATGTTACTTATAATTTTCTATAAGGACTAAATAACAATTAGACTAAAATTTTGCCCAAATATATTTGATTCTAAAAGTTCATAGAAAACTCCATGATGACGATTCGTAGTGTTTCGGTCGGAATACAAATTATGTGATTAGTTTGAATATAAACGCGTGCTTCCTATATGTTTTCGTTTCTTACATGAAAGGACTGTATCTAGAAAAATCATTAACCTAGACATACATTCCATCGAACAAATACAAAATGCAGTGTTTAGAGAGTGATTTGCCACATCTGGTGACAGCTGCTACATGAGTCTTTTGCTTCAATTCTAGTCACCACCGTGTTAGGCGATGATATGGTGCTAAGGAAGAAATCAAGTATAATGTAAGCAGGGCCGAGGGGTATTATATATTTAAAGATTTCTACACTAGACCACACTTGCGATTTATTCCCATTTCTGACGTAAGACCTTATGCTGCTTACATGATACTTAAACGGTCCTCAAGCCGTGTGAGGTGCTAACGCGTGCAGTGGCATCGCGGACAGGCGTCGGGTCAGGCGGTCACTTTACGAGGTTGGAGAGCGAGCGGGATTTCAGTGTCGGAGTGCGTGAGCGCACGGCACAGGCGAGCGCGCCGCGAACGTCGCCGCGAACCGCGACGCTCGCCGCCTGCGCGGGGGGACCATGTTAGTATTCACATTTATAGACGAGATATCACAGTTTTTACCAGGGGCCTACGTAAACATTTCAAACGTTGGCGTACCCCTGGGAGTGAATTCCAAATTTAAAAGAACGCCTTCGAGCCTTCGGTTGCAAAAATTTAGCATAAGAAAATAGTGCTAGATAATTTAAATTTCATATATTTCAAATTCAGCCGTGGGCTCACTAAGACGTTCCAAAAGCTTTAAATTTCCAATGACGAAAATTGTTGCGATAAAAAGCAAAACTGTGTCATTGTAGTAGAACTATTGTAGAACAACAAGTAAAAGAACACAAGTTAAAAGATCAGTTTTACTCCTTACATAAAATACATAAAGTACTAATTCTATAAGCTTCTATCATGATCCACTATAATGCAAATCAAATCTTAGTATTAGGATTATATTACTGAGTTGTAAGGTAATAATGCAAATATTGATTTACTCCGCTTAATATGATTTAAAACTGAAATCATATACAGCAAGAAAATAACTTGTTCGATTAAATCGCTCATTTTTAAGGCAGTATTCAAATGAGGTATAAGTTTAGACAAAGTATTTGTTGACCAACTAATTCTCACCAATTACCGTAATATTTATTTAATCGAACAAATTGCTGTCCGTCCCATTATCAGAATAAACCATGCCTGAACTTAAGAACCTAATGACAAAACTACAATGTCAAACTTACCCTTGACAAAACACAGACAACCAAGGCATTCAAACAATCAGTTAAATAAAATATACAATGTGAAGGAACGAGACCTAGTTAAAATCCTTGAAGAGTGTAAAATACATGCGCAAGCGCACAAAGAATTGAAGGACATTTGACATAAAGCGTGACAATTAGATACATGCATACGTGAACCAAAAAAACAGAGCTAAAGCTACACCCTTAGCGTAAATACTGTGTCAGTAAAATATGAAGGCATTTCATCTATTTTATATAACCTCATTTGTTCATAGTTCCTCATTACTTTCTAGATTAGATGTGTTCTTAGTGATTACAGTTGCAATTTCATTTAAAATGTTTTTGTATTAATTTAAATTTGAAATATATACTTAATAGCATTACACTTAATATTTTTTTAAATCAATCTCTTAAATAGTGACCGGTAAATAAATCAGCCTGTGTCGTTAGATGCGCAGCGGGCGCGCTTGTTTATTAAAGGTAGAAATGCCTTCAGCCATGTTAGTCCACCGCACCAAAACACACTAGCACAGTACCGTTACGCGAGGGCGTCAAAATAAGAACTCTAGGCAGGCGACAAGCACGTAAAGTGCGGTGCTCTCTGATTGCCCGAAGGTCGGAGTGGGCGTTTCGGGGTTGTCGGGGCGGGGCGTACCGGGGCGCGGACGGGCGTCCAGCGAAGCCGCGGGCTGCAGGAACCACTCCGAGCGGGTTTGCATACGCGCACGCTGCCGCTCGTGGACCTAACAACACCCGTCACCCGTCACCGCCGGCTCAGGCTACGGAGCTGTACGCGACTGCACTTTGTATGTACTATTGCGTGTATGACCACTCACAATAAGCGTTTTGTGCAATTATATTCAATACAGATTTTGTAAAACAGATAATATTATTATAAAGTACCTTTTTATAACAACTAAACTTATCGATAGATAAAGTATAATAACCAATTATCATGGCGATAAAGAAAATTATATTGAAAAATACAAGTGATTTGTTTTTTATAATTTTGTGGATTTTACTGTCCGCCTACTGCTCCGTAGTTCATACTGTATACATAGATCGATTAAACTACATACATGAAGTAAGATATTGTAATATTTATAGCTTATATTATTTAATCGATCGGTGTACATAGCGCCTGATAAAATTAAAAGATATGTGTGTTGGCAGTAAGAACTGACAACTTTTAACAAATATGTTTAATCAGAAATATAAACCTTCACCATAATTACAGTTTCTCATATTGTGTTATATTTCTGATAAACATACAAAATTGAAAACAAATCTCGCTTGGCAACTGTAAAATCAAATTCTGTCAAATACTTCTAACCTAACTTAAACACATTCGAGTTCAAAAATCATTCATCAAACTACAATCGAAAAGGAACTATACCGTTAATTTGTTAGCTAAACACAGAAATGTTAGTCCTGTTAATCCTTTCCCACGGTTAGTAAACAAATCGACAGGAAAAATACAAAAAAAATCTTTAAGCGACTGAAATATATCTGTCAACCCTGAACTAAATTTCACACTGAGCAATTCAACGAGTTGATTACAACTGAATAAATAGCAATAGGACCTAAATAATGCGGACAGTTATTGCCATGCGAAGAATAACAATCTTTTACAAAACTATACCATTTTGTAAAAGTTTGGTAGGGCAACACAGAGTGAAACAGATCCATTGTGATATCTACAGGGTATCTACAGTCAACATCACCATTTAAAATAATATATCCCTCAGTGTGCGCTAGAATTTAAATATAGAGTTAATATATCCCACACTGAATTTATACATGTATACAATATACAGAGATTTCAATTCATCTATAAAAGCAGTTTTATTTAATTCATATCGGATCTAGTATGTTTTTTAATACCATTATTTTTATTATATAACAAATCTTTATAGAAGTATATGTAAATTACTTTCTAAATCAACAATTTCAATTGAAGTTATTTCGTAAACACAAATGTGACTCGCACGTGCACGTCTACGTATACGTTCGTATACGTTCAAAGTTAATTCGCTATTTTAATAATATTTATAAATCACGTTAAAATTCAATTAATATTTTTCTTTCTTAATGTCTTTTGATCTTACCTGAGGTAAGTAGGAGAGACTTTTAGTGCTCTCAGCGTACTTGTTGATAACTCGAAGTTCTTCTAATGTCATGTGCGGGCTAGAGTTGCTACACGATGACTGAGATGATGAACTGACTGACACCTGAAATTTGACAGTAAATTCTTTGAGGTTCGTCTGCGAATCAAATATCAATATAAGAACTGTCGAACTATTTAAAGAAACATGGGAAAGCGGTTGGAAGATAAAATCAAGTCAAAGACGAAGAAAAGCAGACGGATAGATGAGACAACAGCTTTACTGACATTACAGAACATTACGGGCTATTTTCTGCGCAGCGTTCTGTCAGCTAACGTTATATCATCTTGACGCGGAAAGTAAAACAGACGGACAAATATTGGAATGTATCTATCGATAAGTACAGAAAACATTCAGCGTTTTTAGCTAACAAAATATAAATCGTACGTATAAAGTTCAAAAAGTTACCTTAAACACGCTTTCCTCAAGTGATATCGATAGACGAGTGCAGGAGTCCAACAAACTGTGTTCGGGAATTATTCCGAGTCCAAGAGTACCCGCTCCACCGGTACCCACTACGCCAATTAACGCAGGCATCGATTGGCATTCTTCGGACTTTGATAAACCTGTAATAATTTAGACCTGTGTCATGTATTTTAACGGCGAGGCACCCGTTATTTTTGATACTTTATTATTACACTAGTTTTAACATGAAATGAGATCTTATACCGCTGGTACTGTATATATGAAGGGTATATACACGATGCGCTGCCATGTAGGCTTACGGTCAATCAGTTACTATACATTCTACAAGAATTTATTATCGTGGGCGAGTTCTGTTTATATTATAACAGTAATGTAATGAAAAAAAAACATAATTTAGAAGAAATTAAAAAGAACTATATCTTTTATTTCCACAATATACTACACTACAAGTATTTTTAGTTTTGTTGAATTAAAATCTGAAATAGTGAACACTTTGCAAGAGATATGAAATGTGAACCAATGATTGAAATAGCTAAAATATGTTAATATATGAGCAACTGAGTACATCAAAATATGTAATGTGAACTCGTGTTATATGTTATCTGTCGAAATATAATAAAAAGAAAGCAAGCAGCAGCAGTTCTGTAAGGTTTAAGGGTAAGATTCAGAAACGAATCTTATCGCGAACAATGACTCACAGATGTCAGATGATTTTTTTTCTAAAATCCTAAATCTTCTTTCTTAGACTCTTCGAAGAATATCTTTGTTAAATTCATATTTACGCCATTTAAGTCCATACAATAAGCTATTCTCGCTTCACTGCTTCTTTATCGCATTTATTAAGGAGTATTTAACAAATCACAAGAATCAAATTAATGTTGTATGAATAACGCTGTTACATATGTAGTAAGACTTGATTTACTTTTACATTCTTTTATTTTTAAGTTGCATATTAAAACCTTCTTCTGTCTATAATAATATTAAAAAGAGGAAAGATTTAATTTTTTGTTTGTTTGAAATGAATAGGCTCCGAATCTACTGGACCGATTTCAAAAATAACTTTCACCGTTGGCAAGCTACACTATTCCCGAGTGACATAGGCTATGTTTCATTTTCAAAAAAATTTGGGATGCTTACTAAAACTTGAATAATCTAACCCAAGGTGTAAAAAAATAAACAAAAAACTTCCTTCAATCGCGTGCGCTGCGAAAACTAAAAAAATGTCGCGGCAGCATGTCTCTATCTTTTATAGTTACGTCATAATAAGCGTCCTTTTAGTATTATTTTTTTTAAATACCACAGCTAGAAAAGGCTCTTTATTCGTACCTAGGTATTGATCCTTATCAAAATAAATACCAACGTTTCACATAAGCTACAATTTAATGGCATAACCACCAAAAAAGCTTGGTGGATTGGTGTTCTAGTGTTTTCTCTTGAATAGTTTACTACTATACAATATAACAAAAATCTTAGCCACAGCAACGCTTGGCCGAGTCTACTAGTAAAATATACTTTGTTTTAAGCGCCATCTAGTAGAAGTTCGAGGACTTTACTTGTTGCAATAATAAAGGCACTTCGTGTAATATTGTTCGATATAAACATTTTTATTATTGATATCATCTAAATTTAGGAATATAAAACACGATTTGATATAAAGACGGCCACTGAATACTGAATATTAGTAATAATGAATGTGATATGGATACTACCTACAGTGTTGCCCTGAACCTTAACCCTTTGTTAAGACAATACTTGAAGACTCACCGAAATACTTTATACAATTTTTACATAGAGCACGTTATGAATTTAACATGTATCATTCACTCGACCTGTGGAAAATATTCTTTTCAGTGCAAATATGACTCTATCCCGAACTAAATGGCAGGATTGTATCGAATACATTAATATAAATATGGAATATGTCTTAGGGAGCGTTCAAGTATTACGTCACGCAATTTTTGGATATTATTGACCCCCCCATTTTAACGCACCGCAAGGTTTTGCTGTACGTGTACGGTTTTACTATCGGGATAGTAAACTATTTTAACGTTTCGTGACCACCCAGTGACTCTTTATACCTAAAAGTTACCATTATGTGGTGTAAAGTACTGGAAAGTCGAAAATAATATTAACAATAACGCGTAATTCAATCCCCTCTCCGCATCGTAACGTTTTACAAATAGAAAAAAATTCGTTACGTAATACTTGAACGCTCCCTTAGGTACAGATGTGTATCATTTCGATAAAATTAATTTTTATTCAATTGTGGTCAATGGGGATGCTGTAATGCATTTGAGTTATGTAAGAATTTGTTCAGGATTTAACTTACCTATATTGTACCCGTATTAAATTAAAAAAAAAAATTATTTACCTTCCAAGTTGTATTTGTTGCCCCAACGATCGCATTCGCATTGCAGCCATGTTTTTTCCGCCTCTAGTGATAATTGTCCTAAAAATTTATTTTAAATATTCATAACACCATCGTGACCGTTTTTACTCTCTAAGCAATGGATAGCTCAAAGTAATACTCAAAGGAAGCATTATTTTTATAATGAAACAAAACTGCAATGTGTTTTAATATTGTGTCTACACCGACAGACAATATACATACAATACAAATTAAACATAATAAGAATAACCTGCACTTTAAGGCATCAATTGCTACAGGTGGTGTAAATGTCTACCTTAATAATAATCTTATTTTTACATACGTTGGTGCAATCACAACCAAATCATGACGAACGCAAAATCAAACTAAACTTTCATCCTTCGTTGAATTTTCAGAAAAACTATGAGAATTACATTTCATTTTATTGCACGCCTCACAGTGCTCTACTCTCGACATGTCAAAAAACCCAGTCTTTCGAAACTTGAAAGACTTTTTTCTCACTAATATAACACTTACAGGATAATATGAGTGCACTAAAATTAGAGTTAAATATCTATCAAGCACATATGGTATTTTTTATGAACAATTATTTTGTTTAACATAGTTAATAATAACATTAATATCAATCATTCTTGGATGTCCGTCAGTCTGTGTTTATGGATCCATGTATGTGGCAGAGAAATTGGTCGAAAAATTTATCGTACCAGAATACTTTTTTTCTTATTATGTAAAGTTATACCCTGGGCTGATTCCTAGTTAATATTAGCGTTCTAAGTACTGTCGTTTAATTATAATTTGTAAAAAACTAAAATACGACTGTGTATTTGTACATTTATTTTAGTATATTTTTTCCTCACCTTACAGTTATGGCGCCACTATATATTTTTTATTATATTATTGTTTTTTTTTCAATCATTCATTTTCATTTATTTTTTTAAATTTTTATTATTTTTAAATGTGAATGACCGCTAAGAGGCGTGCACTTTTGGATTTTCCAAACTTTTTAATGTTTTTACCGGCATTGCTTCTTAGCTGGGTTTTGTTTTGTATTATTTTCTAACAACTGTCTCAATCTTAATATATATATTTCTTCTGTGCGTGTGTATGTGACTGAACTCCTCTCAAACGACTGGACCGATTTTGATAAAACTTTTTGTGTGTGTTCAAGGGGATCTGGGAATGGTTTAGATTCACAAATCAGCCCGGCAGATGGCACTGCAGTCGGTACTTTCATACTTTGCTTAATATCCTAATCGCTTTAAATATCATGCAGGACAACGTCTGTGGGGTCCACTAGTATTGTATAAATAAGGGAAGTAGCGAGCCAACTCCAACACAAGTGTCTCTGACTACTTACGGGGGCTGTCTCAACTCATGTATTTAATGTAAAACTTGAGACACAATAAAATTTTTTTTTTGTTTAAATTCTCACCACACTAGTCAATTGTCAAATTATATTTATTTATTCTAAACAAGTCTAATTAGCATTGGCACTCTTTCTTCTTGCCATAGTGTAACCCTATTAGACAGAAATACACTCAAGAGAAGGGTAATTAATTTTTTGTCAATACAATTTTCAAATGACCTTAATTAAATTCAAAATAAACATAAAGATCAATTCGAGTATCGAATGAGTCTTGTTTTTAACCATTGTTTCAACAAATTAAGTAGTGGAACCAATGACAGACAATTCTGAGGTGAACAAACCATTAATAGGAAGTCGATGTTTTGCACGTAAATATCAACTAAGCCGTGAGAATTTTTCGCAATGTTTTACGAAACCAGTTTACTGTAATGTTAACTGCCTTTTGATGTTGCAATTGTGTGAATTAAGATTATATTTAGATTATCATTATTCATAATCTTTCGCAAAGGTTAGGAAATCATTTGGTGTTCTTAACAATCTTCATTATTTATAAAAAATAACAAAGCGCAACGAAAGAATTGTTAAATACTGTTTTGGGTATTACTGTTGATGATTTACATTTATAATTTTGTATGTATATTTTATGTATAATATGTTTGTCTTTAAACTTCCATAGCCTTCCTGGATCAATGGACTACCAAACCGATGATTTCATGTTGAACCAGCAGTTCCCGTCATTAGCGCTTTCGGTTGAACCTCTTGGTTAAACAAAAATCCTCTTAACCTATCATATTAGTATAGATTTTATTATAATCTCTTACTTGCATAAGCCTCCTGATCTCGGTGGTGTCTGGGTGGGGGCGGGTCGCGAAACGAGCAGATCCATTCATCTTTCACGCGCAAAACTCTCCCAGTAACCCGGGCATAGTATTCATAGTTATCTCGTCCGAAAAGATCGCCGGCGCTAAACTGTTCGATCAGTTGTCGCATTATTCGTGTCGCCACCTACGTTTTAAAACATACATGTTTGATACTGGACAGGCTAATCAGATACATTTCAGTGCGATCAATTACAACTCCCGTAGTGCACATCCAATACGTTTTTAACATAGGGGAATAAGGAGAACATACTTTCACTTGCAATTGGTCGCACTATATACAAATAACATTTTTCTATATATCAGCACTGAAAGAAAAATCTACGACTGGGGAATTCTACGATATCGGGCACAGATTAGAGAACTGACTAAAATTCAAATAATATCAATTTTTCTCAGGGCATAAAGAACATTTGTGCCTATGAGACAATCGAATAAAGACTAAATATGGGTTTTAATCGTTAACTCTACTTTATTTACAAGTTTATACCGAAAATTAGTTTTATTATATTAATGTATAGCTGTATATGAAATCGTAGGCCACTTAATAACTGTGCGTACAATTATTGCCATATATATTCTACATATAGCAGCAAGCATTTCAGCTATCATTTTTATGACTTAACATTGAAATTATATACACAATAAAAGCAAATAGACACTGTGAGTCATAATTGAAAGCAGGATGTGAGCAAGAATTTGTGAATTAAGTCCTTATCTTGTATGAAGTTGAAATTCGACACGTGTTTGGTCCTCACGTCTATGACAATGGGATATTTGACACTGAATCAACATGGCAAATTGCGTAAAAGACCATTAGCGCGAACAATACGATCGAATAATAAACGTAATAGGGCAAGAATATTATGAAAATATGAACAGCGGTAGGACACATACCGGAAGCGCAAATATCGTTCAAATATTATTCCGTCTTTTTAATATCAAGTAATATAAATATGCTATATTATTGACAGCTTTGTTCGCTAATATATATCTATACGAACGTTTATTTCACCTATAAATATTTTTAAGAACTGGCATTTAATCTTTTTGATATCTAGCTTCTATGTATACGATTTTTAGCATTATTAATACCTTTTAACAGGTAAGAAAGCAAGGCTACAATAAAAAAAACGTGATATGATCAAAAAATAACTAAATTTGAATACTAGCCCCGTTCAGCGCCAGTATTATTATATAGTTTAGTGAAATCTACTACGGTAATAAAGTACTTACACACACTTCAGCCTTTGGTTGCATGTATAAACAATTGAGTGTTGTTAAAGCTATTTACACCAAGCACTTAATAATAATTACACCAGAAACGTTATAGTGAAATAAGTTTTATAAGTACATATGTGTATTCAATGTAATCATTAAATAAGATTTGTATTACGTATTTACTTTTGTTTAGACGGGATTTTACTAACTTAGGTTTGCTCGGTTTCTATATCCAACGAGTTGTAATTGCTAGCAGTAGAACATTCTAATGTATAAATTTTATTTTATATACAACAATCTACGACTCTCGTTGATTATAGAAATGAAGTGCTAATAACAAAGATGGACTTCTTTCGCTTAGAATGTTAGGTTTTAAAATTTATTAGTAGGTCACAATTTTTTAAGTGAAACTTCTTTATCGGGGTTGAAAAAAAATTTAGTGTAACATTTTTGCGTTACGCGAAACACATTTTTCCGTTACGCGCCATGTTGCTTTTTGAAGTCAAACTTCTTTATCGGCGTTAAAATATGACATATAGTATGTTTTTGACTTTGAAGTTTGACAACGGATTACATTTTCGACTTGAAATTTGCTAATCGCAATTTGCAGCAATTAATTTGTAAATTGTATGCTAGGCAGTGTATCAAAATTTACTGTGTTTAAAGAAATAGTTTCTAATAAGGTCATAAAGAAGTTTCACTTCTTACGTGTGTACACCTAGTACACGCACACATTTTTTTTTTACAATATGGTCACTTCCGTAATTTAGACCTATGATGTATAATCCGAAGGACCTGAGTTCGTTCCAGGGAAACAATTGTCAGCTATTTTGGTTTGGTTTGGTAGGTAAGAAGGATGACATTATAAAAAGAGGTGCAAGAAATGTGTTCTATGATTGGTTATCAAACAGACAAAATCAAGAAAGCATGTACCATTGTTCAAACACAAGCTTTATTTTCATTTTTTACCATTATACGTTGTCTCGGATTCAAACTATCGGAACGGTAGTTTTACTATGCATTGTTGGCCGATAAGTCTGATCTTGATAAGCGATTACTAAATGACCTTACTCACGTTTTACTATGTAATAACGTTGTTAGATTAAAGATTCGTTGAAATATTTCATTATTAAATCATCTTCAATTTTCTATATCACGTAATCAAATATGTGGTTCTGGCTTTCGGCGTTATGCCAGAGGCAACAATATTTTATAAGTGCAACTGTCAAAAATAGTGTAATTAAGAAACACTTTGCGAAATAGTTTTGATACCCAACATAAACCGTTAAACGTAAAACTCCATTCACAATTAATTATTAATGTTAGAAAATGATTGATCTAACTTTAATTCTACAAATTATTCATAAATAGTTTATTAAACATACAATTAGCAATAATTACTTTCCAATGACAATTTTTTTTCTTTACTAATAAACAACTAGATACTAGAATGATTTCTTAGTGCGGATATAGTAGTTAGTATGGAACTAAAGTTATATTGAAATACTTTAATATGTAAATAAAATATATACGTGCTTCACTACACGCCCCTCATATTAGACATTAGAATTACATTCCCCTACACAAAGCATTTAATTGAACAACGATGCTGACCTTGAACCGTTGCACATCCTCCATTGTCGCAGTCTTGCCATCTGACACGCAAGAATGGAAGAAAGATGGCGCCACGGATACACCGAGAGCCTCTGACGTCATTCCCGTACCTGAAAATAATTTTACAGTTAAAAATAATTTTAAATAACAATTACTAATTGGTATTTTTTCTTTACACGCAAAGTGTCTTCTGTGCCTGACACATGTCAACAATGTTTTTGACGATTTCCTCACGATGTATTCCTTTATCGTACGTGCAAGGAATTAACTGTTTGAAAGACAAGGGGTTTATTGTTTTATAAATATCAACTCAATAATTACATCACTGTTTTTTTTGCTTTATTTGCAGATTTAACTTACATTCACAACAATTGTTCGTTAGAATTAGGCAACCATAAATACGCCATAAACTATAGAACGGAAGTACCCACACAACGGGAACCACCATAATAACGATTTACACTCAATTGAACATGCATAGATAAAAACGTTAATTTATTAACAGCGGAACATAGTGAACGTAACGTACGGATGAATATTTGTGGCAAGGTTGGTACGTTATATACTTTATAAAATCATAAAAAGCTAGAGATTGTAAGTAAAAAATTAAGTCTATGAGTTGATCTTAGTAAATAATCTTCCACAGACAATCCTCAATCTGTTTATATAATCTATCAACAGTATAGTACTATATTATTTATGGCAACCATCCCAGCAACAACCTATTAAAAAATATTATTATACCAAACGGAAAGGTCAGGCCAGGTTATTGAGACATAGGTTCCCAATGCAAAGAGCACATAAATGTTCCGTGTTATACATAAAAGTATATTTAAAATAATGCAAGATTATCACGCTCAAATAAACAGACCGTAATGTTATTGTAATATTACAGTTGTAGGTAGTGTAGAGATTTTCATAGTTCTATACATATTCTAGAATTTCTGAGAACTATTTAGTATTAAGAAGTTATTTATTGTTTAACATAGTAACTTTGTAATAATAGGGTAATTTTATCAAATACATGACCCTTCTACGGTTCACATTTTTTTTTTAATTTTTTATTTTTCCATGAATTTCTAAACTTATTTAGTCAAAAAAATTTTCATCATGTTTCAACCATAATTAAGATGTAATCTAAATTGTTTAAACATAGTTAACTGTTGTAATAATTAGAATGAAAACACAAAAATAAAGATTTAATTTCTATAAAAATAAAATACTTTTTATTAAATACAAATTTTATTTGTTTGGGGTATCTAAAATTTAGAATTAATTTTTTACTCTTTGGTGTGGATTACAACTTCTTATTTTCGGATGTAGCAGTATAAATTCGTGTTTTCCTAACCATCTTCGTCATTTTGCTTTTTTTATTACTTCAAAAAAAAAAGAGAGGGGGGGAAAGACTGGCGTGTGGAGTGCCAAACTGACTTCGGAAACAATATATGAGGTATACTCAAGCTGGTTCACAAGCATCTCAACCTTAGTCAAGAGCCTCTTTAATATGTAGAAAGTCGAACTAATTTGAATGAAACGACTCGCGTCGAAAATTATTAACGGAAGTCATAAATTCGTACAAAAGTGCCCCCACCTAGGGCCGTCCGAATGTACCCCACTAATAATAACAACAAATATAGACTTATTTTATATAATGGAAGTCAAAAAGTAGGAGGTATCTAAAGATTTTGCTAATTATTAAATACTCAATATCTAGGGGAGAACATAGATCAAAAAATTACACCCCCGGCGGAAAAAAACCCTTTTTTTTTTTTTTTTCCCCCCCCCCCTTTTTTATGGTGCGAATTTCAATGTATCGTTGATACATCGACTCATGCACACTACAAAAGCAAGATACTTTATTTCGTTCAAGTTTTATTTTGGAATGGAAGAATGTGCCCCCCGCACGAAGGGGTCAACGATCTTCCCCTACATATCTAAAATGAATGTAGTGAAGAATATCTCTAACCATCTTAACAAAAGGCTCATGATCTAAAATAGGCCAATTATGACACAACGAGCCCCCGTAGGAAGTCATAAACGTGCTAAAATAAATATAGACATTTATATGGAATAACATGTAGGGGAAATTAAAACTACATTATTTCCTTAAGACGGATATAGGATGGAATTATGTACTGCATTCATTTAATAATGTAACGAAGTATATTTTTCAATTTACCCTCTTTTTTAGGAAAAAAAATCTGTCTATTTAAACCATGGTAGGTTCGCACATGTACCTTTAGTAGAAAAATACCTAAAAACAACTTCTAGGTATGAAATGAATATCTTAATTTTCAAGATAAAGGAGGAATTGCAATAACAATAAATATGGCGCGTTATACCTTATTCAAATTATATTTAGATATTACAACATCTAAAGTTTTATCTATGCATCTAAAAGTTAATGAAAATCGAATATATCGATTCAGATTGAAGAAAGCAAAACAATTTCTTTTCTGTTGTTAAAAAATGAAACACTTATTATTTAATGTTTTATGTTTCGTGATGATAAAAAACAGTAATTCCAAAATTAAGACGGTACCGCTTGCATCACATCGACACTGCCCACGCGCATGTAATTGGCGAAATTACCACTAATTATTTTCGGTTTCATTGTTCCAATTTTTGCTCTGAGAAACGTAAGGTCATCGACGGATGAATCTTAGAGTTATAAAATCATGCCTACAACTCTTTATGACTTCTACTGACACTAGATACTACTTTTTATTAATATAAAATAAAGTATTTTTTAACCATAACTCATATTCCAAGTGAAATCAAGTAGTTTACTTAATACGATAGACGTATTAAGTAAAATGAAAATCGATGGAAAACCTAATTGGCCCTGTAAGATATCAATACAAAACACGCATAAAGATGCCTTATGGCTGTCCATTATATTCATAGACAAAGTAAACAGACGTCAAATTGCAAACCTCTTCCCCTAGGGTTTTTTAACACATTAATTGTCAATGGTACTGATAATATAGTATAGTAACGTCAAAGTTCATACCAGCTTTATCAGCATTTGAGGCCATCACGCGAAATGTGCCGAACAGGAGAACAAGAAGCCTTTGCGTGCAGACTGGTAGCGACATAAGTAATCTGTTAACAAACACATTATTAAACTTTTTTATAAATTTAAAATTTCCTCTTTGAAAATGAAAAACATTTAAATATATATTTAAGAACCAGTTAAACAGGTATTGCCTTTACGAAGTGGTTAGTGGTAGAAAGTATTTTGAAGTGTTTGTGAACTAAAGGTTATTGAAGAGGAATTACAGAATCACAAAATTATGTGACGGCTATACCCTCACATGTTTAATAGTTTGCGCAGCGTACGCCAAATCCTGTAAATATATGTACTTTTATAAGTCGACACCTTTGGAGTACTGTGTACAAAATTTCGCAGTTTTTTGTATATCCACGTTTAATTTCTCCGTTGAGTTGACGATATTTTAATCGTATACGTTATATAAACTAATCAATACTAATAGATTTAATTCTCCTATTAAACCAATTCAAATAAGAAAAAATATCTAAAATTAAATACAGCCTCAGTCGCTATACCTTTTCCAATCATCCGCTTCCCTTTTCATTGCATGATTCGAAATTTATATACACCTTTGTCTATTTTCCTGAACGTTATTATCTTAATGACCTAATTATAGAGGAAAATGAATACGAGGTGAATGACCTGTATTGTTACGATGATGATTACGTGAAGTTATGGATTAATAACATAATGTATGTTTTAATAAAATATTTGCGCCGTTTTCTACAATAACACAAGGTTTCTGACATTGTGTTCTAATATTTTGTGAAATTTTTATTACTTGTTCGAAATACAGGTTCTACCGGAAACTACAATAATACATTAACAGTTATAGACATACAAAAATTAGGCTCTTAACCCCTTAAAGAAAACTAATCAACACTTCATACATTTAATTCTCATAAAATCTCAGTTTGCATGACGGTTTTTCATAAATACTTCTTCGTTCGTGACCCACAAGAAAAGACAATTAATTATCCTTATATGTTTACTGTAAATATTATCGATTAAGTCATATTAAAGGATAATAATAAGAAATATTAACACTTTAGTTCATATTGGAGTCGGTTATTTTTTATAAATAGGTTATCGCTTTTACTCTTATGCGACGCTTTGAACTTATTTCAACAATTTAAAGATGATTATCTGTGAGTAAAGGCATTTAGGTACGAACCTAAGTCAGTGCAGCAGGTTCGATGTGCCGTTTCGACCGGTTTCTGTTATTGATTGCCTACAATTTTAATACTGCGCCTGTACATCTCGTCTTATGTAGTAGGTACGTTTTAACGCGAGTTCATCATAAAAATGTTAAATGTTACAATAAAATACCTTGAGACATTTTAAAACTAAATGAACGAAAATTTAAATGTTTTAATAAAAGTACACTTTGTAAACAAGCATATTACAAATTAGAGGATTATATTCAAGATAAGAATGCTTGGAAACATGCTGGTCCTGCTCCATAGGACAATCATAGAGCCTGGACAAAATCAAAGTGGTTGCTGATTTTTTGCTTTTATATATTTTTGTTATTTTTTTTTAAATTTATAATACTACAAAATGTAATTATTTTATCTCACACACTGTTTTATTGTGTTTTTTTTATATTATTTTTATTACTCTTTAATGTATAATATTCTACGGTTTCGATATTTGTAAATATGTGAGGAACATGTATACTAACTCTTTTAGTATAGTAGTTTTATTCTAGGACTACATTGTCTTTACATATAATTATATAATTATTTAACTAATGTAAACAAAATATTGTAAACCTATTTTAAAAAGTAAGTGTGGAGTTTCTTGCCCATTCTTCTCCACACGAAGAACCTTTTGGAAGGGGCAACTAGAATCTTCTTTATATTTTATTTGACGTTCAAACGTGCCATTTTAGGTGGTCTAATTGAAATAAATGATTTGACTTTGACTTGTACATAACGAAAAAAAAAACCTTCATAAATCGATAAACTATTTCGAATTTCAAATTTTATTCAGAGAGCAAACAGGCCAAGATCATATGCAAGATTGCAAGGAATTGAAACGATTTTTCCTAAAGGAATGCTCCCGTTCTAAAATAAAAGTTTATAAAACACAAGAAGTGTTGGTCATCCGCATACTTGAGCAATTAAAATTAATTTGTCAAACAATAGGAAATACTAACATTACGTTCTGTGTTCGCGGAAGGATTATAATTAATTCAAATATGTTAATTTTCTTTAATTCCTCAAACTCAATTTAGGGTTCTCTTTAAGTCTTGTTGTTTCATTAATCAATTTAAAAGTTAACAATAAGTGATACTGATGAAGGTAGGCCACAAATCCAACAAAAACCAGTGGTGCTACATCTTTTTAAGGTCTGGTCTTCATATTTATGTATCTATTTAATGGGTCTATGGCCTAGGGCCATAAATAATCATATAAAAATCTGTATGTAAATGTAACTTACAATGTAATGTAAAGTATATACATTTTTAATATATATAGCACTTACATATTATGCCTATAACAAAGTAGTATTACACATACGTAAAACTTAATTGTTGGTTCTTTACACAGATAAGACAATGGGCGATCTTATCGCGATAACAGAGTGCATTGAACAATTTATAATGCTGACATGGAACAATTAAATGTTTCATCTAATACGGAATTACTCCTTTTTGGTTTAACATTTTAGAAACTCACATAGAAAATAACTTTTGAATAAATGTATTTGAGACGTAAATATTATATTTTAAACTATAGCTGTAAAAGTTTAAATTCAGTAAAAATGTTTATTATTTTGTTTCTATATGGCCATATCGCATAAATTAAAGAAAATAATGTAATAAGTATTTTTGTATACCATATAGAAAAATATTAATCAACTACAAATGCATATATTTCGTAAGGAGACATTGAGATTTAAACAGAAAAATGTTTATTTATACAATGAAAGACTATTCAATTTGAGTTTAGAAAACTAAAAGCCTAAAAATCTACCATAATCCACAAATTGTCAGCGCACTTTCGACTTTGTTAGCTGAAGCAACGTGACAAAATTCGTTTTTAAATTACATAGCAACCAAATGCGATCGCATGCGATCAAAAGTATTGTTCGCTATGTGGAAGTGACGTTCCACCTACCATTGTGGGTAACAATGAAACCATTGACTAATCAAGCGAAAATTATATTGCTTCCTTAAAGGGAAGCATTCATGTTTGGTCGCTATGACGATCACCGCGCATCTATTTTTATTTACGTGTCTCATCAGGTTTTCTTCTATTAAATAAGATGGTAGAAGGGACCACCCTAGGACTTGCCAAATCGATAACCCGACATCGATTTGGCAAGTCCCTCTTAAAACTGGTACATTAATAATACAGTAACACACCCTTACAGGTTTTAATCTCAAATTTGTATTTTCTTTTCAATGTTTCCTACAATCAAGTATTAATTGCGGACATAGAAAGTAAAAACCATTTATGCATAGACAGGGCTGAGTAGCAACAATAGAGTGAGAATTGAGCTTTTAACTGCTATGATTACACTGCTTTGAATAGTAAGTGCAAGGCTATTATAAAATGTTTTCCTTTTGACACCAATTGTAATATGGGTTAAAAAAGCTTCATAATACCTTCGTATAGCATCAACCTGTTGTTCTTGGGGCAACTCAACAGCTGCAAATAGCTGCATTTCACCTTCTCGTCCAAACACTCCACCAGGTATTTTCCTAAGAGAAATATTTTTCCATAAATCAACTATTAATCTTGCTATATCTCATGGTCTTTTCAGAAACCTCTAATCACTTATTGCAAAATATCACAAGAGTGATGAGGACAAAGTTAAATTGTTTTTTATATGAACATGGTTTCTATATTATTTTTAACAGGAATACTCAGATTGTTGGCTTTGCTTTTCTACAGCTTCAGACAGCATAACTATTCCAGTGACTAAGGAACTTATAACCAACTTTAATACTCATTACCTTCTCAGATAGAATACAAAGAAAACTTATAATTATTTTTAGAAAGTTTTACTACATCAGATTATAATAATTGATTATTTTAATTTTGGAATAAAAGAAATTGAACTCTTCTGTAAAATAAGTTAATTAAATGTGATTTATCAAGTTTTTTCTATAATTTAGTTGGAAAGCTTAGTGTTAATACTTAATTGCGTATAAAGAACATGATCAGTAAATAAATTTATAAAAATAACATAATTTCCTAGTTTTTAATTATAAAATGAGATAAGAATCTAGTTAAATATTGTTATATTTTATTTACCTAAGAAACTTCTTCAGGACACTAGCTATAGTGTATACTGAGTAGTTATCAACATTGACTAGTCGTCCAGTTTGTAAAAAATGAATGAGCTTCTTCATAGCACCCTGGTGACCAGGAGCACGAAATACATCTCGGCGAAGAGGTGCTTCCTTATTTAGTTTTAGAATCAGGACCTAAAATTACTTCAGTTATAAGGATTTCATCTAGGTAGTTTTTATAAGCCAACAATCAAATCAAGCAAAAAGCTTGACTGATTTTATAATATAAGATAATGTTTATTTTACTTTGTCATTAGATCCTAGCAAACATCATTTGTTTAAAACATTAGGGCGAAAAGACAATCCAAACTAACAGTATAACTAAGAATAAGGAATTTTTAGGATTCAAGACTACTTTATCATAGAACATTGTATATAATATCTGGTTAAAGTACAAAGGCATACTTACAAGTAAAGGGCCAGGAATGTCTTCTTTGCAAACCTCATGGAGAGGGGCACCAAACTTTACTTTTTCTAATCTCCTTGGATAGGGCAATGAATTGGGATGGCCACAAGACGTTACTACATTACTTAGCGTAGCAGCTCGCCTATGCATCCTTCTTGCCCAATTACTCATTTTAAAATATTTCAATTTTCAATCACAACTCGATTCAAGCCGAAATTAGGCACAAGGCGACTGCCGCGGCAACGTTTTATGTAAATCGAACATAGTACAATGTTATTGTTTGAAATACAATTATCAGATTGACTTAGACAATCAATTTTTTCAACTTTTTGTTTTTATTTCTTTAATAAATACAATGTTACTATTGCCGCAAAAAAATTACAATTTTAAAATACTGAGAAAGTAAGAGTAAGAAAATACTTCAAGTTTAATTTCGGTCAAAACCCGTAGTCGAGCCATACATCTAAGTCAGAAAGATGGACGGTACAGGTAGGTCACGTCGGAGAGTTTCGCACTTCGCAGTACCTATTGCTGTTGTTTGCTCGCCACCTTCTAATCTCAATCCTGAGTCCTGACCAAGTCACCAATCCTCCGTCCTCAGACCTCGCAGTTTAATTCACCAGTCACTATATAGACGTTCAACCGGTCAACACTCTTCCCTCTATAAAATAATAAAACACATACACAGACTACGTCTAGAGCACACAGGAAACGACTGTTTTTACTACTCTGTGCTGTATTCTCATTTCTCACATCGTCATTTTTTTGCCACAGATCTATAAAATATTATCTATAGACTATACCCTTAGATAAATTACTCATAGATGTGAGCACTACGTAGTTACAATGTCACACATATACCCAGAACGCACCATAAGCGTTAATGCAATCACTACAATGAATGCATAGTTTTATTATTCTATCATGTACCACGAATGCTTAGTTATCATGTAAGGGTTTTTAGCTGTAAGAATAGAATTATATTAAAGCAGTCGGCCACCGTAGTAATAGGGTCTTGCATCGACCACCTTAGGATTAGGGTCTAACATCGACCACCTTAGAATTAGAGTCTAACATCGACTATTAGTTAAGAATACTAAGTGTAATTACTTAATAAAGTTTTCCTTTTTAAAAAAACCTTTAAATACCGTCGCGATTTGACTACGTTGCTGACGATAATACAAATATACTAAATATATTTTGTAATATATTTGTATTACCGACCGTATAAGGTAAAAGAGAGGTCTCTTTTTACTTAAAGAGTGCTCCAGAAAAAATGCCTGGTGTATACTGTAAATACCTTAAAGTCCTCTTAACCTTTAAGCTATCTGTATTTCTTGACTTTTCCAAGCTTCTAGTAGCTACACTTACAGCATAAGCTATATGCGGTCTTTTGCCACCCTGCGTCCTGTTCAATATGTAAACAGCTAAACCATCTCATAGACCACAAGCCCATGAACAAAAAATACCTGTGAACGTGAATTACGCTTAGAAGGCTGTTACTATATCTGAAAATAGCTCTGAGCACTATGCCGTCATTTCTGAGCGGTACATGTGAGTACGTGAGTGAATGGACTTTCTCAGGTACAATTGGGGAATTTCGACTAATTATTAATGTACGGCTTTGTTATAAGTGTATAGATGATTAAAAATAATTGTCGAAAAACCTAGTGCCGTACTAAAGTGATGGTGCCGGAAGTCGGTGCAAATTTTTAATTCAAAGACAGTTGCAGAAGCAATATAGGTCATTTATTACTGTACGGCATTTGTGTGATTCCTTTTGGACACATATACAGATACTTTACCCGTAAACGCCGTACATATTTCCAGCGGAGCGGTCGAAAGCCAAGGGTCGGAACCCTACCCCTACACCCATATACCCTAAGGTCATTGTAAAATGTACGGCAACATGTTCAAAATATTATTTATCACGGACAATAATGTTTTATAATTATGCCGTCCAAAAATTATAGTTAATATTTGTGTAAATAAATATTTATCGAAATTTCAGGATTTACCGAGTTATTACTGCTGTAAGATCAGAGAATAATGTACGGCAACTTGTTTTTTTACATAATGTTACTAAATGTTGCCGTTGTACCTTATAGCCGTTCATTATAAATGGTAACAAATAAAAATATTATGATAAAAAATATATGAAATTTCCGAAATTTAGATGATTTTTCAAATATTCCTCAAGTAATATGAGGAGTAATATTTTCAAAGATTATTGTTATTTTATATGTAACAAATATAAATAAACAAAACAAACCAGATGCCGTACATTTTGCTCCAATTTATTCTTTACAGCTGATAAAAACTTCGACGACGTTTGAGGTGTCCATTAAGGTCATTAATAACTGTACGTATCAGAGTATACTACCATAAGGCTGTAAAGTATATTTACAGCCTTATCGTACGAGCAGAGAGAGGTAAAGGAAAAGTATTTTCAACAAAAATAAAAATATAATACAGGGCGTCCCAAAGTTATGGGACATGAAGGGAAAGTACTTTTAATATCGTAGATAGGGTATTTTACTGAAGTAAGACTTTACGTTATTTTTAAAAGTTAGTAATTCTGCATTAAAAGATTTTGAAAAAATTACTAGCCTCGTCTGGATAAATCGAACCGGCTTAAATGTAAAAAAAACACCCTACTTTTATGATACCAATCGAAAGAATGGCCAAAACCTAATAACTTTTCGACAAAATATAAATCATTCTAATTGCTCTCTTTTAACTAATGTTAATTTTTTATGTTCGGTGCTATTAAAAGACTTAAGCTTTTAATAGCACCGAACGTCACCGAACGAATAGCACGTCCGGCCATAGACGGACCGCATGTTGCAGTCAAGACCGACTGCTGTAGAGCGGTCGCATTGAAGTCGTACACGACTTCAACACGACAGCATAATGCAGTCGGCTACTACTGCTTGGAGCAGTTGTGTTCGACCGCAAAATAATACTGATGCGAGTTCATTTACAAGATGGAATTCGATGAAGAAACACTGCTACTTGTACTATTATTACGCGAGCGTAGGCGTAGAAGACACCGTAGTATGTAGGTGCGTCCAATACTACAGTCTACAATCAAGAGAACAGCATGGAATATTTCATACTTTGTATCCCCAGCTGAGAGAAGACACTTAAAAGTTTTTCAACTACTTTAGAATGTCCGTGGTTTCATTTGATGAATTAGTTAGTATTTTATTTTATTTGAGGGAGTAGCGCGCGGTCGGCAGCAACCGCTTGTAGCGGTCCGTGTATGGTGGGTTCGGCAGCTCTAAGCAGTCGACTGCTCCGACCGCTCAGAAACTGGTCGTGCGGTCCGTTTATTTCGGATATGAATTTAGTATGGAAACTGCAGATCGCCGTGCGGCGACCGCTTAGAGCAGTCGGTATCGACTGCAACATGCGGTCCGTCTATGGCCACACTTAAGAATTTTGTTAAAACGGTGGAAATAAAGTGATATATTTTTATAAGGGGGTATAAAATATAAATGCGTATCGTTACGTCCCGTAAAAAAAACCTAATACCTATTCCAAGCTGATGTTTTAAGTATATAAATATAATTAGCATTTTCAATGGTAAACATTAACAAATTGTGTTTATAGACCTACAATCATTCCTTTCTTCTTAAAGAATTATGGTAGGGGAGCCCAAGAGGGGATTTCGGGATTTACTAAAGCGCGGCAGATTAATATATAGGGGGATACCTTGTACCCGGTTAAGTACCTCCACAAAATATGAGGCCCATATATAAGGCCGCCCGTGAAGGAGACAGGATCAGATTAGTAAAAAAAATTGACCATCAGAAATTCCCGAGCGCGTCAGATTAAGGTAGGGTGAGTTAATTACATCCTAAAAAGTGTATATTCCACTAATCTGACAATTTGAAAGTGACGTAAAAAAAGGGGAGGGCAACAAAGTTGTAAAAAAAAAGTCATCTCGACATTCTCGAGCGTAGCTAATTTTTTTTTTATTTTGAAGGAAATAATTCAAGAATAATGAAAAATATATAATCTGACGATTTCCGCAAGCCGAAATAACAAAAATTCGTCGATAAAGTTAAATGCGTGCAGCTGCGTGATGCCTACATTTCCTTAAACCGATCGGAATCTACTAAACGGCGTTCTAAATATTTCCCTCAAAATTACATTTCCTGTGAATTTGAACCGATTCGGACCGATAGATTTTGAGAAATTTTGAAAAATCTTAAAAAAATAAGATTTTTTTTTTTTAAAGTGGTTTCTTTATCGATCAACTTCAAAAACTAATCCGCCTTTGCTTGAAAAACCACGTCGATCGCCACCAAGCTGGTCAAAAGCGGTTGATTCGTTCGAGAGATATCGTGAACGAAAGAAACCCGAAAAAGTGTTTTTTCGGGATTACTCCGAAATTAGTATTTTTTTTTAGTAGTTTGATCAATTAAAATTGCCGCCAACCGCGCGAAAATTGCTTGATCCATTCAAAAGTTATTGCGGTTTGAAAATTCCAAAAGTGTTCTTAGTTCTATGAAACTTCTATCAGACTTTCGAGCTGGGAGAGCTCAAATGCATAGAAATATTATTTCTTTGAACTCAGCGAGCTCAAAATATCAATTTTAAGCGCCCAGGAATGGAATTAGCGGGAAGTTGCAGGGATGGCCCTTTAGGTGAACCGTTTTTCTAAAAAAATTTTGTCAGATCAGGCGAATCCCTCTAGATAATCGTCAGATTATGAGACAGTACGTTTAGAACATAAAGATGAACCACATATATCTTAATCTGACGCGCTTGAGTATTTCAAAATTGCGATTTTTTTTTTGCAAATTATGAAAATGGCCGTGGGTTTGCGTCCCATCGAAATCGTCAGATTAGTGAATGAGAGCTTTTTTTTGGTGCACTTAACACTCCCTTAGAAAATCTGACGCGCTCGATAATTTTTATTTTTTTTTCATTTTCAACCCTTAAATACAACCACCCGCATCATGCAAACGATCAGATTAACATACGTACATTATTAAAAATACGTAGGGCATTGATGCTATCAATATCTGACGCGCTCGAGGATGTCCATGCAACAGTTTTTTTTACATATTTAATAATCTATAGCCGCTTCCCCCACCAATGAAAAGGTATATATCATATAACATTTTTTTCTTCTTATTATCTAAGCTTTGCATCCCAATAGGTCTCTACGACGCTCGAGTAAATCCCCATTTAGCATCGTGGGCTCCCCTACCATTAAGTTAAATGACTTATTTGCCTAAATAACTACCTAACAGTCTTAAGTACTTTGACCAATATTATTAATTTAAATGGTGATTGAATCAAATCATCATAGTATTTTAAAAGGTTTAAGGACATAAAGTTCAATTAAATCCATGTATATTTATGTAGCCTTTTATTTCATACTTAAATCTTCAAACATTTGAGGTAATAGGTATGAGAGTACAATACTTATTTAGCATTTAAACATCGAAAGCTTTACAAAAACCAAATTATATCAAAAAGTGGCAGCTTAGCTAAGTATATATATAAGAAATATCAATTGGACAAGACTTACTCAATAGTAGGATCCACTACTGTTATGAATTATACAGCAGTGTTGACTAAAAGTATGTGCAATTATTATGATTTTTCCTATAGGATATATTTAAAACATTTACTAATTAAACAACAACAGGGAATAAATAAATATGGTATAATTACTAAAATTCTATACAAAGTAAAATAATGTCACTGCATGATTCTTTAAACAAGTTCCAATCGCTTCATTTCTTTTAACAACTCGGCACCCATTTTCGCAGGAGAGCGAGTGACGATAACATTTGCTTTCTCTAAAGCTTTAATTTTGTCCATGGCACCTCCCTTGCCACCTGATATGATTGCCCCAGCGTGACCCATGCGTCTACCAGGAGGTGCTGTCAAACCAGCAATGAATGATACCACTGGCTTAGCCTTTTGACCCTGAATAAATTCACACAGTTAATAATTTAATATTAAGTTAAAATTATACAGCACACATTTCTACCAACACTAAAATCCATCATATTCAAGACTACTAATAATGTTGATAATTTTTCTAATGAGTTTCTAAAATATAATTGAATAGTATGGAATAAAATGATTTTAGTCATGTAACTCAAAAAATGCAATACTTTTAAAATTGAATGTAATGTATAAATGCTTGACATGTTATAAAAACAAAAGTAACCTTGTTGCAGTTTCTTTCTTTACCTTGGTCTGTCAAAACAAAAAATAACAACTTAGCAAATTATAATTATAAAATCTATTAAAGACCACAAATACCAAACCTAACAAAAAATGTATATAAAAGAAAATATATTCTTATATGAAAAGATTTCTTATGATGTTTCAAAATGTTGTTTTTAAATCAGCAGGAATCCTTAATATTTAATACAATACTTGCATTCTTTACATTTATATGTCAAGTTTGTATTCTTGAATGAAGAGTAGTTTTACGTAATAACATGTTTAAAAATACTTACGGTGTTGTTCTGGATAAGATATTCTGATGCTAACTCTTCTGCATTACCACCAATCTCTCCAATAAGAATGATTCCCTTGGTGTTAGGATCAGCAAGAAACACTTCTAAGCAATCAATGAAGTCTGTTCCATTGAAAGGATCACCACCAATACCAACACATAGTGTTTGGCCCAAGCCAGTCTGAAATAAAGATTTGATTATATTTTAGATTAAATTTCCTTTCTGTATACATTTGTAATGTAACAATATTAATTGAAATATTTGATATAAATTTTAACAATGACATTTGTCAAAAGTATCGTTCGTCCAATCAAGAACTTCCAACACAATCTATCTTTCCTTCCATTGTTTCATTATTTAAGATTTTTTATTAGTACTTTTTAATAATCAATGTTTTGCATCATATCAATATTTACACACAAAAGAAATTCATACATCTACAATCATTAGTTGACTAGGAACTTATTGAATGTGTTTTATTTTAATTAATAACTAGGTTTAGTGGCTCCGAAAAGATTTAGGCTAACTAGTTATCTAGTGTTACTCCAGTATCTTTACATTTAGTGCTGCAACTACTGTAATGAATGCGGTGATTTGGGTTTGACATAGTATGTAGTTCAAGTTTGCTAGTCTAAGATTAATAACAAAATATGTATAAGCCATTTCCTAGATAGCATATATGCATATATTTCTCAAGTTTCTACCTTTAATGAGTCATTTTGTGCCTACTAAACTGAATCATTATAAATTAATAATATATTTTGTTTCCCTAACCCAATTTTGGTTTGGTTTTATTTTATAAAACAGACTGACATAATCTATTTCAAAGTCACATTTTATGTAATAATGTCAAATATTACCATAATTTATTTATTTGATTATCATATAATACTTCTCAAGATCAAGGCTGTTGCATTGTAAATGGTATTGTCATTGTATATACTTTTGAGAGTATTTGTTTAATCTGTTACTATTAATTTGTTATGTTAAACATTACATTTACATTTTTTTTAAATCGTTTTTCTTACTATTGTTGTCTGATGTACAGCCTCATAGGTAAGTGTACCAGATCGGGAAACAACTCCGATACATCCAGACTTATGCACAGCTGCTGGCATGATACCAATCTTGCACTTCTCAGGTGCTATTATACCAGGACAGTTAGGGCCTACCAGCCTGGTCTTGTTCTGTCGGAGTAGGGCATGCTTCACACGTACCATATCCTATAATTTACAAAAAAACACTTCTGATTAAATTAACAAATCCAGTACAACAAAATTCGGTCAACCATTAACTGATTCAGTGACAAGGGCTCAATTAAGATTTTTAGTATTGAGTCAAAAATTCTTGGAGATTCCAGTTAAAATAATGCAGCAATTACATTAATAAGACAAATAGATTACATGTTGAGGTACTCCTTCTGTGATGCACACAACCAAAGGAACTTCAGCTTCAATTGATTCCATAATGGCTCCAGCTGCAGCTGGAGGTGGTACATAGATGACAGATGCTTGTGCACCAGTTTTCTCTTTTGCCTCTTTCACAGTTGCAAAGACTGGCTTACCCAGATGTTCTGTTCCAGCTTTTTTTGGTGATACACCACCAACAACATTAGTTCCATAATCAAGTGCCTGTTGACTATGGAATGTTCCTTGTTTGCCAGTAAAACCCTGCACTATGACTTTAGTTTCTTTTGTGAGTATTAAGTTTTTTCTAGTCTCAGTATACTGAGACTGAAATCTGACATTTCCAAGCATAAAACCATCTGAAAAACATTGTTTTAGTTTGTAATTATTAAATTATTAGTTTACTATAAAAAACTTATCTGATTTACAAAAAAAAAAGTATACTTATATCACATAGTAACTTCTCATTAGTAGCATAAAATAAAATATATATGACTTTCCAGTAGCACACATAGATTATGAAGTTTACAGTTTTTAAACATAAAGATTATATAAGCCCTTATATGAAGTTTTATATCAACCTTATGAAGTTTTCAGTTTTTAAAGATTAACACTATATAAGGCCTTGTATGAAGTTTTATATTGACCATATGAAGTTTATTATTATTATTGAAGGTTATTTACTATATAAACCCTTCTATCATGTTATATTATATCGACCAAGGAAACATCTGCCATTACTCGAGCCAAAATATTCTAAGATTAAAAATAAATGAACACCAAGAAAGATAAGGTATATTTATCAAAGGTTGAAGTGCAGTATATATTTACATCAAAATACATGTTATCAGTAACCACATTTGTCAGTTAAACTATGCTAAAAAAAATCAACATAATTTTTATTTTTACCAAATGTATATACGTAACATTGACCATGAAGTAAATTTATGAATATAGGTACTTGAGATAGCCAATTAGTTATAGAGATGAATCTTTTACAATACAGTACAGATACTCATGTTTTATACTATATTTTATTGCTATTTTACTATATTATATTGTCTGAGCAATGAACGCGAATTAATCAACATCGATCATTGAACGAGGTTAATCAGTAAAGTTAAAAATGAAGGCTGAAAGTACTGACAGGAATCTCGAAGGACATATTAATATGACATTTTAAAACATATTCTTCTAGTATCGACCAAACTGATACAAAACATATACTTTAATTACCTTTACAGCGAGAAAGAATCCGGAACGGGACAGCCATTATTTTATGTGAAGAAAAGATATATTTTTAAAATTTTAACTACTGACACTGACAACCACAGCCATTACGTAATGACGTGATTTAGCATTAGACAAGAATAATATTTTTTGAGTATAGACTACAGAAATGGGTCTAGACAGTTGTCAAGCAAGAGAATAGATATTATATATTGCACATATCACATAGAAAGCAGGTGGAAAGATAATTCATAAGAATGGAAAGATGATTAAAATTATTACAAATCACCCCTATCACCACCTAAACCAGTTGAAAAACCAATAACCCTGAATAATATTTTTTTTTTCAATCACTATCGTAAAATGTTACAAACAAATTTAAAAAGGAAGCAATATGAAAAATTAAACACGCCACTTCGACAAGGCAAAACATCATCCCAACCCGTTGTTACGTAAAACTAAAAGCATCAACTATTATCCCTTCCCGACAAAAAAGGCTCTTAGGAGGCCCCGACACACACTAACGGATCCGGACGATCCAATTACCGTAGCTAACAATAAATTAAAATCCGCCCGCGCGGCCAATAATAATAATCAAAATCAGATTAGGGTTTAAAAAAACCGCTTTCACCGGCGAAGGCGAGGACCTTTACTTCGTACTTCGCTCACTCCAGTGAGCTTCCGTCCAGCCCTGCAATTCTGTAACTCTAAAATACAAGCTCCCACCTTTTCAGAATGCCAAATCATAAAATGACTGCTTCACGGCTGATTTGAGAGCGACCGCCGATGCGAAAACCGCTGTGTGAGTTCGAAAAGTGAGTTACAGAATCGCAGGGCTGCCCTTCAGGCGATTGACCACCTCGCGACGGCCCAAGCCGAGGTCCGAGTCTCACAGGAGACGCCTTTGCGCTAGCTGCGGGAAAAACGCCCATTCAAGCCGAGCTACGCTCGCCAAAACAGCCCGAGCTGGGCTGTAAAGGCCCTTAAGGCCAACAGCGAGATTCCTTTAAAAAAAAAAATATAGTGTTAATTGACAATTCACAACTGTCATTAATCAGTTCTTTTTTTTGATCTTGTGTGGTGAAGAGTATTCTCTATTTATTAATAATATAATATATGTATATACAATAATATAGTGGTCTTTGTTGTGAGTGTACGTTGAGCGTTTTTATTGGTTTATTTATTGTTTTCAATAAGTTTAGTTCTAAAGTCTAAACTGAAAAGCCACGTATATTCTGATAATAACTAAACTGTTTAGAGTTTTTTTTCGTAATTTACAAAAGTAGAAATGTGTGGTTCTGATAAGAAATTAGATGAAATTCGTGCGCTTATCCTTGTCGGCGGTTATGGAACACGTTTAAGACCCCTAACATTAAGTAGACCGAAGCCATTAGTAGAGTTTGCTAATAAACCAATACTTATGCACCAAATTGAAGCACTTGTTGATGCTGGAGTAACTGAGGTAATCAATTATCACTATAAAGACACCTCATAAAGGTAATGATGTTTTTGAATACATAAGTACAGTTTAAATCAATATTACACATTTCAGGTAATATTAGCTGTCTCATATAGGGCTGAGGACATGGAGAAGGAATTGACTGAGCAAGTTTCAAAGCTTGGTGTTTCGTTAACATTCTCACATGAGACAGAACCTTTAGGTACTGCTGGACCACTGGCTTTAGCCAGGGAACTATTAAATAAAAGTACAGAACCCTTTTTTGTCCTGAACTCTGATGTTATATGTGAATTCCCTTTTAAAGAACTTGCAAAATTCCACAGAAACCATGGCAAGGTGTGTTTAAATTTTTTATTATTAGAAGAAATAATGTACTACAGTTATTTAGAGATCTATGTCTATTTGTAGTGCAGTTAATAAAGCCTGGTTAAATTCTAATCAATTTTCTATATCTAATTTTTTTGTTAGCTTATTGTTTAAAAATAACTCATAACACTTGTTTTGCTTTAATTAATCTTTAATAAGGTTTTCTAATGTGGTTTAATATAATTTTCAGGAAGGTACAATTGTAGTTACCAAAGTTGAAGAGCCTTCCAAATATGGTGTTGTTCTTTACAAAGAAAATGGAGAGATTGAAAGTTTTGTTGAAAAGCCACAAGAATTTATATCTAATAAAATTAATTCAGGTATGAACCAGATTTGAAATATTGATTTTAATAACTACCAGAAACTATTACAAGGTAACAAGAGTAGAGTAGTTACTATTTATAGTGCTTGTAGTAGGAAATTGATTGTTATTTATTTATTATATAGAATAAGTTTATATTAATAAGTGTATTATCAATTTAATAAATCAGCACTTCCATTAATATTTTAGATAGTTCTTTTTACAGTTGAAAAACTAATTCCCATTTATCACAAATTTTTATTATATACCACAATAAATCCTATTAATATACGAAGGGCCTGTAACTTATTTAAGTGTGTTATTTAATATTTTATATCCCACCTCTTTCTATTATTCTAGTTTAAAATATGATACATTTAATAAAAATATGTGTTTAAATTTCGTTTTAGGTATTTACATATTGAATCCATCAGTTCTAAGTAGAATAGAGTTACGTCCAACCTCAATTGAAAAAGAAGTTTTTCCATTCATGGCCCAGGATGGTCAACTCTATGCTATGGAATTGCAAGGGTTCTGGATGGATGTAGGACAACCGAAAGACTTCCTTACAGGTAAAATTTAAAAATTTCTACATAAAGATGTATTTAGTAATAATCTAGAGTAAGGACGGGTTTCCACCACGCTGGACCGGAAGATCTGCCGAAATCCGGACACCGGACAGAGTGTTCACATAACACTAATTTCAACAAGAAAATCGGACAGTGAGTACTCACCTCACTTGAATTTGGACCTGTGCGCACAATAGACGAAATTGCTGTGTTGGGTGGTATCTTAATAGAAGGCAAAATAAAACAAAACATTGGGTGCTTGCTATTTTATGGGAAAGATTTTTTTTCACTGGGAACATTTGAATCATTAATGGGTGAACTTTAAAGTGACGAATTAAAGTTCTTCAATTATTAACCACTTATCATGATTTACTAGGACGACTTTCTATAGTCGTAGATTACGAGATACAAGTTTCAGGGAACGTATTTGCCCAGAACACGGGCACGGGCGGGCCGAGTGGGGGCCAGATAATGGCACAAACTCGTACAAATTACTTCCGGTCCGGTGGTTCTACCGGACTTCGTAGGCCGGGTTCCCACTACGCCCGGCAGAATTGCCGGAAGGGCTAGTGGCTGTACAATTTATATAAAGCTATTCACATTATCCCGAGTCCGGCATTTTTTACAGGGCGTTTTGTCACTACGAAGTGCACAGTATGACATTGTGGAAATGTGTTATCAATTATTAATTTAGCAATTACACAAAATAAATTTTGTATAGTTTTAAATGTTATATTTATGTTTTAGGAATGTGCCTCTATCTAAACAGTCTCAGACAAAAGAATTCAAGTAAACTTCACAATGGTGTAGAAGTGGTTGGTAATGTTTTGGTTGATCCCACGGCAACTATAGGCAAAGGATGTCGCATAGGACCCAATGTTACCATAGGCCCTGACGTAGTTATTGAAGATGGTAAATATAAATTTATTATTAACTGAACATAATATAAACCTAAATATATTGGTTGCCACAAGGATGATAAGGCCAAAAGATTTAATAGCTTAATATTAATTTTATGTTATGCTATTAACACTATAATCTTATATTACTATAGATATGTAATGTAAACATTATTGAGACAGTCTGCCGGAAAATTGTATCCAATACCAAGCCGGTATCTGCGACCGGTCCTTCATACCATGCGAATTTAACTCATTAGTTTTAAAACAACTCATGGAAAATGAAAATTCCAAATTACTATTTAAAAGATTTGAAACCCCCTAGATAAGTTTGTATGATGGAATACTACTTGCACAGTGCTAGGGATGCCTACAAATTCAAATTTAATGACGTGGAATAAGTGATAAATGTATCTTATGTTCCATAATAAACATATTTTATTTTTTTAGTTTTTATTTTACTTATAGAATGTTAATATGATTATTTTTTATTTTCTAGGGGCGTGTATAAAACGCACGACAATATTACGTGGTGCATGTGTAAGGCAGCATGCTTGGCTTGATGGATGTATTGTAGGTTGGCGGTCAGTTGTGGGTCGTTGGGTCAGAATGGAGAATTGCACAGTGCTTGGTGAAGATGTAATAGTCAAAGATGAACTCTATGTCAATGGGGGTCAAGTACTTCCACACAAGTCTATAGCCTTATCTGTGCCTGAACCACAGATTATTATGTAAAGACTGATGTACATATTGTTATGGAATTGCAAACTATGACTTCTTTGAAATTATATTATTCCAGATTTAAAAACAAAATTGAATGCTGTCCGAATGTAAAATGTTTTATTCTAATTTGTTGTTAACAATTTTATATATTTTTATGGCTTAATTTTGTATCTCTAATATCTTAATTTTTTATATTTCTAAAAATGAACTATATTTAAAAAATTCAGACAACTATTGAAAACTATTCTCTTTAATGAACCATTACTATTGTCAGACTGATTAATTATTATTGATTTCATCATTTACAGTGCCAGCTACAGAAATAAGTACATATTTAAGTAAATTAAAATATTGAATTTTTATTAGCTAAAAACTGCAATATTAGTTTTTTAACATTCCAAAAATTATTTTTGTATAGATACTGTTTAGTTATTTTAGAGACCTATTCTATAGAATATGTTGTAGTATGATTATTGCAATTATTAATTTTTATTAGTTTTTAAATAAATGTCATTTGTATTATAAGTGTTGGGTTTTTTTATTTTTGGTAAATAATTGTAGGGGAAATTTTTATATGAAGTAATAATAATAATTCACAGCCCTACTTATATGGGTCTTGGCCTTAGCATCTGTTTCTTTGATCATTATTATTTCATAGAGTAAGTCTGCCTGAAACATATCATCGATTCTTGCATTTAACATGCCGATTACACTATGTTTTCCTTCACCATACGACCGAGTGGTGAATGCGCATAAAGACAAACCATTTCTGTACAGCAGGGGATCTAACCTACGACCTTAGGGATGAAGTCGCACGCTCAAGCCACTAGGCCAACACTGATTTTTGTTTTATTCCACTATATAGGAAGTAAGTTTTCCAATTCCAGGAATAGGTATTACGAATAAACATCCTAAAACCAAAAGTTTCCTTTTGTTTTGCAGTATGCAAACAAAGGAGTTCGAAATTCGAATTTTCCGGTAAAATTAAATTTCGTACTGTTAAAATTATGGACTACCATTGAAATGTTACAATTTTATGGCCAAACTGAACATTTGTTAGAGTACTGACTCTTTTCCCCGCCACCTATAAGGTAGAGTCGGTAGGCGCGTTTTTTTTAACGTGGCATCCCCAGTAATGTTTGTGGCCTATTCCACAAACAACTTGCTGATGAGGTAATCTTCGACATTATAATTATATTATCAATCAGCATTGGGGTATTAGGAGGGGGAATATGGGGGGAGGGGGGATTCTTCGATGGTTCAGGTTGTCGGTCATCCTAATTCAACGTCGCATGTGAAAGTTTGGGGAAATTATGACAGGAGTTAAAGTTGGGAGTCATTGTTGGCAATTCTTCTTCAAATTAATTTTCTTCTATTAATAGGCATAGGCTTGTATGGACCCCCCCTACATGTCCCATAAATTAAATTGAGTCCTCTAGTAAATGTCATGTAACATTTTTTTTTTTTTTTTTTATGGCTCTGGCACGGTTTGTGCATTTGCCAGCGTCAAGTATGAGATTTTTATCATTCGTGCTTTTTGCCTTAGAAATTCAATCATATCCTCCATGTACGGTTTAGGCACTCGCCCGGTACCGCACAACTCTCCCAAAGGCCAAGAACAAATTTAAATTAAATTAAAACTTGCCCTCGAACCGGGAATCGAACCCGGCACCCCTCACCTAGCTGCCACTTAATAAGACCGCTAGGCTATGAGGCCCCCGTCATGTAACGTTACAATGGACTTTTAGCGAATTCATTATGACATTTGACATCGTGATTCGTGACAGAACCGGCAAAAATTTAAGACCGCCGTTTTGAGTTTTCTTGAATCGCAAGTCGCAACAAAAATTTTATACACAAATAATCTTAATTGTTACTTCTCAGTTCTCTGGTCGCTATTTTACTTATTCATATAAAAATGTCTAAGCGAAATAGCATCGGCGCTTCTTCTACTAATACTCTTTTTAATTATTTTACCAAAACTCCGCCAAGTACGAAGAAAGTGAAACTTAGTGTAACTAATGAAATAAAAAATTCTACTGAAACTGTAGAGACTATAGAAAGTAAGCTTAATAATTTATTCACTTTCTTTTTAATGTTTCTAGATAGTTGTTAGTTACCTAAATAATCTATCTAATCGTGTGGGGTTTACTTTTCTTTGTGCGGTTGAGATAAAAACTAATACTTTATATATGCTTTATAAAAGTAACGCTAAAGGTTTATTAAATATTAAACTAAACTTCAGGTTTAGAATAGAATTCTATTTATGTTGCAGACAAAAAGAGAGTAAGGCAAACAACACCCTCTCCAAGAGAAGATAAAAATAATCACACGGATGACGAATCTCCAATTGCACCAAAGAAAAGAAAAAGAATCCGTCTTAATCCTTGTGATACAGATGATTCTGATACTGAAAATAAAGGTATGATTTTCGTATCATTTTGCTACATTATCTAATTTTACAAGCTAATGTTGTACGTTTCCTGATCTTTACTATAATATGTAAGTTATATGTAAGTTCTATTAGAAAAATCTGTCAAATTTTTTATAAATGTACGGTCTTACTAATAAAGAATTATGCACATCGTATAAGCCTGTTATAAGAAAAATGTTACTAATAATTCCTGAATTGACACGTTTGATGTATACGGCTGTTATAACAAGTGTCTGGTTTGTATGAAGACTTTTACAATGCTTATACAACGCCGAGGCCTAGTTTAACGGGTGTATAGGACATAAATTGCGTTATTTGATCTGATTTCGCGTTTGACAGCATTTTTTGACTGTTTAGTTCAAGGAAAGATTTAAGTTAGTAGGTATTTGTGTTTGTTGAAAATAGATTTTATAGATCAAATGGAAGATTTAGATAATATTGATATGCAGCTAATACATACGATTGAAGATTTGCCGCCTCCAAGGAAAGTCAAAACATACCAAACTCGGTGCAATCCGTTATTACTTTCGGATGGCGATTTCAAAACAAAATACCGCTTTTCAAAGAACAGTGACAGTGCGAGCTGATGTCGAAAAGAGTAATAGAGGTGGATGGTTTTCGATTTAGGTGTCTTCTTCATGGCTTCTCAGTGTCTTTAGAAAATGCCAAATTATATTATATAGTAGCACTGGCAATCCTCCACAATATTGCTATTGATATGAAAGAAGACCTGGATGTTACGTATAATGACACTGAGAATGCTCCAGAAGAACCAAGGCTATCTAGACGCCCCCAAGCAATCAGGCTGGACAAGCTGCTAGAGCTGCTTTTATTGAAACATATTTTTAAAGCTGTTTTATTTACATAGATGTGGATAGTTAGACGTGAAATAAATAAAAAGTTATATTTCATTTAAAACAGGGGTTTTATTTTTTTTATAAGTATATAATTATTCATTTAATTGCTGCTGTAATAGTTTGAGCCTTAGAAGATGCTCATGTCTAGACCATTTGTGAGCTTTGGCAAGTTGCTTCTGTTTGAGCTCATGTGTTTCAGCCATTTGCCTTAGTTTGGTTTCATGCTCTTCCTGCAAACACTGGAACACTGCCGTGTTGCGGAGTTTGGCACTTTCCACTATTTGAGATGCCTAAAAAATTTAAGTATGATCGTTGAGGGCTTTTGAATGAAATAGTCCTTTTCTCTATCACATTGATACTAACCTCTCCCAACTTTTGTACTGCAGAACGTGGCTTTTTATGTAAAATTCTAGTCCTCTTTGTCTGAATATAATTGTTTTGGTTGCTATTATAAATACAACTTACATTAGAATTATGACTTCTATCAGAATTATTAAGTCAAACGTCAATCAAACACGGCGGGTTGCCAGGGTAACAATAAATAAGGGTTGTTTAGTTATTCAACCAATACACATCGATTATTGGTCAAAGAGGTGTTTATGCCCTGTACAAGCTCTATTCACTGAATAACTATCACCTTGTTATAACTCATGCATAGTGATTTTTTATTAGTAAGACCGTTCATGTTAACATTTCCAGAAGATAATAAAATCAAAACAAAGGAAAAAGCTTCATTAGGAAAAAAATTGCAAGAAAGTTTTCAATATGACCCTTCTGATACACCAAAAAGTAAAATAAAGAAGACCCCAGTTGTGTAAGTTTTATTAAATTTATAACATCAATATGGTCTCTCCTTGAGATTTTTCTATTGATTATTTTAGTTATTTTTCCTTAACAGTATCTACAACATGTTTAACACTTTTTGTAGAATGCAAGTTAAAACTGAGTCTCAAGAATCACCAGTTATTGCTGAGGAAGGTGATTGGGTTCATTGCAAACTCGACTGGCTTAAGCCAGATAAAATCAAAGATGCCAAGGGACGTAGGCCAGACCATCCAGAATATGAACCAACCACACTTTATGTACCTAAGGAATTTATGAAGAGTCAGACTCCGGTACTTAAGCTTACATTGATGTCAAAATTGTGTAGTAATTATCAAAAAGCATTAAGCAAATATTGAAATATGAAAGTATTGTAAAAAATTGAACTGACTTCGAATACCTTTCAATTGAAAAAAACATTAATTGAATTACCTGGGTTGATAACTAAATTATTGTTAAAACCTGGAACTAATCACTAAATTAGAATATAAAAAAAAACAGTGGCCCTAAAAGCCTTAGTCTTGGCCTCTAGAATCTGTTTCATCATTTTTATTTCTTATAGATAATTAGGTGATCAGCTAAGTCACACCCTCAAGCAAGTAGTCCTAGGAAACCTAAATAAAAAATTTTAAATCACATAAGTGGGTTAAAAAAAGATGTACCAAAAGCAATTCAAATTTTGATTAAGTTTCGTATTTTTTTCTCAGTTTTGTGTGGTTTGAACGATAACTGAATTATTTTTTCGAATTTATTCTATACAAAATAATAAAAGTATAGTATTGTACCTATTACTACACTTAAATTATTTATATTTATAAAACTCATTTTATTTTAAACAAGTGTCCTACTCAACATAATTTATCAATGAATTTTTATTATTTTAGGCTCATAGACAGTGGTGGGAGTTAAAATCAGCGCACTATGATTGTGTACTTTTCTTTAAAGTGGGAAAGTTCTATGAGTTGTATCATATGGATGCTGCTGTGGGTGTCAATGAACTGGGCTTCTCTTACATGAAGGTAAAGTAATATTCCAGACATTTCAAATTCCCTTTTACGCTTCTGATGATTCTTAATAGGTACAGTTCAGCCGTCTGTAACTTACACAGACTGTCGATTTCCTCATGATGTTTTCTTTCACCGTAGGATTAAGTGTTTTATATGCATGAATGAAGAAAATTTCATTGCTGCATAGCCGTGATTCGAACACACCACCTCAGGGTCAAGCCACTTGCTTCCAGACTTGGCTGTTCGAGCTAGGGGAGATAAGATCCATAGCTTGCAGGGATGGATCAGCATCCCTCCTTTTGTGCTTAAGCCACTGAGCCAACACTGCTTTACAAGAAATTTGCTTTTTTTGTAAAAAAACTTAAAATAATTTGGTTTGTTAGTTTTCACCAAGATTTAACTAGTCACTAAACTACCTTTTAGGGTGAATTTGCCCATTCGGGGTTTCCGGAAAGTGCATACGCGCGAATGTCTTCAACTTTAGTGTCTAAGGGATATAAAGTAGCGCGAGTTGAACAAACAGAGACCCCTGAAATGATGCAGGATAGATGTAAACGAGGTATGTCATTCTATATATTTTTGACTATTATTGAAATAATAATATTTTTATTATTAAAATAAAATTATTCAGCTTATTGTGTTTAAATGTCATAAAAATACTCTAAGAGACACCCTAAGTTAACATTTATTGGCAGCTTTCAAAATGGACCAGAAGAATTGGCAAGAAATTCTCCGCTCTCTCTCACTCTTTTTAATCGTTTATTTTTATTACAAGATTCTAGAATGAAATTTAATTCAATGTATAAAAACTATTCTTCTGTGTGACTTCAATAAAGTATTAAAAAACAATAAACATAAATTTTGACATTACATTACATTTTACAGTAATTTCAGTTTCAAAAAAATACTACATAGGCACATACAGTGTAAACTCTTAATTACGAATTTCAAAAGACCGACCATTTTTATTTGTTATAGAGAGGTATAGTTATAGGAAGGGAAGTATTAATGTATGGGTATTAGGTGAAGCCAAATAAATATATTTGTATGTTATATAGAGTTTTTCTTTATTACGAATGCCGTTATAAAGAGTACACTGTATATATTAAAATTTAATTTTTTTATAGAACAAAAAACAAGTAAGTATGACAAAGTGGTCCGTCGTGAGATTTGCCAAGTGTCTGTGCGAGGGGCACAAGTTTGCGGCCTTCAAGACAATGGTCCTTCGGAGTCGAACTCGCCATTTATGATGGCTGTCGCTGAAGAGGTATTGTTTTTATTACTATTAAATAATATTAGTTATGTTGTTTTGGTAATCTTTCAGTCAGTTAATACTAAAATACATTATGCAATTACGTAGTTCACACAGTCAAAGTTTATAAATAAGCCAATTTGTATACATAATCCACTAACATTGAAAAAATTGTGTTAAAACCAGACCGTAATCAGGCCCGGGAGTGGGTCATAAGAGTCATGGCCCTCCTGTTCCAGCTCCTTGTGAATCTACCCTTGCCAAATGGGGCATGGGTGATACACATTTCTGGGGTTTTCATTCTTTCTCGTTATTTATTTGAGCAAGTAGATGATTGCTGTTTTACTTACACCATCGTTTGTAAGATAGTTCAACTATATTTCTAATATTTCAGGAAAACAATGGAATAAGTACATACGGTGTGTGTTTCGTTGATACGTCTATAGGCCAATTCCACATTGGTCAGTTTAAAGATGATAAACACTCCTCGAGGCTGCTCACAACTCTTGCGCATTTTCCGCCTGCTTTGGTAAGATTTCTTCGATTTCAGATATTTTTTCTGGAATAAAAATCGGTTGTCTGTAAAGTCGGTTTACTGAAGTAGAACGTGACAACGTCATAAGAAAATACTGATGGAATGGTTGCATTTTTCAAAAGACAATTTTAATTTTATTTGTTTGATAGATATTTTGTATGGATATAGAGAAGGAGGTCAATGGAAATCACAATTGAATTGATCAAGTTACATTTATTTGTACGCATAAATACAATTATGTCAATTTTTTAACAAACGAACGCTGCCAAACGTGGAGTCCGATTGTGCCTCTTTGTCGCTCGTTCCGCGCTCTCGCTTGCACTTCAAGCCTTAAATGGAACGCCTCAGAGCGGGGTTACGCCGCATGCGTCATGTTTTTTCGTGCGTGCAGCCGGCTCCATCGAATTATAAGACGTTGTCACGTCAAAAAGCTTGTCTTCAAAATTATGAAAAATTAAACAAATCTTTGGCATAAATTAGTTGTTGCAATACTTAATTATTAATGAATAGCAATATGTACTGGCATTTTTAATGCAATATTAACAAAAAAATGTTTAATTTTATTAGATTATCTCCGATCGCAAGTCATGCACAGTACGAACAAGAAAACTTCTGTCCACACATTGTCATAGCGCGAGAAGGGAGACGTTAAATATGGCGCCACCAGAGAAAACGCTGAAATTGTTGGCTGAAAAATATTACAGGACTAATGATAATGGACAGTGGCCGGAGGGGGTCTTGCAGTTTTTACATGAAGGTAAATAAAATGTTGTTGTTAACTTATCATAAGATTACGTTATCTAATGTTCATATTATTAAATTTATTACTTGCATAACAAACAAAACAAAGCGCGTTTCGAATGTTTTCATGCAAATAAGAAAATATTGTTAATAAAAAAATAATCGAATTTAGCTTTAGTTTCTGTTACACTTCGGTATTATCGGTCACATCTTTGAATGGAGTGATAGCTTCATTTATACATGAACTTCACAAATGAAAAAAATCATTAAAAATAATCCAGGTAAACTGAGAAACAGAGAAAAGATCAATTTGAATTCGTCGCATTGTTATATGAATTGATGACATTTTTTTTATATATAAAATATCGGTATTAGCTATTCGTAATAAATATAGTTTTCATGCCTGCATATATATAATGGCGTAGACCCAAAGAGATATAATCATATACGACAGTTTTCGTCATTTCCTTCACAATAAAATTCGCTTGCCACGGGAAACAAAGTCGTAAAAGCAAAATCTATTTTTTTTTCCAGGAAAAATAAAAGAATGTAATATTACTAAGATACTAAGTACTTTAAATATAAATGTATATATCAAATAAAAGCTAAAAGCATTTTTTTATTTGATGATTTAAACATGGTTGTTAGGTAGGAGTTTAGATAGTTGAAAAAATGTAGCATACACATGTATCATATTTTTATCGACATTTTACATCGATATCATAATAGCGTCACTCGCACAGAACTACATAAAACTGGTCTTGCGGGATTCGCGCGAATGTGTGCGTGTACGCAGGTAACCGGTGGTACGTAGCCAGTGTGCTTGGTGGCTTGGTATTAGACGCACATATGTTTATTTCTTTATATTATATTAAGTGAATTGTAACCAAACATTAAATTAAATTAATTCACTTTAAAATGGTGGTTAATTTATTTACCCCATAACAATAATTCTCTAATTAGACTGAAGAGCAAAAGCGTTAACGGTTGTTTCACTGTTTAAATATATGTATTTATGGATGACCCATTTTGACGAATGTCTATAATGTGATAAATTTTTTCCACTCTTTTCGCGGAAATATTATGAGCTTAGTAAAACAGATATATTATTACCACGTTTATTTATTTTTAAACGGTTGCATTAAGTTTTTAATTAATTGTTAGAATTAAAATCTAAACGAAAACTATATGGTTGTTGCGATCTAATACTAGTATTACTAACATTGTGCACAAAATAATTTCCGTAGAATAAAGACGCAAGACGTATTGCAAAAAATTCTGAAAAGAATTACCCAAGAAAGTTGGAAATGAGAAAACATTAAAACAGTCGTAATAGTGCTTTAGAACTTTGTTCTACGGGGCAATCGAATTATCCATGTACGTTAAATTTCTTTTTTACTATAATCACTTAGGTATAAAAATCTTCGAACGTGTAAAAAAAACTCCGCTCACCACCGCGATTGCGTAAAGAGCGTTATTATTATTATTATATTTTTATTAGTTATTTTGAAGTCTAATTATCTAATGTTTTATAAGTGTGAATCTCTTTACATCACTTCGTAAAGTATGTTTAAGAGTGTATAACAGCTTTTAATTTTTTTAAACGTTATTTTTATTGATAAAAATCATACGTTCTTGTTATTTCCAGGTGACACTCTGGGTCTAACGCCGGCTGCGAACAGTAGTTTAGCCATTAAGGCTTTGGGGGGCTGTGTAGCATTTCTCACGGAATGTTTGCTTGATATACAAATTTTAGGTAACTTTTTCAAAACTATATTATATACATATATTTCACTATTGATATTTATAATGGGATTACGAAATAAATATTTATAATGTATAGTATATTATATATTTAGTTTCTTTTTTTTATATTATTTAGTATATATAGTTTCCTCATAGCCTAGCGGTCTTATTAAGTGGCAGCTAGGTGAGGGGTACCGGGTTCGATTCCCGGTTCGAGGGCAAGTTTTAATTTAATTTAAATTTGTTCTCGGCCTTTGGGAGGGTTGTGCGGTCCCGGGCGAGTGCTTAAACCGTACATGGAGGACACGGTCGAATTTATAAAGGCAAGCACGAATTATATAAAAAAAAAATCTTATACTTGACGCTGGCTAATGCACAAACCGTGCCAGAGCCATAAAAAAAAAGTATAGTAAATTGCAAGTTTGTAACTTATTACCTAAACATGAATATAGTAAATCTTTTACATTAGGTATGTGACGGTCAGAAACCACATAAAATAATTAGACAATTTTATAAAAAAACTCGCTGACCCGGCAAAAGTTGTTTTGCCATGTATATTATTTCTAGGAAACATTATTTTAGTTCAATAAAAATAACTATCTACTATAATAATAAATTGGGGTTGATCGTAAAGGGGTGAAAATTAAGGGTTGTATGTATTTTCGTATGCTGTATCATAAAAAAAAATAAAAACAAGAAAAATTGCTTAAAAAAAATTTTGGGGTGGACACCCCTTATCACATTTTCGCCATGGATTTATATCGTTAGATAGGCCCCGACACCAAAAACTGTGGCATGGTTTTTGAATGTGTGCGTTAACAAAATGCCGACACACGCACACTAACGTAAAAGTAGTTAAAAAATCGTGTTTCTGCCATTGTACTTATCTGTTGTTATTACCTATGTACTGAGAAAAATGTGTCATCTCTTTTTCTCCTACATTAGTTGCAAACACTACTCTCTTTCGTGCACTCGCCATTTAAATTTTGAATGTGTGCGTTAACAAAATGCCGACACACGCACACTAACGAGTAGTTAAAAAATCGTGTTTCTGCCATTGTGCTTATCTGTTGTAATACTGAGAAAATAGTGTCATCTCTTTTTCTCCTACATTAGTTGCAAACACTACTTTCTCTTTCGTGCACTCGCCATTTAAATTTGTTATTTTAGATAGTGCGGAAGGAAAAATAAAAGTTTTTAAATCAAATCGCAATACTTACGAGTGAAATGTTACACCTCTGGCTTTATTTGTGTTTCTAGAATTGTTGTTGCACTTTAGAAAGGCACACGATGGCATTTTGTGACACTAAACTGCTCGCAAACGTCCTTTACAACACGTCCGGCTAACACTGTGTTTAGGGGTGCACTGATCCCAGGTTAGTGAGCTCACTCACTTCGACTGTGCGACAACACGGCGCGGTCTCACTGCGGTCAGGGCCTATCTAACGATATAAATCTATGATTTTCACCGATTCTCAGACTTACTGAATATTCATAAAAAATTTCATAAGAATCGGTCGAGCTGTTTCCGTTTCGAGCCATGAAAACTATGTGTGAAGGTATAGAGCAGTGTTGGCCTAGTGGTTCAGCGTGCGAAACTCATCCCTGAGGTCGTAGGTTCGGTCTCCGGTTATGCACCAATAAACTTTCTTTCTATGTGCGCATTTAACATTCGCTCGAACGGTGAAGGAAAACAACGTGAGGAAATCGGTGACGACGAATCGACGGCGTGTGTCAGGCACTGGAGGCTGATCATCTACTTGCCTGTTAGATAGACACATGCTCATGAAACAGATACGGAAATCTGAGGCCCAGACCTAAAAAACTTGTAGCGCCACTGATTTATTTTATGTGTGTAGGTATGTCTCAGTTCTCTGAATATACACCCCCTGACGTGCTAAACATGACAATTCAAAATGAGACGTCTCAATGGACTGGTGGCAGTACTATGGTCTTGGATTCTATTACGTTGAGAAATCTACGTATAGTACAGGATGAGGGATGTCTCTATGATAAATTAAATTTATGCTGTACGCCTATGGGAAAAAGGTTTGTTATTCTTTGTCAAATCAAATTATATTATTTACAAAAAAAGATAGTCGTGTCGCTGAAACTACTAATTTAATTCGTAATTACTATTTTCTCTATCCTTCTACTTTAATCTTTTTTTTTTCGGCTTCAGACTCATCTGAGGTCGTAGGTAACACTAGCTCCTACGGTGAAGGAAATCATGCCTTAGACGGTGTCGACGGCGTGTGTCAGGCACAGTAGTCTGATCACATACACGCCTATTAGTAACAACAAATTATCCCGAAACAGATACAAAAATCCGTAAATCTAAATTAAATATTGTTATATAGAGTCTGGCTAATGAATGAAGATAATTGAATTATTTGAAAACTTTCGGATGGCAACACAGAATGTCATTGAATTTTTTATGTTAGTATGATTTATTGTGTATTCAATCCCTTCTTCGCCGTGGTTTTTTAAATATAAGTTTTTAAACAAAAAGGTCACGTCTATAATCTGCCGTCTTCGTATAGGGCACGCTTGTACTCCCGTTCATCTAGCCAAAATTAAAATAAAAGACAGTTCTCTCTGTGAGTGTGGTATGGACGAGGGCTCGACAGACCATATATTTTTTAACTGTTCTTTAAATAATGACTCGTTATTTGACCATCTTTCTCCAGATTTCCCTCGTCCATGTAACCTTAACTCCCTACTTTCCCTCCCATCCAGCTCGATCGTCAAAATATTAGGGAAATTTATTTCTGTTAATAAATTAAAGTTATAAATAAGATTCTCCCCTTCATACCTTGTAGTAAAATGTTAACCTCTTGTATATATTATTAGATTTCTGTGTGTGTTGTATTTATTGTGATGTCATTTTTGTTTTGGGTAACTCTGCTTAGATAAAATTCAATGTATCAAAATTATCAAATCTATCCTCACTGTGTGAAGACTTAGAACGTGACATTGGCGGAATTGTGATTTACACAGATGTCGCCATTATAAATAAAGTGAAGTGAAGTGAAGTGATTTATTGTCTTGATACTTTATGCAATAACTAATTTTTATTTCTATTATATATTTTTTCTGAATAGTTAACAGGTATAATAGCCTAAACTTTGTTTGATTGACTTTTTGGATTCTGATTTTGATTATTCCGAATAAAGTTGTGTTTTATAATAAATATAGTTTCAGTTTTCCATGCAATGCAAGTCATTTTAAGTATCAATAGTAAAAGACTAAATACGTATATTATTTATTTTCATAGAAATACAGTTACTATCAATGTAAAAAGTAATAAAATAAAATCAGGTATCAAGTAAGTTTAATCCACAAAATATATCAAACTTTTAGGGATACCATACTAATTTTTTTGAAGTTGCCGCGCCTTTTCGTTATCTTCTTTCATTAGCCAGACTAACATTTATTATGTCATATAACATAAAAATATTGCTCCACAGATTACTATACCAATGGGTATGTTCCCCGAGCTGTGATTTGACAGTGATTAAGGAACGTCAGGAAGCCATTAAAACTTTATTCGAAAACCAGGACATCTGTCAAGAGGCGAAGAACTTGCTGACAACATTGCCAGATCTGGAACGACTCTTGGCTAAGTATGAAAAGTTTTATTGGAATTTTATATAATCTATGATAAAAAGTTTCGTACAGTCCACTAATTTCTCGAAAATTAAGTACCCGTATTCAAACTTAAATCTAGTTTTAAGAGCTGTCAAACCATTTTTTTTGTATAAAGTTTGATAGCGCTCATGACGAGATTGTGACTTTTTTTATTATGTAACAAGGGTCAAACGGGCAGGAAGTTCATTGCAAGAAGGCTCGCAAGTGCGTTACCAGCCTTTAAATACCGGACTTTAGATACGAATTAGAATATGGACGTAAAAGTCATATCCATGATCTTTGATTTCAATTGATATGTTTCCACTTAGGCAACATCAATATCGGTTCAGCAGTTTTTGAGATATACATTTATTTTTAGTTGACAAAGGTTTTTTCAAATATATTTTACATAACTCAGTGACTAATCACATATTTCAGAGTCCACTCCCTCGGGAACTTAAAGAAATCAAAAGATCATCCCGATTCAAGAGCAATTTTATATGAAGAGAAGACTTATTCCAAAAGAAAAGTACTGGATTTTATTTCTGTACTCAATGGGTATACTGCTGCGTTGAAACTGTCAGAATTATTCTGTGACAACGACTCTGTCTTATTGAAGAGGATCACACAACTATCACCGGATGGAAAGTTTCCAGATTATAGAGAGACTTTGAAATTCTTTAAGGTATTTATTTTTAAACAATACTCTTAAATAGAGATAAATATTAGTAAAGTTTCTCCGCCCATACATTGGTTTAAATACAAGATTTAAATGATTTGAAACGTTATTCATGACCAAAATATGGTTGTGATAAAATTGATTTAACGCTAGTCCCCACACACCAATACCCCCTTTTTGGTGTGTGGGTAACTAGATTGCAATATACCGTGGTACATGTTTTAAACAAATATTTTTAAAGAAAAAGGGGTCTTAGCAGTGGCGTAACTATACCATCTGGGGCCCGTGGCAAATTCTATTGATGGGGCCCTATCAGTAAAAGTCACGTATTCAGTTTAATTTTAATAAACTTCGAGATTTTCAGCGTACTCAATTACACGGTGTATGTGTCCCACTAATGGTCATGGGCTCTTAGAGCGAGAGGGAATGGTCTGTAGTCCCCACGCTAGCCCAATGCGTATTGGAGACTTCACATTAATCCATAGAACATAATATGTCTTGGGCAGGGGCCCTCTTGGGTCGGGGCCCGTGGCATTTTGCTAGCCCTGCCACCCTATTGTTACGCCACTGCATGACCGAAATATGGTTCTGACAAAATTGATCTAACGCTAGTCCCCACTCACCATCACAGGGGTGTTGCGGATACAATTATACTTAGATTACAATTATTCAGTGGTACATAGTCATATTTAAAATATTAAAAAAAAAGGAGTTTTAGTGTTACATCTAATCAAACAAGTCGTGTAAGAATGTATGAGTATGTGAATGGGTGTGCGTGCGTATAATACGCTGTGTATTTGAAAGTGTGGCTGAGAGTTATTATAAGCGTGCGCTGTGTCTGTGTTAGTTTTTGGAACCTCAGGGTCATGCCAAAATATATGGTAAGGCTTCTGCAGAATCGAATTCCAATTCAGCTAGCATACCTTTTATGCTTTTTGTTAAGTTTAATTTGGATAGTTTGATTATCTCAGAATCTATAGATTGGGAGATTTTATTACAAAAGGAATATAAAAATTCGTCATAAGTTATTAAATTTAAGCAGACAAACGTAAAATATAGTAATATTTGAGCTAATTAATGATTAATTGGATTTGAGTTCGTGATTTGATTTCTAATTGTTAAATTCAACCTCGCTCCGCTTTGGGGAGGTAAAATGCGAAGTTCCTGAACAAACTAAGCTGCAGGGGTCATAAATTATTAAACCATTAATTCTAACCTTGATGTGATTGCGCGTTCTCTCGTCACGTACGTCACGTACGCGTGCTTACGTACACTTATATTGTTCTTGGCAAAATGATACAAGATTTATCTATTTATTCACAAAAATACATACACAATCCTTACAGTACTAAGCCAATATAGTGTCAAAAAAATAATAATATTAAATACCTAAGATACACAATAACAATATCGCTTATGTGAACATATAAAGATGTCGATAGCGCTGGTGACAGCATTCAGTACGGTGATAAGGGATGACGGAGAATTCTCGCTCTCTTCTCGTCTGTTCTATTCTTAAATTATAAATAATTTTATTTTGACGAATTAATTTTTTTTAATCAATGAAATTACAGGATGGCTTCAATCAAACTCAAGCGGAGAAGGAAGGAAAAATTTTGCCGGAGGCTGGTGTGGACCAAGAGTATGACAACACTTTGGAGCTCATAGAAGAAATTGAGCAGGAGCTGAGGCAATACTTGGTGGAACAGGAGAAATACTTCAAGTGCAAGGTAAATGTTTTAATTTTTTTTAATACTTTTATAAAAGCTACTTGATTTAACATACTAGTGTAAATTTTGTATGTTATGTAATGTTGTTTTTAAATCTAATATGAATAGTTTTTACAGTTTTCCCTTTATGGCTCTGGCACGGTTTGTGCATTAGCCAGCGTCAAGTATAAGATTTTTATAATTCGTGCTTGCCTTAGAAATTCGACCGTGTCCTCCATGTACGGTTTAAGCACTCGCCCGGTACCGCACAACCCTCCCAAAGGCCGAGAACAAATTTAAATTAAATTAAAACTGCCCTCGAACCGGGAATCGAACCCGGTACCCCACACCTAGCTGCCACTTAATAAGACCGCTAGGCTATGAGGCCCTTGTTTTTACAGTTGTTACACGTATCTCTGACGTCATTAAAGTTGTCGTTATTCAAGAAATTGTCAATGCCATTCATGTTGTTCAATAGTCTGTAAAGTTTCGGTTAGTTTTATTTTATTTATGATTACGTTAATTTTTAAAGTGAAACTTTTTATTAATAAAACGAAAACCACCCGTTTTTATTACGTAACATTCTGTTCGTAAAACGCATATCTATATAGATTTATGAAAATTTTCAGATAACATATGTGGGTAGTGATAAAAAGAGGTACCAAATGGAAATACCGCAAAATGCCGCATCCAAAGCAGGAGGAGATTATCATATGGAAGGAGCTAGGAAGGGATATAAGAGATATTCTACTTATGAGACAAAGGTATATTTTGTGTATATCGGCGAATAATAATAATTTTTTTTTGTGATTTTGTTTATGGCGTGTAAATATTATACTTTAATTTTAGTTCATTTAGAACATGTTATTTTTGATAAAGCTGCTACTTCAGTATAAGTAAAAAGTTTAACAAAAAAAATAGAAAGATTAATCTAATTAATTTTCTCGTAAACTTTATTTTATTTTATCCTTTTATATATACTAGTTGCATTAAATAAACTTAAAAAAACTAAAAACATGGTGTAACGGGCGGCCTTATCGCTACTAAGCGATCTTTTCCAGGCAACTAATAAAAGAAAAAAAATGCGAAACAATTGAATCAAAAAACATATTTTTTTTCTGTATTTTTTCATAATATTTTCTATCTAAATCTATAAAAGATTGTCCCACTCCTATTATATTCATTTTTTTTTACAATTCTAGGACTTCCTCGCACGTATGATGGCGGCTGAAGAGCAAAAACGCGTAGTACTAAAGGATCTCAGTCGTAGGATATTTGAGAAATTCTCAAGTCATTATTCCCAATGGGCCGCTGCCGTACAGTGCGTGGCGACGCTCGATGTGTTGCTGTCCCTTTGCGAATTCGCTAGACAACAGACAAGCGATATTTGTTTGCCTGAGGTTACATTTGGCGATACACAGGTTACAATACAGTTTTAACATTATTATTTGAATGTATTATCTATAAATCATATATAATATTTTTAAAGCGAAGATAATGTACAAATTATACTAAGTTTTTTCCTAAATTAGTACATTTTTGGATATATCAGATTTGGGTAAATGTTTTTTTTTCTCATTTGCAAGTGCCTCCAAAGCAATTATTGTTTCGCCAGGCATTGAATCTAGGTTCCATGGATGGATACTATGAACATATATACATATAAGATTTCAAATATCTAATTTCTTCTATATTAAATATGTTAGTATATAAAATTAAAAATGTGTTAATTTTTTAATTTTGATTTATATAAAATTTCAGCCTTACATAAGCATAGTAGAAGGCCGTCACCCCTGCATACCAATTGTGAACGATTTCATCCCAAACGATACATCCCTTGGGGAGAACGGAGCGAGTTTGTTATTACTAACGGGACCTAATATGGGCGGAAAGTCAACTCTAATGAGACAAGTCGGGCTGTTAACTGTCCTTGCGCATTTGGTAAATATTCTCTTCTATTGTCTAAGTATATAATTATAAAATAAATGAGAAAATTATTTCTTATTTTAACGCACTTACGTAAAAAGAATTAATTATTTAAATTATCTAAATTAATATCTTTTATGTTATATGTAATTAAATCAGTTGTAAATAATTATTTAAGTTTAAAAATACATATTAAAAACAGGTTACATAAATTATATATATCGATAGAGACTAATAAAAGAATTTATAGTTGCTTTCACAATAAATTATTTATTAGAATCGTCGACTGAAAAAGGTTTACCATTTTATTTGGAAAATAAAATATGGCCCCGAGGTTTCCAGACCTCTTAACGGCATTGATCGGATTGATTGATTTTTATCATCCTTTCGATGTTTTAAAAAAAACCATCAATGCATCGAGTATATCAATACATCTTCAAAGCATCGGATCCATTCAATGTATCGCATTGTAAACATCGATGTATATCAAATATCCCTAATGGTTCGAGGTCCGGGTTGTAAAAGACCAGACATAATGTCGGGAGGTGGCAGATGAAAAATCGACTATGATTCAATCACCATAAAAAATCGATTATTTTTAATATTAAAATCGCGTACTAAAATCGATTTCAATAGATTATTATTTAACATCCCTAATGTTACGTTAATCACGTTACATTGTCGTAAATTATAGGATATTTTGTCTGGCTGCGATAGATGGAGCTTTTCTCAATTTACAAATATTTCAGGGAAGCTACGTCCCAGCACAGGAATGCAAGCTCAGTTTAGTGGATCGCATCTTCACTCGTTTAGGGGCGTCTGATGATATTTTGTCCGGTCATTCCACATTCCTTGTGGAGATGAATGAGACGGCGGCCATTATTAAACACGCCTCGCTTCATTCCCTTGTGTTGTTGGATGAATTAGGTGAGTATTATTTGATGATAAGAAAAAAAATTATATGCGTAAATACACACATCTTAAAACTCACTGAACCGATTTTAATGAAACTTAAACTGTTCCCTCTTGCTTTCGAAATATAGCACACTTTTTTTTTAAATTTTTTATTGTTAAATATACATTTATTACAAACATATCCATTCCTATACAGTTTTACTGTTTGGGAACCTAAATCATTCTCAAATATTGAATTAATACACGTCAATCTGATAACCTCCTTTGTTTAAAGCTTTATTTCTGTTGGACTTATTAAGATAGATAAGCGATGCAATGGCTAGTTTTATACTTTACTATCTAATCATAAGTTTAATTGAATATTATAATTAATTAAAGGTCAATTTGATAACTTGAATAGCGAGCGCAGAGTGTAGTAAATTTTTAGGAAGGTTTTTTTTATGTAATAGGAGGCAAGCGGGCTCACCTGATTGTAAAGTGATACCACCGCCCATGGTCATTCACATTGCCAGAAGGTTCGCAAGTGCGTTGCCGAACTTTAAAATATTCCGGGTGCTGCTCTTTCTCTGACCTAAAGGGAGGATCCCCCACCAGTCTAAGTGCGGACTAGCGCAAAAGCCCCATTAGCTAAGGTCCAAGTTGCTTAATATCCTTAACGTATTAAGTTTGTTCGCATGTTTCAGAGTGTAACGTCATCGCAGTGATTTTAGCTGTAGATTGTAGGTATCGCTACAGCGCGCTTCTTGGAAAACATAATATTAAAAATCATGAATTTCGTAGTAACTCTCGACCTTTGAACCATTTTAACGTTCTATTTAACAATGTTTTTCCAGCAGAAATTTTAAATGGACAATCAAATCAATCTAATTTCTTAAAAAGCAATTCCTTCCTTTAGACATTATTTCCTTAGACATGTTTTTGTTATTACACGTTTATCACGTAAATTCTCGCGAAAGAGCAGATCTGTGCCCGAGAAGCTAAACTACAGGGGAGTGTCTAGTCTACCCTTTCCTAGAAATATTAAACGCCAGCCAGGCACGGGCTACTTCGTTGTGGGCGAGTGGGAGCCTGCTGGCCGGGACCCACTTCACCTTCTCTCCTATTCGTCTTAGTGACATTCATGCGCTCTCGCTCAAGCCTATGCCAGTCTCGAGATCGCGCCCGGCACTTGCGAAAGTCGGACAGTCAAGAAGTTAAAGTAAAGAAAAGGAACAGTGACGAGAATTAGAAATATTTGTTTAAAGCGTGTGATAGACCAGATAAATATATTTGTGGCTAAAATGGTTTAAATTACTGTATATTTAATCGCAATTTCAGGTCGCGGCACAAGTACATACGACGGTACGGCCATAGCAAGTGGTGTGTGTGTGGAATTGGCAGAGCGTGGATGTAGAGTGTTATTCTCCACACATTATCACACACTCGTCACACACCTTGCGACACACCCTAATGTGCAACTGGGGCATATGGTTAGTATATTCGAAATATCTTGTGTCTATAAATCTGAACGTTTATGCTCTTAACATCGAACCTACTACGGTATTTGGCAGCAAGTTCCGATAACTGTCAATTTTGACTTAAATTTTCTATTTCAACGCGGCGTTTTATTCTGTCAATAGGTAATTAACAGATAAAGGTCAAGATTGTAAAAATTAACGTTTAATAATGTTAAAAAATAAAAATCCTATATGGTGAGACATAATTGTTTCACTTTTGTTAATAAAAGTGGAAAACTTTATTAGCTTTGAATAGAAATCCTCATTGTAAATATCTTCCATAAGAACTTTTTATTATATGTCATTACAGTTTAATGTAATTCATTTTTATAGTTCGAGTTGATGTTTAATCCTTGTATGTTTTTAGGCATGTATGGTAGAAACAGAGGAAACGGAAACTGATGATATCCCAGAAGAAACAATAACCTTCTTATACAAACTGAGCCCTGGTGCTTGTCCAAAATCCTATGGGTTTAATGCCGCAAAATTAGCTGGGATCCCACAAGAAATAACGCGTCGAGCGCGAAATATATCGAAAAAACTCGAAACTGAAGCTAATCTAATAAGGACTTTCAAAGAAATTATGAAGATTGGTCAAGTATCAAATATGAGGAAACTTCTTGCTGAATTGACAATTTAATATTTTTTTATATCTAGATTAGGGTAAGATGTTCTGCGTAGACTTAGTCGAAAGACTCAAGCCTGCCCCTTAGGGGTTTAAAAAAATATCTAATTTTAATTGTAGCTGGTTTAATTTGTAAAACGAATGTCGCTTCTCAGTTTGAATCCGTATTTCGTACTTCAATTAAGTAAGCAAGGTTGCCAAAATAGCGCCGCGCCAGTGAGAATTAATTTGAGAACAAAATTTAACATACGGTCTAAAGACTTTTTATAGAAAAGAAAAAGTAGGATATAAACTAGGTATATCTTTTGTTATGCAGTCTTAAAATAGAAATAAAATATTTGAAGCACTTCCTTTGCCCTTTCATTTTTAGAGCCAAAATAAGATTGATTTAAGATTCTTTAATTTTTCTAATGTCTTTATTACTTTGTAACGAAAAATATTGTTACAAGAATTAGCACCTTTACTAAACCACATTCGCTATTTCTTCGTCTAAATATGATAAAAAAAAATATTCGAAGATATTGAAAGTATTGTTAGGTTAGGTTTTTGAGTTTTTTATAGTCTAGAATATAAGTTTGTTATTATATTTCTTGATGTTTTTATTAGCACCTGAAATTGTGCCATTTTATTGACACTAATTGATATTAATAGCAATAAACGTACGATTATATTTTGCCATTAAAGATTTTTGTAAAACCTCATTTAAAATGTGATTTTAATGTTACTATTATAATTATTGTGATTGTATAACCCACCATGTGAACCAATAAATATTTTTTACAATAAAAACAAGTTTCCAATATTTTATACTTTATTCGTTTATAAATTACAAAATCACCATAACACACGTTTAATCTCACTTTACATAATTACATGTTAAAACAAAAATGCAATAGATCTTCTTATAACTATTTTAACGTCAACTAATAAAAACCAATACTTGAAATACAAAATGAGAAAAAATTGAGACAGTAAAGCCCGAATTCTATGTATCTCACGTCACATTCACTTCGCCTAAATCTTATCACATCTTATCAATTGTGATACAATGATAGATTATCAAAACCAAAAAGTAATGATAAAATTTTTATACAACTCATACTAAAAGGCAAGGGCTGGAATAATAATTCTAGACTATAGACGTTTTAAATATATTATTGCATAACGAGCATAAAGCGTACATATTTATGTAGAGCCTCGAATTAAAAGACGTAATTCATTGTGACTTAAAATATCATAGAATCTAGCTTGAATTTGTCCTTATAAACTATTCGTGAACATAATTTAGAAATATCAAAAAACGTTTGGGACAACAAGTTATACAATTTATATTAATGTAATGTATAATATATACATTTAGCTACTTACATTTTATGACTAGGCTTAAGTAATTGTTCATTTAAAGAGAAACTATCAGCCTAATACGTTCGTTAAATAAGAGAAATAAAAATCTTAAAAGTCTAAATATTTCCCTTCCTTAGTCTAATAATTCATATAAAATTGCTTACTATGTTTATTCTTTAAAACAACAAACTTACAACGCACCGCAAGGATGTACTATAAATTATAAACATATACATCAGATTAACAATGGAATGTAATATATAAACTTTAACAAAATTCTGGCTGGAATTTAATAAAATTAACTCAATTTATAACTACTATTTAGAGCAGTCTCATTTTTAGTTAAAAGCACTATTTACAACCAATCAAGTTCACTTGATTTCCGGGGTAATCTTGGCAGCGCCCGCGTACAGCGTGATCGAATCGCGAATCCACTATCAATTTCTTTTCTAGGTATACATTTTACTACACTTTAATGGGCTCCTGGATTAACATTAATAATTTTGGTATTTATTCTATCTTATGAAACCTTACATTGATCTGTTGTACATCAGAACAACCTACAGTGACCGATTAATGAGTTTTATACATTTATACTGACGTGTTAAAACTTTTTTAAATAGTAACTTTATATACACGATGATTAGAACTTTAATGTGGGTACATTCGAAGGGTCGAGACAATTTTTGACATTTTTTAATATTAATAATATATTATTTTTTTATAATTTTACTTAAGGATCAGCACCGTTCTATACATTTTTAATAAATGGTCACGTTACATGGCAGGCAATATACAACTATGGCTAAAGCCTAATAATAGTAAGTACGAAGACTGTGTTGCCGCTTCTTAACATCAATTAATTTCACTTTAAATCACGATAGAATTATATCAAACAGATTCAAATAAACCCAGTTAAATATCTATTTTATTAAAGAAATTCTATTTAAGACGTGTGAGCTGCAACGCATAAAATGTTAGTTTCGCAGTGAATACTTATGTATTGCGAATTTTCAAAACAGATGTTTTTAAGAATCTACAGTCAAAACCGTTTACGACGACATTGTTTAGAACAACATACCGATTATTTTAACCAAAGTCCCGGCTGAATTTTATTGTATTAGGTACTTAATAACGTCGTCGGCTGTTACGACTATCGGTTTTAATATCCAAATATGAGTAGTCCCTTCGATGTCGTCATAACAGATTTTGACTGTATTTAAAATTATCATATTAACTGAGATTTGCACTTACATTTGGTTGCATCAACAAGATACAACACCACCAAACCGTAGGTTGTAAACTACCCAATTATGAAATTTTTAGGTTTCTGCATAACTAATAAATCCATAATTTTTTAAAGCCTACACATAATACACTAAGCCTGCATTTCGTAAACGTGACCAGCCCGCTACTCAGAGTTCGTCGTAAGAGGAGCTCTCTCGTTCGTCGAAGGGCCGCGCTCTTTCGCCCCAACGGTCCCATCTTTCTGAGCTCAGAAGGGATTCCGTGTCTTCATCTTGTTGTGGTACCGGGTAGACGATCCCATCGCCAAAGCTACACCATTGCTAGTCATTATTCTTTACGAGGGTTGATAATTACCAGAAAATACCAAACATCAGAAAAAAATGAAATTTTTTATTGAATATTTTCTGGTATAATATTAAAAATTACTACAAAATGCATCAAGCGTGTGAATGTGTTATGTATATAAATAGCGCAAATGTTTTTTTAATATCCATGTTTTAATTGTAATAAAAACTAAAACTGTGTATTGAGGAGGATTTTGTTCGTATGCCACTAAAATCTACATAAAGAGAATAAAAGTAGCCATCTACACATTTAAATATCCATCCATATAAAGCTGTACTACTGGCACACATATCCACTTACTATCCATCAGAATTCTACGATGGTAACAAGCAATCTAGTCACTCCTAAGTGGTTGCCATAAATAGCATGCAAAAGGACACAACTCTTTACGAAAAAGAAGTGAATGACGCAATTTGGAAAACTCGAATGTTGATGAATGAAAAGCGTATATTAGTTGTAAGGATTTTATTTAAATAAAATTATAATAAAAATATAACGAAATTGTAAGTGTTCCTTATACTATTTGCGGGACGGTCCGCCCCCTTCGGGGACAAAGTCTCCATCTCTCAGTTTCGTGTGCCACTGCCACGCTAAAATTGTAAAACTTACGCTATTGAACTCTGCGTTTTAAAATGAATGGTATTTAAGCATCGAACCCCTCCACAAGGCTATTCTAATGTTTGCTAGTGTTCTTATGGAGGAACCCGACGATTTAAAGAAGACTGAGAGTGATAGAAAAGATAAATATTGGGCTGGCACACGGCTCTTGTAGGTCTTTTTGTGTAATTTGCATTTATACATCACACAGACGAAATGATTGCCAATTTCACGAAGTCACTTGCATCCATTTGCTAGCTTTGCTTTATCGTAGCGACTAATGCGTTATTTTTATATCAGATGACTTCACAATAATTAGAACATTCGGTAAAATTCAAAATGTAAAAACCGCCATAGAGTAATATTTAAATCCTAACTTTGTAAGTCACCTGACAGCGTGTACTGGCGTAAAAAATAAAAGAAACAAAATTAATGAACAAAACATTTTATTGTGCACAAACGACTTACAAAATACACTATACAGTTTAACATTATAGCATCAGTCTTGTGTGTTGTATATAGCTCTAAAATAAATGCATAAGCAATGGAATTACAGTTTGGGTTTCGTTCAATGACGTCCGACGCTCACATATCTTGAGTATAAAACCGATGGCTCAAACCAAGCTTATTATAATGACGGGTATTAAATTGCGAGCTTGGGACTAATTATACAATTGAGCAGTTAAGACTATTCGAACAAATTCAATTTAAATTCATGGATTTCTATTTGGCACATTCGCAAGGTGTAATTTTATTGACATATTTTAGCACCACCAATATATTTTCCTATAGGCGTACAAAAGTACTGAAACTTTGTAAAATACTTTTAAAAGTAAGCTCACGGTAGCGATACATAACTAGAAATTACACTAATGTCGATAAATGATTACAATTAACTCTACAAATAATAATTTCGAATCACGTTTGGGGACAACACAATAGGCCACTCGGCTATGACTTTCGAATAAAAATACACAAAATAAAATATGTTAACATAAATCAGAAGATGTATTTTTAAGTGTAATTATATCCCCACTTTATAAAAAACTTTCAGAAACATAATAAAAGAAAAAGAAAATTATAAATACAGAATTATAATCAATCGTATTATTAGATAAATATAGTGATCGCTCCAGGTACGATAGGCCGCCAACGTGAGAATCGCTACTCAACCAGTAATCAACCAGTTTCAGACATAAATTACACTACAGTTTAAAATTATAAAAAATAAGGCAATTTAAATTCCTATCGCATATTTATTTTTTTCCTTTAATTTGTAAGCACAGATACTAAACAAGCTTCCGTACCTATTCTGATGTAGTGTTTAAAAATATTTTTCAGAAATACGCACGTATGTATCAAAATAGTAATTTGTTGTTTGTTTACTCCAATGTTATTTTTGTTATTATCTAATTTATCTCTCAACTCGCACCAGAATAAGCACCTTGTTTGACGGCCTAACATGCCGCTGAAAAGGTCGAGTCATGGGGATATGATTAGACATGAAAGTCATAGATCTTATTCTCAAGGTATGTGCGTGCGATCTGACCTTGAGCGCGTGGTGCCCATAGATTCGTACCCGAGCCCGTCCGGCGCAGTCGTGAAAGTTTGTAGCTGGTGCTCGCGGCGCACCGGGTATTCGCAGCCGTCACCCAGGCTGGTTGGAATTTTAGCTTTTATTGCATATACAGTAAGGCTTAGGCTGCCCTACGAGCGGTCGTTCGTGAAACCGTTGACATAAATACACAACGATTAAGTACAGGGAAAGTATTGTTACTTGTTACTGTGGTACCAATTTATAAAATGTTTTAATTTGAATAAGAAATCGAACAGTAACGGGAGCCTATTATTAGAAATGAACGTGGTAACGCCGCAAGTAGACACTTATTTGATAGATTATTCGGTACAAACCGCAGTATTAACCGTAGTGCGGCTTAAGCCTTAACGTGTATTTAGTGCAAGACTCTTTATGATTCTGAACGCAACAGTATTAATGTCGAATTAAAACTTATTCGTTATGCAATGTAAAATAAGCTATTCGCGTACTAATTAGTATGTTAACTTTCAATTCGCCAGACATGCAAAATGCTTTCAAGCAAATCACTTGCATTTCATAAAAATTACAATACCTTATATAGTCCAATATCTTGTTTATTAACTTTTCAAGAGCGAGTTAGTAAGTCGAGACCAAAACCCGCATTTTGAAATGACCCATTATTTTGAAGTTTACGTGTTACTGGTGATATGATAAAATAAATTTATGATGCGAAAATATATACATAATATTAATATGTTAGTAGACACTTTGAAATTAGTTACGCGTTTCGTAACCACGGACAAACATTAGGTCATTCACTTCTTTTTCACACAACATGCAAACCTAAACGATATTAAAAAGCCCTATTTTTGTAAATTTTATGAAAATGTGTCCAAAAAATATTCGACTGTATTTTTAAATCTAATTTCGGTGTTATCTAAAAATTAGACGGCTGTTTAATAGCGAAGTGTATCTCGTTCGTATATATTAAGTTTCCCATATATAAAAAAAATACATTTTTGTAAAGAGAAATAAAGTTTTTTTAAACATTTATTTCGATGAATTCGGAGGTCCTGCCCTTACTCTGCAAACCCACCACGTATTTAAATAATTTAATACTTATTATTTATTGACAATAAGAAAAAGCCCATGAAATCTAAGGACGACACCCAATTTCGATTTCAACATTCGTAGCGATGATACATTAGGAATTACGAAAACTCAATATTAAAATTGGAATCGTTTATAAATGTATCAAAATTTTGAGAACTTTATACGAAGAGACTTATTGACAAGGCTTGGCACGTTAACAACAGACTATATTCAGAAAATCAGGCGCATATATTTTCCATAATGATGGCTTACAGGAAATGGATAGAGAAAAGCAGATTCGTTATTAAGGCATTTTAAAACCGAAACTCTTTTTAAATTAATAATAAATAACGTTATCCTAGAACTAAAAATCTAGACTATACTTAGACACCACACATACACACTCTAACATAGCAAAACATCTAAATATAAGCAATACTAAGCTGCAACACACACAATAATAATAGTATAAGAATTATCCAATGATATTTACACTGTAGAGGTCCAGAGTTCGAATTTTGGGTAGTTTTGTGAAAAATCGTACCGTCCATAGCAATAGCATAGCATTTCCTGGTGGTCCCTTACGTGTGTAAAAAGGATAGGTAAGCTTCCCCATTTCTATACCAAATTTGGTCACTTTATGTATAAAATTATCTATGTTAGACTTTCGTATTTGGAGACGAAATCGCAATGTATTAACAAATTTAAAGACAATAGAAAACCCTACTGATTGGAATATAATTTATCTAGAAATAATTTATGTTAATGCTGTAAAAAAATATGTATTAAACGTGTACCTCGTAAACACAGGCAGGAACCAGAGGTTTGGACTGTTGCCAAACACCTCTTTGAAATTTTTGAAGGCCCCAATCGAGAATCCGTTCTTGTCGGCGCCACCACGGAACATTGGAGCACGGAACGCTTCTGAAGTTTGTATTAAAATTCACTAAGATATTATATACAATACAAAAAAAGGGCGCGTGTACTTATGTACGCGCGTAAGAAGTTATACTTCTTTGGCATTATTAAAAATAGTTTTTGATTGCATGCAAATAATTCATTACAATTAAATAATCAAAGACTGGAAAAGGAGTCATTATAATCAATAAAGTTCAATTTGAAAAATTAAATGAATAAATATTTATTATTATTCTCTTACATTAAGTGTAACATAAATTCTATTAATATTCGAATGTTGTTTTTAAATTATGTCCAATGCCGTAGCATCTTCCGTGGGCAACTTCATTCTGTTAATTTTGTGTCACGGTGCGCGCGCATCGTAAAATTTCACTCTCATCAATTTTTCATAACGCGCCTAAAGAAGTATAACTTCAAAAATTAACAATACATTACGGAGTTTAGGATACATCTTCTATACTAAGAGTGATTTGTGTTATTAAAATCAAGGAAATATTAATTTTTCGTAAGACGTAATTTTTGGGTTCTACAACGTAGGTACTCTTAAACTTTCCCCCACCACACAAATCTTGCATTATGCCGGAAAATTACTTTTTTTTAAGCATTTTGATTAAATACAACATTATTATAGAATAATCCTTAGTTGCTACCAGTACAATCTAAACGAACTCTACCATCTACTACAATAACGACCCAAGAAACTATACTGTTCAATTCTACGGAATATATGGTGTTACCATTAAACATATTTAATAGCATAGAGTTAACTATCTGTCCCGTCGGACTTCCTGAATGGTTGTATGACACAAGCATATCTGAAAGCAAATTCTCGTTTAATAAAAACAAAAAAAAACAGTATTTTCAGATATCAGATATACTTCGTCATTAAAAACGTTTATTATAAATTTTGAATACAATTCTTTATTTTATAAAGAACTAGCCAGTTCTAAAAATCTACTAATCGTAGCAAATACGATTGCTGCTTTCAATATAATATAATTACTTATGGTTTATAACAGGAACACTAATGGGAAAATCCTATGACAAATGTAAGAATAATTGATAAATCAGAATTGTGATAACGTGATATAACGTAGATTAATAATATCTATGACTATACAATAATTTGCTCATACAATGTACATATATGTCGCAGCCAACTGGTGTAATAAGCCATTCAATCAACAGCCCGGCCTTTTAACTAAACAGGGCGGTTAACTATCGGCCTGAAAGATATTCAGCCGTAGCGTTTCTAACAACATTTAATAAACTGGCTGGTTAATGCTTAGGCCATTCGTACGATAGCGTCTATGTGGCAGATATAAAAAAGGTGAAACAATGTAATATAAAAATATTTTTATAAAAAATATTTATTTAAATATTGACAGTTTGAAGAGTTTCGTTTCAAGTTTGAGAGTGGCAGAAAGTGGAACGAAATTTAAATTAACAGTCAACAGACTAGGCAAGTAATGAAACGTTATCGATTAATGTAATTTGCGTAGCTGTTTAATATATTCCAGGCCGCTAGTTAAACGGCGCTGTTTAGTTAAGCGGATAGGCTGTTAATTGAACAAGCCGTTAACAAGCTTATTAAGCTAGTTGGCTGCGACATATAGATTACGTTACATTTGAAGAACTTTATCAATACCTCGACACATAAACGTACAATATCTCTTTAGTTTAGAGTTCCAATGAATAATCGTATATTTAAAATTATATTCATATATCAGTAATTCACTTGTCGTTTGTTCGCCGAACCAAGTTCGTAACAAAAAAACTAATGCAAATAGAACTGATTTAATGCTTTATTTTTCATTGTATTGGAATCAAAAAACAGCATTTTGTAAATTGATCTCATTAGAATAATTTGTTCCTCGTTGTACAATATCGCGCCAAAATCATCGTCTACGAATCATCAATAGAATGAATAAGAATCTAATTCGCGCTGCCTTTTCTTCAACAAACAGATTTATAAGCTAGTGTATTTAATGTAATAATTGAACGAAATAAAATTTACTCACCTAACGTAGTCCTATTATGAGATACAAGATAGCAATGGTAGCCGAAGAGCGAACCAAGGGATACCGCAAACATGAGAGCCACAAAGAATGCGAACACTATGTGGTAACGACCCGAGCTTCCAGCTGCACCGAAATCACCCTGCAGATGAATATATAATATATAAAAACACGTATCAATCTATATTACATACAAGTTTTTCTTACAATGTTTAACTCGTTGTCTAACAATGTTTTTAACTGAAATTTATGGGTGCAATTATTATTAATACTTAAGTCGTGAAAAACAAACAACTATTAACTGTTCTTGACAATGTTAAAAAGGTTCTATATCATTTTTAATTTGACACGAAACTTTAAGTTCGTGCCAAAGCCCTTGATTTTAATTAGTATCCACGTCATCAACTTCAATGAACAATAGCTTAGTTATTAAAATTATAAATAGCTAAAACTAATTAATTAAACTAATTAAAACACATATATTCCACATTGTTCACATACATCATATTATCAAAAAAGTCATCCCCACTGCGATACAACGGAAAACAATGTGGAACATATCCAATATTTAACTAATGAGTTACGCACCGTTATCTAGATGATATTTTAAAAGGCGATGATTTCTACTGTCTAATAGTCTATTTTCAAATAAAAATAATGGATGACAGGTACGTTGGTATATCTTCGTTTAGTATTTATTCTTCCTATTAGAAACTAAAGGCTCATTTACACGATGCCATTTTCTTGTACATACCAGAGCAATAAAACAATGCAATATATGAAGCGCAATAATTGACGTTCAAGAATTGTATGCAACTGTTTACACTTGAAAACTTGAATGTAATTATTGCATACAAGTTTTGACTAGGAAATACTTGCACATGCCTTTTGTTTACATCAATACAATTATTTTTAGGAGATTATTGCTTACAAGTTTTGACTTGTCTAAATACAGGCTTGTACGAACGTATACCATTTACTGGCGCTTTCGTTCAAGTATTGCACGTATTTGCGTTGGCGAATTTTTTATACCAGTCTTGAATGTAAGAAATTATTGTACGTGCTGTTTACATCAAGAATAGTTTTGAAAGGAAACTTTTCATATTGATCAAGAATGTTATTTTTTGTTTAGACCATGCAGCTCATTTATTCCGTCGATATAATTATATGCTACAGGCAAGAAAATTGCCTCGTGTAAATGGCGCTTTAATGTACTAAAAACAAACGAACGACGATTTTCTACGATTAAGATAAAAACTTAGATTATATTGATCTGACACTATATGTAGTTCTATTAACAATGAAATATTAGTACTATTAACAAGGAATGTTACGTCCTTTATCTATATCAGATAAGTTATGACACAAAATACATAAAATCACCGCGGCCACGACCTTGCCTGCGAGTTTCGTAGCTGATTGATACATTTTCGTATGTAAGAATAGGCGATATTGTACTTTCTTTGTTATAATTGCACGCAATTTTTTATGTATGCAGACCGCCTTCGTAGAGTTCGTTTTCCGGAAAAACAATCATTCTGGCTGTAGATGGCAAATCGCCTTCTTGCTTAATTAATACATATATACCAAAAGTCCTCTCAGAAACAAATTAATTGAAAAAACGCTATTTTTAAACCTAACATTATCCGACTAACTTTTTTCAATCTGTTCCCAAATCCTTAGTAGTAATTAACAATCACATCACTGAACTTAACAGCTGACATTTACTATGGTATTATTTGTAATTTTAAGCAAAAAACGTATATAAGTAACTTTAACTTTTTAATGGCGCGTCTAAACGGGCCATGTTTTGCTGCAATTGATGGCTGCAACACTGTGGCCGGCAACATTGCAAACAATAGCAGCCAAACTATGCAATATTGCAGTAATGTCCCGGCCATATAGCCAAACATGTTTTGTATAGCCACATATGGCCGATGTTGCCCCGATGGGTGGCCGGACGATCGCTAGGCTATCGAATTCAACTGCAATATTGCACAGCCAGTTCTCTTGTTGTTTCAGTCACTCTCTTTGTTATGGCATAGTGTATCCTTTTCTACGCGACATGACGTTTGCTTTGAGTGAAGTGTGCGTGTTGCTTTATTCTGTGTTTTGCGATCAGCTGTATTTGACGTTAGATTACTACGTAAAAATGACTACTTTTGACATTCTAGTGCTTGAATAATTTATTATCAAGACTTATTTCTAGACTCGAATTGTCTACAGTTTCACGCCTATTTAAGTAAGGTCGAATCCACAATCTCTTCTTTTTCTGTTTCTTTTTTAAAACAATATAAGCTACTGCGACAAGTGTGATTTCGTCAGCCATTGTTGCCGGTTTGTGTAGCCCGTTTAGGAGTCTGCATCATGGGCCATACTATTGCAGACATATTGCAACACATTGCCCAGCCATAGATTGTTCGGCCATCAGCTGCATTAAAATATTTTTGTAATGGCCGGGCAATTAGTGGCCAACAGTGCAGCCATCAATTGCAGCAAAACATGGCCCGTTTAGACGCGCCATAATAAAAATATTATTATTATTAACATGAAAACATTTTATCCGCACAGGGTAAAACTTTAGTTAAGCACGGATGGGAAGATAATAGTAGGATTTAAATATTTATAAGTAATTAATAGGATAATAAGTAATTTATAAGTAATTATAAGGAAACAGTCTAATTGAAACTTTTACTAATGGCGCTTCTAAACGGGCCATGTTTTGCTGCAATTGATGGCTGCAACACTGGCCCGGCAACATTGCAAACAATAGCAGCCACACTATGCAATATTGCAGTAATGTCCCGGCCATATAGCCAAACATGTTTTGTATAGCCACTGATCGATCGCTAGGCTATCGAATTCAACTGCAATATTGCACAGCCAGTTCTATTGTTGTTTCAGTCACTCTCTTTGTTATGGCACAGTGTATGCTTTTCTACGCGACATGACGTTTGCTATGAGTGAAGTGTGCCTGTTGCTATATTCTGTGTTTTGCGATCAGCTGTATTTGACGTTAGATTACTACGTAAAAATGACTGCTTTTGACATTCTAGTTCTTGAATAATTTATTATCAAGGCTTATTTCTAGACTCAAATTGTCTACAGTTTCACGCCTATTTAAGTAAGTTCGAATCCACAATCTCTTCTTTTTCTGTTTCTTTTTTAAAACAATATAAGCTGCTGCGACAAGTGTGATTTCGTCAGCCATTGTTGCCGGTTTGTGTAGCCCGTTTAGGAGTCTGTATCATGGGCCATACTATTGCAGACATATTGCAACAGATTGCCCAGCCATAGATTGTTAGGCCATCAGCTGCATTAGAATATTTTTCTAATGGCCGGGCAATTAGTTGCCAACAGTGCAGCCATCAATTGCAGCAAAACATGGCCCGTTTAGAAGCGCCATAATGCATAAAGTCAAAACTATTGCCATAATATTAAAAAAAAAAAATTTACTAAAGTATTCATCTCTCTCTATTAGTGACAGCGTAAGTAATCTAACAGAAAAAGACGAAAGATTAGTTAAAAGGATGCATTTGTTATTATGAATAAGGCACCTAACTGTTTAGTTAAAATGTTTCGGATTATGGCAAACCTGCTGTTCGTACTCTTTATCATAATAATATATAAATGAAAATCTATACTTATGGTATGTAAATGATAAGAGTGACATTTTGAACTACGGATATCTAATGTTAATATGATTCGAGCTAATTTATAAAGGGAGTTACATTAAGAATATCCATGCATTGTTTAGTATATGAACCGTTTTCAATAAAACGATCGCAGTGAGCATGCTTGTATTCCTGATACATCTGTAATATTCATAAATAGTGCAATTATAAAATTATCAGTCGACAACTGGGTTAATGTGTATCAAAAATAATTTACTGCAATATTTACATTTTCTTTCTATTCCTAAAATATTAAAATGTGAGCTTAAATCCCATTGTATTAATTTAATTTACCTTTTTTGTAAGCAAATTTTATCGATCACAAAACTAAGGCAAAGTACAAGCTCATCGCTTATAAGCGAACTCTTCCAGGCCACTAACTTTTTGTTAAATTTTGGTAGCTACGTCCCTGTTTCTTTAATCATATGTCCAATTATTATAAGACAATAATTTTCTTTACAGTAATTGATTCATACATATTGTATCTATTAATTGTATCTATTACATAACCTTTAAGGCTTTCTAAAACAAAATCAATTTTTCTTACTTCTAATTACTTTATAACTTTCCCACTGATAGTTGTAAAGATTTATAAAGTTTGAAGTAAATCCAAATCTGATAAGCAGTGCAATTTGTCATTCTATAGATAAATGAAAACTGTTTAAACAGTCTTACCTTCCAAAACCTGATGAAATATGGCAAACATGTTGACATAATGAATATACAATACAGCAACGCATATCCAAGGAATAGCATGAAGAACTTGTAGTTGTGGAAACAGACACAATTGTTCACCCATGGACAATGGTGATCCATCTTTAGTACACATCTAGCACATATACTGCAGTGGTGGGCCCGGTCCGGCTTCACAAGAACACAACGGTTGCAATACCGCACTGACCCTGACATTGTTCTGAAATAAACCATTGTTTTACCACCTACTAGATGCAGTTTCATTGTACTTTCATATATTATTATTACTAACACTACACTGTAAGAATCAATATCTCAATAAAATGTCATATTATTTTTGATGCTCATTTATAATTTTCACTACTGAAATATACACTAATTTATCAATATTCACATGGGCCTTAAAAATATTTATTTTCTCAATTCTAGCTACTGCAATATAAGCAACAAACCTTGTTAAAACAGGGATAGTGCTAGCAAAATTTTCTAATATTTCTTTTCTGCTTTCCATATTAAAGAAGAGCCTGATGAATTTTCGTAAAGCACTTATGATGCTAGGATTGAGAAAATAAAATTATTTTAGGCAATAATAAAATTATTCTAAAAATAATTTACTTCAATAGACACCCATTATTGAGTTACAAATAAAATCATAATTTCTCAATTGTTGTTTGAAGTATATTTCTGTTGTTTAGAAATAAATCATGTATTATATATATTATATAAATATAGTACAGACATAGAAAATGTGTTATGAATGTGGATGTATGTGCTCTAATTTACAGGCCCAGTTATGGGTTGTTTAAAAATTATAATATTGATTAGTTGTGTATAAAAGTTTTATCTCCTTTTTTATAAGGTGTCTGCATTTTATTGTATACACTCTCTACAGACAGAAATAATTTAGCCCATGTTATGTAAACATAAAAAATCATTGTCAAACACAATAAATTTCTAACATTTGATAATATAATATACATTTACCTAGTGACTATTGGAAGATCTTTAGCATAATTCTCCAAAACTGTACGCTGTCCTTCTTCTGTGTCTGCACTTAACAACTTTTCTAATTCCTCTTCAGGTAACTTATACTGAAATAAATAAAATAAGGGAATATGAAAATAATGGCATTGGTTGTGATATTTATAATGCTATTTTCACTACTAAAACTGTGTTTACATCCTTGCTACCATAACGTAACATGACTAACTATGAATTTAAATGAGCTCTCGATTTCTATTTACTATGACAATAAATTATATTTAAATATACTTCGGACACTAAATAAAGAAAAATCTATAAGGCTCACAGCTTTATAAAAACACTATGCATTTAAATTAATGAATTTAATTTTAATAGCAAACTCAAAAAAATTACTAAGTTGATTTTGTTTCATGGGACTCACCTTATCAGGAATTGACTTGATGTTAGCGAAAATTGTTCGCCAATACGACCAAGCGAACATTATAAATAAAATGTGGTAAATCACGAGATAGACACATTGTTGCACTGTACTCTCAATGGTAACTGTAAAGTATCATAGTATCATGTTTCGTTTATTGAATAGATCTCACATTATAATAAAATCAATGAAATACTCACAAATGCATAACTGGAGAACGTATGCATAATACGACCAAGTCACAATAGAAACTATCAACAGTACTGGAAGCCATTTTAATGCCCTCCAGCACCACATATTGCACGTTCGACAACATGCACAATAGCCAGAAGGAGAAACCCTATTATTCTGCACTGATGAAGCCATTAAAATAAAATTTACAAATCCATATTTTGTACCCGAACTAAAAATCAAAAATGTCAACTAAATTGAAATTTGATTTGAAAAATTGAAATAAACCACAGTATAGATTATATAAAATCCGTATGAAATCAGTAGCTTGTGCGTCTCGGTTGACAGTTGACTACCAGCAGGCAGCAACTTATGACATTAATAATTATTATCGTAGAGCTTGATATCTGTAGATGGGTTCTTACTATAATGCTAAAGTGAGACGGCGACATCTAAATATTTGTTTTGTACTGGCACTTCAGATACTAATAGTTAATTGAGTTGATAGTAACGATTTTCTTGATAAAAATTGCTAGGTAGTAAGGAACTTGTATGTTACCATCTCGTATATAATAGTGCTAATATTATTATTTTATAAGTAATGTGTTTTAAGAAATTCTTAGCGACACATCGCTCCTTGTGTGTATTTTCTGTTATGATTATTGCACTACTCTTTTAATACCAGATTTAGCAGTTAGTACATTATGTTTTTAGATTTTTCTATAAGAAAATGTTTATTTAGGTATGCATTGGTTTAGATTAGTGTAGGTAGTAAGTAGCGCTTAATACAGTTTACCTCTACTTTGGTACCTGAATTGTAATAAGACTGGTTTAGTTTTTTTTATAATTTCGGGTTACTCTCTTGTAAATCGGAATATTTTAATAACGCGATTTGCGCAATACTCTACAGAATTATCTTGGACAGGTTGTCTGGATCCTTCGAGCCTCTCCTATGCATAGAACAACGTGGCTTCCAGCCTAATCACTCGTGTACCGACCAAATTAATACTCTTCGTATCATTCTCAAACAGACATCAGAATGGCAGAGGGAGATTTACCTTTGTTGACTTCGAAATAACTTTCAATGCTCTGAGATGGAGCAGCATATGGTCGCGACTCTCTAACTTTGGTGTCCCACCAAAGATAATCAACACAGTAAAGGCCAGGTACGGGAACTATTCTTGTAGAGGGACTCATGATGGCCTCGCCTCAGATGATATTCAAGTGCATGCGGTCGTCGGTCACGCGAGGCGGGATCTGCGGGATTAACACTCGGAAAACGAAAGAAATGCGTGTTGGAGTTGACAACCGCATCCCATTGCGGATGGGTGTAGATGACGTAGATAGCGTTCAAAAACTTATTTACTACGGAAGCGTCGTGTCTGAAACTGGAGGTACAGAAGAGGACATTACTTCTCGCACTGCCAAGGCCCTAGCAACCTTTGCACAACTTTGGCCTGTATGGCGTGCACGGATCAAGCGCCGAATCAAGGTAATAAGATATTCGGATCCAACGTCAAATCTGTGCTGCTCTATGGGTGTGAAACGTGGAAGGTCACCAAAGAAATCCCGCACCGACTCCAAGTCTTCGTCAACCGCTTTCTTCGCCGTATTCTGAGCATCTACTGGCACGAAAAGATCTCTAACGAGCAACTTTGGGAGCGCAGCCGAGAAACCCCGACTAGCCAGCAGATCAAGCGATGCAAATGGAAATGGATAGGCCATACACACCGAAGGGATTCCAATCATATTTCCAAGCAGGCGCTTGATTGGAACCCGCAAGGAAAGCGGAAGCGTGGCCGTCCCATGCAAACCTGGCGCTGTACAGTTGCAGATAATGCAATGAGAGCCGGAAAGACTTGGAGCTAGGTGAAAGACGAGGCTCAAGACCGAACGCGATGGAGACTCACTGTAGACTCCCTCTTTCCCATCTAGGGGTTATAGAACATTAAGTAAGTAAGTATAGTCATTTTAAGGTTACCAAATAACTGGTTTATAACAATGTCGTATACATAACGTCATACTTAATTTGACTTAAATGGGTGATGGGACACACAAAGGTTGTTCCATTTGATTAATGAGTTTACGATAACTAAATAAAAAAGACCACGAGTGTAAACTAGCTGTTACTACACGCTTACACGCATTAGGTCTTATTGTAGGTTGAAAGAAGTGGATTTAATTATTTAAAACGTTAATATAACAGCACTGGGGCCTTAGTCAAGATGCCTTAACAGTAGTGTATGTAGAAAGTCGAAAACTTAATTTGTATGGAAATGACAGTTCGTGTCGAAAAGTTTTCATACAAATTTAGTTTTTGACGTTCTACATACACTACTGTTAAGCTATCTTGACTAAGGCCCCAGGTTATATGTTACTTTACTCTATGCTTTAATTGAAGTAGACTTACAAATGACTGTGCTACCCACTTTTTCTGTGGAGAGGAGAGTGCACTGACATTTAAGTTTCCAAATTTTGCAGCATTAGTTAGCGTCAAATTTTGTTGTATTTTGTAGGGTTTCTAGAAGTCTCAATAAAATCGATATCAACAAATACCAAATTTTAGGAAATAAGAATTTCTAGCCATGGATGTTAAAGAGTGCAACGATTTAACTGAAGAAGTAAGTAAACAAATTGTTGATCATAAAATCAACACGAAATCGATCACAAGAATCAATATCCGGAACATTTTTGTTGTAGAATCAATTCATCGTGGACGATGTGAGTAAAATTATAAAAGAGGCAATCGAAAATTCTATTGGAGGAACGGCGTATCAGCACAATAAAGTAAATCAGTGGACATCGGCCGTTGTAGAATCGTGTTTAGGTCAACTTACAAAGCTTCAAAAACCATACAAATATATTGGTAAGTACAGCTGTGTTAGGGTTCTTGTGCTCGACGAATAAGTAAATTTTCATCTAGGGATTTTACCCCTCTATAATATTCTCTCTCTAATGTTTTTTACTAAATTTCCTTAAGATAATTCTGTATGCAGTATAAGTGTAATGGAGATAATATCTAATGCAAATATAATATTAAAAAGAAAACTGTTTTGTGCTTTTTGTCTAGATACATATTTTTAAAATATGATGTCATGTATTAAATAATATACATGGTATTCTGAATTATAGTGACCTGTACAATTATGCAAAAGAATGGTGCAGGGCTGCACACTGCTTCATCCTGTTTCTGGGACAACAATACAGATGGTTCATGCACTGTTCGCTGGGAAAATAAAACTATGTACTGCATTGTATCTGTTTTCGGCCTTGGAATTTAGATGTTAAATCAACTAGCTTGTATATTTTCCGTCATTGCACACAATTTATACTTATAAAAATATTGCTTTCAGTATTGTGTTTGATAATTTAAACTCATTTAAGTATCAAAAATAATATTAAAACTATAAATAGTGTCAACACATAATAAAATGCTTTTCAATGAAAAATGTTTGTTTGGTTTTAAAGACAGAAAGTAAACTTTACTTTATATAAAATCTAAATTAAGTTCTTTGCTTAATTATAGAGACTAGGATATATTTTCGTACTCAATAAATCTAATTATTTAAAACCCTTTACTGTGTTTTAGTATTAAAATATGTATTCTTTGTTACCCATAAATTAAGTCTAAGGTAAAACATCTAACACCAGTGACAGCAGTTGGTATGGCAGAAAATATGAATAATTCTGTCAATTGTAAACCAGCTCACTTAGCTTCTTTATTTTTTAATGCTGACCCTACCTTGAAGGCTGATAATTTACAAAGGCATCAGAGTCGAAGAGATGTGGACATGATTTTTATGGCACACCCAGTGTATATAATATATTTAATTTGCTTTAACAATATTTATAAAATAAATTTCATTAAATTCTTCTTTTTGTAGTTTCATTGTGTATGTATCTGGCCTAAGAACATTGGTAATGTATTATATAATAAATGATTTTATAAAAACTTGTAGATTATTTAAAGCAGTATAATACAAGTAAATATTGACATCTTATTTTTTAAACATTTATTTATTCGTGTTTGATCTGAATTATTACATAGGCCTAATTTTATTTAATACATGTATGTATTGTACACAATTCATTATTTATTTTATATTTATGCATAGTTTTGCAGTGTGCTACTTTAATTTAAAGAAAAAATAACTTTACACAACAATAACATTAAGTAGTAACTTTAATCAAAGTATTATAGACCATTTGAATTTAATGATCGAGATAAAATGTATATAAATCAGTACATAAGTTTAAAATTCGCGGTTATAAATGCAGTCAGCGACATATTTATATCACGTGACTAGAATCGATCCAATGGTTGAGCGCGTCTCGGGTCCATTCAACTCGATTTTGGCCAGCGCTCTAGGGAGGGATACTTCATAACACCGATCCTATTCATACATAGGAAATATTTTAATATTTCTATCTCTTTCCCACGTATTGAGAAATAATCAAATGAATGGTGAACGAGTGAAATAGGAATACATTTGAGTGGAAATTATAATGCGCTCAGCTAGGCCAGTCGTGATGTAGATTTTTTTGGTGTGGGTGTTTTGTCTCGCGATGTCAAACGCTTCAATGATCATTATTTTTAAGTGGATGTGGTAGATCTAAAAATCTGTGCAAAACGTTGATAAACTGAACAATTCTAGTTCTGATAAAGTGTTGGTGGATATTGTATATTATAACGAAGTGAACAATAGAGTGCAGTGAAGGCAGATAATAAATTGGTGGGGGGCTGTTAAAATACTACGTTAAGATAGTAACAACGTTTTACTACTCGTGAGGTGTTCGCTCATAAAATTTCTCATCTCGCTGCGAGTGCGATCCGGACTACCATTTTGTTTTATTATGTGGTTTGGTTGTTTACGTGCATCGTGTTCCTGGGAATGGCAAAGGACGGTGAGTTGAAAAGATAAAGTGACAGGGTGCGAAACGTTGTCTGCGCATGTAGGGCGCACACGGCTATAACTTTGCATCGGTGAATAAGTAATGGTATTCGATTTGTGCACCGCGAGGCGCAGTCGTGGTGACGAGTTGTTAGTTGATCATGAGAAATATTAGTACCTGCCCACTGGTGCATACGCCGCGGCGTCTAGTGTGTTGTGGATAAAATTGATTTCGGTCAATATCTAAGCATGCGCCTATCGTCTCGGTGCTGCCTATTTACGTACGTTGCTCGCGTTCATATAGCTGTTATCAGCTGATTACACTACATAAATGCTTTGGTTGCCTTGCAACTTGAATTGTTTATAAATAATTGTGAATAGCCATGATCCAACTGTCCAGTCAGCTACTTGTTTAATCTAAGTAAGTAAGCAAAATGTTTTAGCAAATACCTGTTTTTATAAAGTGCTTCATATATGTATATATATACATGCTAATTAGCAGTGGCACTAAGAGACATAAATTCTATTAAAATTTAGTCTCATAGTACAACATGGTAATGAAGATATTTTTATAGTTACTAGTAGTAGATGATATGCAGCAATCATTTATAGAAGACAAACTTGTGTGGGTGTGGACTATAGAGACTCTTGGTGACTGGTTTAAATTACTGTGGAATATTACATTATTTGGTTGGAAAGATTGCTATAATGCTAAATAGATTACTACTATGCTATGCAATAATACTTGTACATTCTTCAAATTTGTCATTCCATTATTGTAGGTTTTTTCAATCTCATATTTTTATTCTACTTTATATATATTATATTATGTTCTTTATTCAACTTCTTACTGCTTTTACCTTATGTTTGGTGATCATTTTAACATAATTTTACTTTGTATGTTTATATCAGTGATATTAATGTATGAACCTTTATATCATTATATGTAAGTTTTATGTCTTAGATGATGCAATTGCAACAAATATTGACGGAGTAAATATTTCAAGGGATTTTAATATTACACATTGAAATTAAATTTCCAAAATTATTTTCTTTATTTTATCTGTAATAATAATACTCTGTGCGATATTTTGAATCCATATGTTTTTATATTTTGAATTTTACTATTAGGAATTGGTATTAAGATAACATTTTCTCACATTATAAAGTCTTTAAGGTGTTGTTGTTGTTTAAGGTTTTGCTGTTTATATGTTCCTAAGACCATAAACAAAATAAATTGTTTTTAGTGTATAATTACCATGAGAGTACATTTATAACTGTTATAGTTTTGTAATAAACTATCTGCTGATTGTTTCTGCACACAACATAGAAATATGACCTTTGTTAAATTAGGATTGAAATTTGGTTAAAAAAATAATGATACTGTTTTTAGTATTTATACATAAAAGAACTTCATTTGCCACTATTCAAAAATAAATACAATATAAATGCTAATATATATATGTAGATATTTTTTTAAATAATTCTCTATAACTAGTTTTAATAGAATTTAAAACCTATTACAGTAGAGATTACAACGTAAAGATAGTATGCAGTGTCAGAATTTTAAATAATTCACATGAAAACCCCATATGTTGAATTTAATATTTTAAAGTATAAAACACAGGCAGGAAATTATATCATGCAAGGAATGCACTTCAAGTTTTTAGGACGACAGGACATTTTTTATTTGTGAAAGGGCCAGACACGCCATTTGGTAGAAAGTAATATAAGCTCCATACCTCCACAGGTACGCTCAACCGGAAATAAGCATTATTGTTTTTGTCTTTGGCGAGATTTCTTTTTTTCTATCGAGTTTGAGTCCCGTGGGATTAAGAAAGCGGGTGGGTGTAACCGTTAACGTCGTTTTTGAATGAAGTTTATAAAATAATTATTGTTTAATCGCACGTCGTTTTAAACAAGTACGAAAGTGTGGTTTTGGTTATTGAGAATACTAATTGTTGAACAAAGCAGTTGCTTCAGCGTGCGACTCTCATCCCTGAGGTCGTAGGTTCGATCCCAAGCTGTGCACCAATAGACTTTCTTTCTATGTGCATTTAACATTCGCTCGAACGGTAAAGGAAAACATCATGAGGAAACCGAAACGTCGTAGACCCAAAACGTCGACGCCGTGTGTCAGGCACAGAAGGCTGATCACCTACTTGCCTATTAGATTTATTATTATATTTTAAAGCACAGTAATTTTGTTACGTCTTTGTGACAGCCATATATATATGTTAACGTAAAATTGTAAAAACCGTTAGATTGTAATCTATCTCGCGAGATTATAAACTGTCGAAAGATTGTGAACCTCAGCGTACTGCTCACAATTTAACGTATTATTATTCGGTAGATTGTAATCTATCGAAGTGAAACCGTCAAATTGTGAAACGACCATTTTCTACTTTTCTATTGGTTATAAGAGATGTGACATTCTCGTTTTCTATTGGTTATAAGTGATGTGACATTCTCGGTAAACTAATCGAATCGATTATTTCCTCATTTGTTAATTTTAAAGTTAAACCTACTTTAACCATTACTTGTCAAATGTATTTATTTATTTATTTAGTTATAAAGCTTACGACATCACACACAGTCCTAAATCTACTAATAATTTTACAAAATCTTACTTCTAAAATGTGTGACAGTTAATGTAAGCATAATTTTCTCCAAAAAAAATTTAAATAGAAATTAAAAAAATACAATTTAAACATAAACGACATACAAGCACACAAATAAAATAAAATTACAGAAATTTGTTGGCACTTAGAGCAGAAAAAAAAGAAAAATCATCAGCAAACCACCGAAATTAGGTTACCTCACAATGCTTTCTCTAAAACCGATCAGACCACTACCGAATATATTCAGCTCCGGATAAGCTGTGTTCAATTTGTTAAAATCACGAAGAATTCGAACGAGAGGTGCCTGAACTCCTAGGTTGGTTTTCAAAAATAATCTATTTTTTAAAAGTGAAAATCGATTTTTGTATTCGATTTCGGTTTCAGTTGAACAGTTATTTTAAAAAAATATTAATATACTAACCTAACCTAACCGAATAATAATACATTTTTTGGACAGCTCCGGCGCTACGGGAAATGCACCCCCTCCACCCTTGCTGCTCTTCCTCCGCGCCTCTGATTTTTTATATACACTCTAGGGGTAGGCCAGACAAGACCACGTGGATAGTGGGGTGCTCTGATTCGGTTTTGGGTACTTTTTGAATAATTTCAAAATTTTCGGAATCCTACACTAATTAAAACATGAAGTTAATGTAATGTATGTACATTTGACAAGTAATGGTTAAATTAGGTTTAACTTTAAAATTAACAAATGAGGAAATATTCGATTCGATTAGGTTCAACTTTAAAATTAACAAATGACGAAATAATCGATTCGATTAATTTACCGAGAATGTCACATCACTAATAACCAATAGAAAAGTAGAAAATAGCCGTTTCACAATTTGACGGTTTCACTTCGATAGATTACAATCTACCGAATAATAATACGTTAAATTGTAAGCAGTTCGTTGAGGTTCACAATATTTCGACAGTTTACAATCTCGCGAGATAGATTACAATCTAACGGTGTTTACAATTTTACGCTGACATATACGTCATTACTCGCTATTAATTTCGCGACTTTGATGTCGAGGAAACAGGAACGCGAAGTTAAAAGACCTAAGCACCAAGATAGTGGGTTAGCAAGTTTGTTTTCTACTATAGAGATTATTTACAAGTACTTAGATGGATTAGTACTTACTATCAATACTTTTTTATTTTCGTTGCCAAGATTGAATTGTTGTACCTCCGACACAATCGATCTAAGTAGGCCTAGAATGCATACATCGTAATACATAATATATACATACTCTTTTGTACTATCTATAACATTATAAATAATAATAATAAAACTAGTTTAATTTCATACTGTTAAAAATTATACATCAAATCGGTATTAGTTTTGTTTTTATACTCTTAATCTACGTTAGTTATTCTATAAGATTATAGTATTCGATATTATTCACTTAACCATACCTTTTACATGTATGTGTGCCTAACCTGATATAAGGTGAATCATCGTCGAAAAACACGGTCACGTAATGCTTGTTTCGGCTTGTATTGTGGTACAAAATTTTATACTTTGTGATTTTTTGTTGAATGTTTCGAGTATGATGCCCATGGTCTAGGTGGAGCACACAAATATAGAATATAAGAATAGATAAAAATTGAGTAGCTTCAGGAACTACTTACTAGCGGAAAAAGTTATTTTATGAAATTGCTTAGATTATTATTATCAACCGAACTGTTGCTCAGTTGTTAACTGTCTATCTGTTGAGGGTACAAAACCGTTTTTCTCATTGTCAATTCTGATTATGATACATTTATTTATTAGTAATCTTACAGATAAAATATATAGTATAAACAAAACACTTGGAAAATATACAAAGCCAAAACAGATTACATAGAGAAACAATATATATATGAAACAGAAAACATAAGTAAGTACATTAATATAAAAAAAGAAAAATGAATAAAAGAAAACTGAAATTTAAAATTATGTCAAATAGTTGTAAATTTATAATAATAAACATAACTTTAATCCGGTAAAAAGCGTTTTTCTTTAGAAAACTGAAATTTAACATTAAACAAACAAATACATCTCTTTTCTCTCTACTAAGTCAAAGGAATTGTCAAGTGCTTAGAATTTAAATAGTAACACGTAGGTTGTTCTCACTGTATGATACAATATTGAGAATGTCTTGGCTGTGCTCCGGAATCGGAAATCCGGGCTTAAGTGGCACTTTGGTAAAAAACTACGTTATCTACATAAAGTATTTTGATACTGAGCCTAAATCGTATAGATATCAACAAATGTATAAGGTCAGGTAACATTCTAAAACAATCTCAAACTACAAATCTTCTGGGCCACAAGTTAATAAAACTGTTACTGTGTCTATGATAATGTTGCTGATAATCCACACATCCAACTGTGTTATTAAAAATATAACTTTATCTGATATTAGTTACCTTCTGCGTTAACAGAATCGATAACTCATTGACTTGCTCATAGGACTAATCCTTTTATATTGTAACCTTAGTATTTTCAAACGTTTCGACCATAAACAGTTCGTTACTCATAAAATCATCGTTTGATCCAGGCGTGTTAAGATAATAGTGACGTGACTGATGTCAGGTTCTGATCATTTATCTCTTTCTCTGTAGTTCTTCAAAAAAAGAAAGGTTAATTGAACTGTAAAGACAAAAACATCCGCGCCAACCAGTAGAAACTCTGGTTATGTGCCACATTAAGATTTCTAATACAAATAATTTACATGGACGTAAGTATTATATATTTTAGCGAATACTCTGATATACCTACTCATATTAGGAGAGGTGAGGCTTTAGTGTGTGACTCTCGTCCCAGAGGTCGTAGGTTTAATACCCGGCTGTGCATCAATTACTGGATTTAACACTCGCTCGTAAAGTTACGGGAGAACATCGTGAGGAAACCGCCATGTCTTAGACCCAAAGGCTGATAACTTACTTGCCTAATAGAAAAAACAAATGATCAGAAATTTGGAGGTTGTTGTTTTTTTTAATGTATAAATATCACAACAACAAAAAGGTCACAAAATCTAAAGATATGTGAGTTGATTATCGTTTACCGTTCTATATTTGAAAATTTATTTTGAAATTGCCAGAAAACAGCTTAACTACTTAAGTTTTATTTAAATTTTAATATATGGCTTTGAGGCTCCAATACGTTCGTTATCTCGTTAGAAACTTGTAAGTAGTATTTGACTAATGGGCTCTTTACTCGAATGTGGGATTCATAAACTACACTTAAAACAAGGTCGTTGGGATTGAGTATAAACATGTTTGAACTTGCCTGCGCTGTGAAGTAACTATGAGGAGGTAATTATGAGCTGAGTTCAGCTCCATGTTTTATTAATCTCTTTATGACGTCAGTTTGTGTAATGAGAGTGTAATTATTTTCTTTTATATATCGTTGCATAGGATTATTATTACACAGATTTCTTGGTTACGTACATAGTGCTTTTGTTAAACGAAATGTGAAGTTTATTTGTACCTACGCCCGGTTTAAAGTGATAAATTAGTAAATATAAGTTAGATTTTTTTGGATTCCTACAGCTAGTTATAGTATACGGTGACACAAAAGCAATAGGAATACATATTTAAACACAAATATAATTACAGTTGACATTTATTATGAAAATAAAAAGATAATAATTTTGGTTGACAAAAAACAGATAGGTGCGCCTAAATTATAAAGTCGGTACTTGGACTATGTTGATTATAAAAGAGAGTTACCCTAACAAAACCATTCAAACAAGTTGCCAAATTTATATGAAATATGTACGATAGTTACGTAAATAAAACCATCGTTACTACTGTATTGTGACTATTACTCATCAGCAACCACGCGGACCGCTAACTGCAAAATAGTTTATATATTCAAATTGTTCAATAGTCACGGTTAAATGTTTCATTCACAATAAATTCACCTGTGTGTAAGACAAACGTTTATCTAGTAATGTATTAAAAATAAACATTTCATTTCCACATGTAATGTGTATTTAATAAGATTAGGAGAACAAGTACGAATGACGAAGAATAGCCATTTTAACATGAGATAATTGTGACTTGTATATAGCAGATTTTTATAAATCAATTTCATCGTGTTTCGTCAAACGGGTTGAGGGGTGCGCTAAAAGGTACAACGCGCAACGCCAAATACCATTGAACAATGTACGTATAATATTAATTACCACGCCCCATTGTCGGGAGTGAAAGAATAAAACAATTAGTGCTCAACTTAGCTCCAGGTTATTGATCGAAGCTATTCGATGTAAGCGAAAATAACCGTCGTGATGAATATTATTGCAACATTTGATTCATGTATTTGCAATATCTACCTATATTACACTACAATTTAAGAATTGGGCTTGGAATTGATGCACAAAGATTTCAGATTAAGGAAATTTTACAAAGCGCATAGTGTAAAATTTCCATTAATATGGAGCGAGTAGAATGCAATAGAATTTCAATTTGAAATGCCGGCAACGCACTCGTGAGCTCTTTGGCATTGAGAGTGTCTATGACACTTAATATCAGGTGAGCTTCCTGCCCGTGTGCACCATGTTCTTTGTAACAAAAAATAGAAGATTTAACCCTGTTAAAGCCAGTTCGTAACTAGTTACGAACTAGTATTACGAAATGATCAAATTTCTTGTAAAGCAGAGTTATTTTATTATTAACGAGTTTAAATTGAGTAAAAAATCATTGCCTATTGTTGAATTACACCGTATAATATCGCTTATTAGAACTATTACTCATCAGTTTTCCTTGTATATTGAAGAACGAGTTTTGTCTTATGTTTAAGAGCATGTAATTCTAGGTATAATCTAATATTATAGGTCAACAGTATCACTATGTATAGATGTTATTTACCTAAAGTGACCATTTATTTATTGACTCAAAACGGGACATTGCTTTAGTGTAGGTCAAATAATAAGTAGTCAATGAAAAAAAAAAAACACTTATTTAAAGTTATTTATTCAGAAAAAGTTTGTTGGGTTAAAAGTTACGAATCACAAAATATAGGTACCCAAAATGTTTACATATTATGTTTATATTTATCAGAAGAACAAATTTTAATATAGCTAGTGACGATTAAAAATAAGAATGAAACTCTTGGCATGTTTTTTATATTTGCTGCTTAAATTTTCGCGCGGTTTCTGAAAACGGGACAATTTTGCGTCATACAGTTCATTTTGGGGACACCGGGACTCCTAATTGGAAAAAGGGACAGTCTCGTTCAAAACGAGACGTCTCGTCACGTTAGTTTTACTCTACTAATTTCGATGTAAGACTCGCTAGCAATTGACGATAGTTTGTATGATTATATAAATAATTTGTATATCTAGAAGTTACATAGGAACTCTATTATACTGGTGTGTATAATCTTTAAATCTTGATGTTTTCAGGCGCAATGAGTGAGCCGTGGTAGCGGCGGTGATGCAGCGCGCTCAAACGAGCGGCGCGGGCACGCAGCCGCCCAGCTCCACGCGGCATTACCGCGCGCACTCGCATTACCCAGATATAGACGATCAGGTAAACATACCAACTATTTATTATTTATTTATAAGTAACATTGTACTCAGTTTAATTTTAATAAACTTCGAGATTTTCAGCGTACTCAATTACACGTTGTATATGTCCCACTAATGGCCATAGGCCTCCTCTTTTAGGCGAAAGGGGAATGGTCTGTAGTCCCCACGCTAGCACAATGCGTATTGGAGACTTCGCATTCATCCATAGAACATAATATCTCTTGGGCAGGGGCCCTGTTGGGTCGGGGGCCCGTGGCATTTTGCCAGCCCTGCCGTTCAATTGTTACTCCACTGAGCGCCACATATTAAAAAGAAAATACTTAGACAATATACAAATCCAAAATAGATTACATTGTTAAACAAAATATAAGAAACAGAAAACATAAGTCAATTATAGCACATGAATACAAAATAAACTCAAACTGAAATTAAACATTAAACGAACTACAAGTTAATACTTAAAAGAAAAACATAATTGTTACGACTGCTTTCTAAAATATTTCCTCTCACCCTCTCTTGTAAGGTGGAAAATGTCACCTTCTTCAACTATAAACACACATTGATATCTATATCCTTCTTTATTGAATACGTGTCGGTTCTCGCGTTTTAAAAATCGCACTGACTCATTGTGCGCCCATATAAAATATCAAATAGATTTATTACGAATCCGAAAATGAAAAGAAATACCTCTGTACTCTATCTGGATAAGTTTGGATTAGGGCGATATTTTAATATTTTATTGGAATGAAATGGGTCATAATTTGTTTACCTATAAGAGGCCGTTCAAGTATTACGTAAGCAGATTTACTGCAATTTATCCCCCCCCTCCTCCTCTTGTCAGCAAAATTAATCAAGCTCTAAAAAATAGTAGTAAGTACATAAATGTATTATTTTTTTGTAGGAATCCTCGAAAATGCATTTCGTTTTCAAGCATAGACAATGTGTGGGTAATATGTGTAAACAAGTAAATAATTACTATTGACGTAATCAGATCAACTAAATCAAAGACCCCCCCTCACACCTATAGTGCTTACGTACTTGAACGGCCCCTAACCCCTCTTTTTCAAAACTCTGTAAACTTTAAAAAGTTATAGTATGTTTTGTCCTTATCACAAGTTAGCAAGCAAATAACATCATATAACAATCTAATCGAATTGAATCTTTGGTAGGTTTAAGCAGGAAGAATAGGATAGATTATCATTGGTATTAGTTTGCCACATTTTGGTCAGATAAGTTATTTATTGTTATACTAGTCTAATGAATATATTAACTATATTTTATATTCCGATTTCTATATATTTACTATTTTATATAAGAATTATTTTAAATAAAAATTATAAAATACTTTATAAGCATGTATGATTTTTTCATAAAACATAGGGAGGGGTATATTCAGTTCGATTATATAACAATTTGAACAAATATGGCTCAGCTAGCAGATTATGTTCTTTTAATTAAGCCGAGGATTAAAAATGTAGTTCAGAAACTGATTAATATGACGCTATCCACATAATGTATGCCCTTGAGATCTCCTCAAGGGTATAATATTGTTATAGTAATGTTTTCTGGTCTTCACAAAAAGGAGTATTGATGGGCCCACAGTCGCGTCTTGATTCCTATGTGGTAGAAATAATATTGGAATAGGTTTTTATTTGAAAAATCATTTGGTTTGGACAGTTCTTAACTCGTGTTGTGATTTAGAATAGTCGTACAGTTGCTTAATGATTCTTCGTTTATTTTCTGATTAAAAGTAATAACTGTCAATACTAAACCATACGTATTGTATGAATTAAGATACACCGTTGGGTTTCTTTTCAGAGACGTCACGTTCGATAATCGAAGATTGGTTTCCCGAAATAATTAATTTAATTTTATTTGTTTGATAATAATTATGTCATGTTATTATGTATTTATAAACTAATTTATTTTACGATATAATTATAATTACAAGAAATACCATTACGATTGTGTACTAACGTAAAACGAAAACACTTGCCATTGGCAACTCTTGGTCTTGACCTCAGATTTCTTTATCCGTTGCCTTCATTATTATTCTTTATAGGCAAGTAGGTGATCAGCCTTTTGTGGTTCGAATACACAACCTTTGGGTTTGAAGCTTCAAGCCACTGTGTTCACACTGATTCATGCCAAATAATAATATAATGGAAGTTTGATAACATTTTGTGTCACATTTTAATACTTGTTATTGAAGATCTTATCGTAAACTATTTTAAACGTGTTTACGTAATCGCCATCTCTTAAATTTTTATTACATTTGATAGTTAACGGGAAGACACTTGCAAGCAAAATAATAGCCATTTAACACTTTGATATACCTATGTATTTTCAAATTTTTGGGTATATCAAACAATATTCATTTAGAAATGTATTATTTTCAGATCCCAGCATCGGTGATTAGTAGTGTGGGAACAGTGAGTTTGTCACAATCAAGTACGAATCCAACTCCAAATATTACAATGGCTAACCCGACTACACCTAATACCAACGGTGGTCAACCTGCTCAACAAACTCCAACGCAGGCACCGATCCGCAATTTGCCGAAGAAACGGAAATTGGCGCCATCTGAACTAGAGGAGATAGAGAGGAATTGTATGAACAGCCTTACTGAAAGAAATCTAAATGTCCAAGTGTCAGCTCCGTCAGTTGAATACACGCCTTCAACGTATCAGTCTATTCTCCAACCTTCGCCGATCGTGCGATCGTCACCGATAAAACAAACAGAATACATCTCTTATCCAAACATAGACTTATCCGAGTGGCGGGATCACAGAGTCTTAGCGAAACAGCGCGGAATTTACACGCCGGGGGTCATTCGACAGGCTGAGGGTTGTAAAGTGATAGTGGAATTGGATGGACAGGAAAATGAAGCGATTGAATATGGTAATGTGTTTGGTGCAAATAAGTATGACGTTATCAGTGATGCGAGTCCACAATTGAGTCACATATCTATTGGGTCTTCGTGTGTCGTTAGGACTGATGCTAGTCGGGACAGTGTTCAAAACGTGTTTGTAGAAGGTTACGTGTTCGAAATACATAATTCGCCTATCAGGATTCGAGTACAGGTAAGTCTAGTATTTTATGGGTCTATTAGCATTCTAATTTTAAATTGAATACAATAACAGAAAGAAAACAGAACAGAATATTTCGATAGTATCGAAATCACTAGTAGTTAAATATAATAATAATTGAATTCAATCAAATGATAATTCGCGTTACGCTGATGAATCTATGTTGAGTTTTAAACATGTTAGAAGCAGGAAATAGGTTGGACATTCTTTTGATCGTATTATCGAAGCGTGTGTACAATTAAAAACATCTCGAAAGGTTTTATTACACTAAAACCCTTTATTAAAATGCAGTCGATATTCTTTAAAATCTACAAGCATTTTATAATTGAGAGTTTGGAACACAAATTCTATACGTTATCAATTAATAAAATTTTGAAACGAATATATGGGGATATATGTCGAAGTCTGTGTGGACAGCTCGTGGTCTTTTGACTAACTCTGGTAGTAGTCATCTTTTTCGCTGTACTATTACGTTTTTGTTAAGTTTTTAGAAGCAATTCTCTTTAATAATAACTTCTTTTATAGGTCATTGACGGTGAAGGTATAAAGGACACGGTTGAAGTGAAAAGAGCGGATATCCGTCTACTGCAGCCTCCCTGGGCTGACGAGTTAGAAGACGCTGGTTCGCACGCGGCCATGATGCCCCAGCATTTGCGGATACATCCCGTTTCTACCTGTGTACCGGTAAGCACTATTGAGCAATATTCTTCCTTGGAACTTTCAGCTCACTATAAAAATTGTTCACAAACGGACCAAGCCGAAATAAATTTTAGATTTTTTTTTGCCAAAGTTTTTTGCAGCATTGCCTACATCTTAATGCCAACTTAAGATATAAATTTAGTCTTTTTTGTCATAAAATTTGACTCATTATAAATTAATTGGTAAAAGTAAATAAATTTAAGATATGCGCAAAAGTCGTTTTTGACGACTCATTGGTCTAGTGGTTAGTACCTCTGACTGCGAATCCATGGGTCCCGGGTTCGATCCCCGGCTGAGACGAACATCGATGTGATGAGCATTTGGTGTTGTGCTTAGGTCTTGGGTGTTTAAATATGTATTTATATGTCTATCTATCTATGTATGTATATCCGTTGCCTATTACCCATAACACAAGCTTCACCAGCTTAGCATGGGACTCGGTCTATTATATTGGTGTGAATATGGCTTAAAGGTCTCAACAAAAAAAAAAAAAATAAGTGTGCTTCACTATTTGACAGGATTGCCAACAAAAATTCTGATTAAGTTACAAGTCTAAAAACATAAATAGATTTAAACTAAGTTTATTTATTATCTATATTGTTTGGTTGTATTTGCCCATAATTGCTAACCACAAGGTTAAACCAAATGTTCATATTACGTAATGTGGTCTGTTATTATGGCTTAAAAATAACTGGTGTATCCTGTATACTCCAGAAGATACCAATGGTAGTTATTATAGCCGATTAAATAATCATATTGTAATTTATATAAGAATTTACATTACACCAAAAACCTTGTCAGCATTAGAAAGTTAGAATACGAAGTTCCACCCGTATCTGGAAGTCCGTCGTTCCACAGCTGAGCGTTTTTTAAGGAAGTTTTACCGCGCACCACCACTATGTGGAACCAGCTGCCCACTGAAGTATTTCCGAACCAATGACAGGACATGGAAATGGCCAATTCGACTTAGGGTCCTTCAAGAAAAAAAAAAAAAGTCCATTTCTTAAAGCCCATTGTGAGTGTACACTTAACATCAGATGAGCCTCCTGCACCGTTGCCCTTTGCTTTTGATATATAAAAACATCTATTTATTACATATTGTGTGTTCATACAAACGATAAGAGATAGGTAGAAAACATTTCGACTCTCCCTTATTTATGATATTGTAGGCGAATGGACTCTGTTAGGAAATTTCTGTGTTCTTCTTTTATTATCATTTATTATAGTATAAAAAAATAAAATAAAATATGTTTATTATGGAACATGATACTTTATTTTCAGTTTAAATTTGAAGGCATCCCTACTCATCGGCAAAGAAGACAGAGGGTGTAGCCGAGAGAAAAGCCGGCGTTTGGTATATTTTAAAAAGCAAATCATCAAACAACACTTATTTAAAACAAATTCCAAATTAATTAGAAGTACTTTCTATCACCTTTTTCAATATTTGATTTATATAAGTTTTTTTTTAATTTCTTAAATTTATTGAATTGTTACGTATAACATAATTATGTATGCGCTCTTCATAACTTCCAGTACTCCATGGGCGCTGGGGAGTTTGTGACGTCATCACCTTTAGCTGGTGCAGGGCAAGTGGTGACAGTTGGTGCCCTCTCAAATGGTTCCAGGCCATTTGATGATTATGGAGAAAGTGATGATGACCTGCCAAGGGAGGATATCATGTTTCCTACTGATGCCTCGCATATGGGTATGTTATTTTAACATTTAATTGCAAACGCGGTTTAATAAAACAAATTAAAAGAAACAATGGTGTTAAAACCTTTTGTTTTGTGATAGTTGGTTTTAATAGGCAAGTAGGGGATCAGCCCTCTGTGCCTTCGACATTTTGGGTCATATCAGTTTTCTCACGATGTTTTCCTTAACCGTACGAGCGAGTGTTAAATGCATACATAGAAAGTACATTGGTACAGCTGCAGATCGAACCTACGAATTCCTGTTCTAAAACGCCATTAAATAGTTTTATTAATTTCGATATAGACCTAAAACATTTGAGACTGGTCTACAATGATCTTTGTGATACATGGTACCTATTTTAGTACTTAGTCTGTGGTATGTTAAGAATTAAAACTATTGAAGGTCTATTAAAAAAAATACTACATCGTTGTTATTCATAGACCATAACTATCACGAGTTGAATTTAGTACTCCATGAATCACATTGTCGAATTTATGTGAGGCTAAGCTTTATTTAAAGGATAACATCTAAAGAACAAATTCGTCTAAGAAAAGCTATAGAATAAGGTGTCATTTTGATTTATTGTATAATCATATTTGTATTTTTAGATTGCAGCAATAGTAAACGCAGCAGTCTCCAAAGCCGAGGAAGTACATCGAGTCTCATTGAAGGGAGTCTTACTCCGCGATCTCAACCGCCTACACCCAGGTAAATTTTTTAAACCTCTAGGACTTTGTGTATTTTCATTTAAAAGTAACGACATAATAATGTTTTATAAAATTCTTCATACTTACCTACTTCATACAATACATGGC